TCAGAACAGGTGTATATATACAGAGATCATGTGACAGATCATGTGACACTTAGATTGCACACAGGTGGACTTTATTTAACTAATTATGTGACTTCTGAAGGTAATTGGTTGCACCAGATCTTATTTAGGGGCTTAATAGCAAAGGGGGTGAATACATATGCACGCATCACTTTTCCCTTATTTATTGTTTAGAATTTTTTGAAACAAGTTACACTTTTTTGTGTATGTCCATTACATGAAATCCAAAGAAAAATCTATTTAAATAACAGATTGTAATGCAACAAAATAGGAAAAAACACCAAGGGGGATGAATACTTTTGCAAGGCACTGTACATGATAATCTGGAGCCATGTGAAATCACAAATATAGGCAGAAGCCATTAACTCAGGCCACTGTGATATACATCATAATGCAGTTGATTTACATCATACATCCCTTATAAAATGACTAAGAAGGGAAATAATATGCATATACTGTCATACTTTAGCAACTTATAGTTTATTACAATCTAAACCATATATAAGGGAGGAATTTCATATTCTCATGCCAGACAGAAAACACCTAGGGGGAATTCTGAAGGATGCTTATTAAAAGTTTCAGTATTATTGCGTTTTATTGGTGGCTTAAGGGTGGCAATGAGATGCAAGCCTCATATGAAAATAATAACATCTTAGTTAGCTGTGATTTATCTGGAAACTTAACATTCAAATCAGAGTTGATATGGAAGACAATTTCATGCCAGGGTTGTTGCAACAATAATCCCACTGGGCTGTGTGTTTTATGTAAATATATTGTCATCCAAGGTTGACTGAACAATGCGGCGCTTACTGATTTAATTCTCAAGCATATCGATCAATCACCTGAGTGAGTAAGCTCACATATGCTATTTTATCATGTTTTTAGCTGTTCTATGTACCTGTGCATTGAATGATGACCAACCAATATTGACAGGTACAGGAATAGATACAGGTGATGTCCACTTCTATTACATGAGTATCAAATGCAGTAGGTCAAGTAGAAGAGATGACCAAACAGAAGACGAACCAGCAAAAATTTACTGTATCAGTGGCTCGTTTTCAAAGAGCCAAGATCAATTTGGTTTGACATATTGAAAGATGAGCTGCTAGCACTACCTACTGGACAATAGGGGTAAATGGTTTTCAAAGCCAAGGCAGTTGTATCCATTGCCACAATCCACTGTTATGACAACGCCTTTACAGTATAAAGCATGCTAATCAACAGTCACAATTTGGGCCTTCCATCCACTCTTAATAACCCAAAGAGCTGAGACGACTTGGACCACAGAGAAGGGTGAAGGCAACTAACAAGCTTACTGAGATTGACGTAAAAACATCCATGTGATGCCACTGAGAATGTTACATTTCTTCCTGAGGGAGAGCCTGAGGTGCAGTAGCTTTAGTGTTCTGTTATTCCGTTCTGGAGTATGGTGAAACAGAAACATTGCAGGTAAGTGTGTTTTCAGGGCAAAATAAGGACATTATGCTCACATGTTCAATAAGAAGTGTCCACTTTAGTGCAACCTTTTCTCTATTGATGTCCACTGGCTACCTGTCCCTCAAATAATTGACTTTAAAATGATCCTCCTGGTCCACAAAGCCCTAAATGTCATCGGACCTGCTTACCTGTCAGATCAACTCTACCCCTATGAACCTCCATGCACCCTATGGTCAATCCACAGCAAATTGCTTCTTGCACCCAGGACCCGGCTCCGAACAATGGGGGACCGTGCCTTTTCCTCCCACGCACCACGCCTTTGGAACTCCCTTCCTGACAACCTCAGGGCTGTTCAGACTGTTGGGGCTTTTAAAACAGGACTTACAGTAAGACTAATCTTTATCGGCTGGCCTACCCTTCCTCCTAGACTTTGATTGATGCTTTTATGATGTGGTTATATATATTTGTTTAGTATTTAAACTATTTTTCTATGTTAACTTTTATTTTATGCACTTTGAGATTATTCTTGTAAAATGAAAAGCGCTTTACAAATGTAATACATTATGATTATGATTATTATTATGATTATCTTGTTCACAAATTCGACTTTAATGTTTTGTCCTGTGAACAAGGATGTGCACTTGTAAACCTTCAAAACCAATCAATAAAAATACTGATTAAAAAAAACTAATTGTCAATTACAATTAATGAGGTATCAGAAATTCCTATTGGTATTGTTGCATGAATTGCCTTCTCCCCCATCATAAAACTAAGCTTGGGTAATAGGTAAAACAATCTGTTTTTCTGGGGAAGAGGAAAATCCCAGAAATAAAATGTTCATTGAGTGTCAAGTTCTACTGGAGGCTGAAAGATTTTGGGAAGAGGCACAGATGCCACAGGGAGGCTCAACTAGCTAGGTTAGATATATTCCAGGCCAGCACAGAGGATTTACATTTTAGTCATTTAGCAGACACTCTTATCCAGAGCAACTTACAGTTAGTGAGTGCATACATTTTTCATACTGGCCCACAGTGGGAAATGAACCCACAACCCTGGCGCTGCAAGCACCATGCTCTATCAACTGAGCTACAGGGGACTACAGATGGCAGCAGCCATCAAATCCACCCAGAAGGTTGGCTGGCAGACTCCTTTGAAGTAGCAAAATGGAGTAGGTTAGGGCCGCGAGGAGTAATGGCGGCTGGTTGAGTTTTTTGAGTCGAAGTGACATGGCGGCAAATTCAAGATACAACAACCATTTGAACAGTTTGCTACTACAGCGGATGAAGGAGCGGAAAGAGCGTGGAGATGTGGAAATGGACAGTGAGGAAGAAGGAAAGGAGCGGGAAGCGGTGTGGTGAGGAAGATTGGCGTCAAGTAGGCCTACAAAAATAAAAACATTTACTCTGGTAGCTCAGAAATTAAACCTGATGAGAGTGAGGATGAATTACCTGTGGTGTCAGGTGCGCTGAAGACCGCTGAGGTCGAGCCTCGTCCCAATGATGATAAAGATGATTCTGGTCTAGTGGAAGTGAGATATTTGGAGAGAATGGATCCTTGCCTTCTGGCTGATCCATATGTGGTGTCAGGATGGGTGGAGAAGAGTTTGGGGACTGTTGAATCGGTGAAAGTAACTCGAGGTGGACTTGTGATGATTTTTTTGTGTGTCTTTCGTCCAGAGGGAGTGGGCGCTCTGCACCACATGCCTCGGGACAAGAACTGTGACTTGCTTTGCTCTCCGGAGCAGTATGCCGTTGAAAGGAGTGATAACTGGTGTGGCGTTAAGTGTTGAGGAGGATCAACTGAAATAGAAGATTCCCGGTGTCTGTGACGCCCGCCGTGTGGTGCGTCGCAGACCTGGTGGAGAGCATGGTGAAACAGAGAAGACACTGTCTGTCTTGCTGAGTTTTGATGCAGAGTCTTTACCCAACCATGTCAAGTTAAGATGTGTCAGTCATCCCGTGAGAGCTTTTGTCCCGAACTCATTACAGTGTTTTAGGTGCCAAGCTTATGATCATGTTGCAGCAGTGTGTAGGAGGGAGATTCCTAGATGTGAGAAGTATGCAGGAGGGCATGAGTCAAAGGAATGTGTAGTGTATTCCCCTGTAGCTCAGTTGGTAGAGCATGGCGCTTGCAACGCCAGGGTTGTGGGTTCATTTCCCATGGGGGGCCAGTATGAAAAATGTATGCACTCACTAACTGTAAGTCGCTCTGGATAAGAGCGTCTGCTAAATGATGTAAATGTATCAGTGGAAAAAGCTGTGTGTGTTAACTGTATAGGGGTACCCATGTTGCTGGAGAGCAGAAGTTCCAGTGAGAGAAGGGCAGGTTGAGTTTGTCAGAGTAGTACAAAAGGTGTTGTATGCTTAGGCAGTGAAGAGAGTAGTAGAGGAAGATGGGTCCAGGGCAAGGATCCTAAGAGGTTCCATGTGAGTAGGCCGAGGCCAATAGAGAGTGATATGAATAACATGTGCTTCAGTAAGATTGGCTTCTTAGCATTCATAGCCATGGTTATCAACTGTACCGCTGAAATGGAATTGTAAATCACACAAATTAGATGTTGTAGTGACCGCTGAAGAGAAGTACTTGGGTGTATGAGATTTTACTGCTGAAGAGTTACAAGGTGTGTTGAACGATAGTGTCCCAGGCAACCGGCTTGGTGTAGGATCAGATAGGGCCAAGTAGTGGAATAGTGGTGAGGTAGGGCAATTTTTCTTCCCTTCCCTTTCCTTTTTGTGTCACAAAAATTTTTTTGTAATGAATTCACGCTCCAGAACAGTAGGCGAAAAACAGATAAGAGAAATGCATGAATAGGGAGGCCACCTTACACTCCAGTACAGTAGGTGGCGATGTGTGCACCTTTCAGTTGGTTGTGATCCGCCATTACAAATGTAAAGAAGAAGAATCAGAGGAAGCGACACCACAACCTACATTTTTTTTTTTTTTGTTGCGTTTATAGCAATGGTTGTTAACTGTACTGCAGGGATGTCGCAGAAAATGTAGGTTGTGGTGGCAGCTGCAGAGAGGTATTTGGGTGTACGAGACTTGACGTCAGAAGAGTTACAGTGTGTGTTAAGTGGTGGTGTCCCGTCCTTTCAGGCTGTTGGCCTGAGGTAGGACTAGATATATTTAAATAGTCGATTAGGGTTAGATGGTAACGTTAGGTTATTTATTTTTATAAAAGTATAAGGGAGGCACACTCCAGTCTAGTAGGTGGCGGTAATGCAACATTTATTAGATGCCAACAGCCATTAAACCTCATCGAAGAAGAAGAAAAATAAGAATCAGAGGGCATTGCTAACAGCTAACGTTGATTTTGTCCCGGTAGAAGGCTAATATTAGGTGTTGTTTTGGAGATTTGTTAAACACAAAGATGTTGAAGTAGGTGATAAGGTATAAGATAACCAGTAACAGGGTATAATTTCTACACGTTTTTGTTTTCGGAACCAGTAATTTCACGAAGCGAACTAATCGTAGCTACTTAGCTAGTAACCAGCACTAGATTTGCACTTTGCACTGCTCACTCAGGCCTTTTTTTCTGCGTCGCCATGGCCGATGTTGATAAACTCAATATAGACAGTATCATCCAGCGTCTTTTAGAAGGTAAGAAGACTACACCAATGTAACGTTATTTATGCAGTAATATTATCGGTTCACTTTGTTAGTGAGATCACTGTTTGCTAGTTTTAGCTAGCGAACGTCGTTAGCTGTTGATGTCGCATGTTGACTGGGTATATTTTAGCTAACATTAGCTAGTAGTTAACGTTAGTGCATGCTGTTGTTGCCATAGTTAGCTAATGTTAACGTAAAGCTAGTTAGCCAGCTAGCCGCCTAAACTCAACTATTTACGATAGAGTTGATAGGCGACTAGTGTGGGCTGACAGGAGTTCCGATGTCACATATTTTTTTTTTTTTTATATATATATAAAATAACTACCGTATACCTAGGCAGCCGATAGTGGGCGCTAGATCTGCACTATCGTCCCCCTGGCCTGGACCGTCTCGTACTAAAGCATTCTCCATTCAGGCTGCAAAGTCAAAGGCATACGTTTTATTAAGACTATACACATATTTTTCCAGTTTCTTTTCCGACGGCCTGCAATAAAGCTAGTTACATTTTACATGTTAGTCATTTAGCAGACGCTCTTATCCAGAGCGAATTACAGTTAGTGAGTGCATACATTTTCATACTGCATCCAGGAGGCTAGTTACATTTTACATGTTAGTCATTTAGCAGACGCTCTTATCCAGAGCGAATTACAGTTAGTGAGTGCATACATTTTCATACTGCATCCAGGAGGGAAATGATGCCTTTGCAGCCTGAATGGAGGATGCTTTTTTACGAGCCTGTCCACGGGGGACAGGAGTGTATTTATTACCGGCTGGGCAAATCTATTTTAAACGATTGTGCAGATCTAGCGCCCAATATAGGCTGCCTAGGCTACAAAAACGAAGAATAGCTCGCATTTACACAGGACAATGTCCATCGTAAATCGTCGTTTAGTCAGTGGTGTAGTGGTGCCTGGAGAAGTGGGTATACTCTAATTTTGCCAAAAATGTCCCAAATGACCTGCCCAGTGAAGGAAAGGTGTGGGAAAATTCGGACAAACCCTAAATGACCTAAAATGAGTCAGACCAACCCAAGCTGTACTATTCAAGAATGCAAATAGTAGGCCAACTATTGAAATAGATCAATGAGGCTGTCAACTGAGTCTGATTTTAATCTGGTTTTCGATCTCACGTTTTTTAAATAGAAAAACAACAAAATTGGATGCAAGTCAACAACAATGCTTAAACCACATCAGGAGATTACTTTTGAGGTCTGGGAAACATCTAAGATTGCTCTTTAATTCAACTGTGCAGGCACCTAGCACTGTTTGGTTCGCAGTGTTTCTGTAGAGCACATGAGATGGAGTTCGCAAAACAAATGAATTGATGCAAATAATCATGATATAATTCTTCCAGGTAGGCTAAGCTACATTGTAGCTAGTTAACATTTAATTGAGAAGAGAAAGCGTCCCTATATTTTTCCTGATCCTTAATTGTTTGAAACCAGGACATTTTACTTCATTTTATGAGGCATTTCTTACCTTGCTTCAAAGTAGCCTATAGCCAAAGTCCCACCATAGAAACGTGGAGGCAATTATTTTATAAAGTCTTCCTCATATGCGCTCTCCTGTTCTATTGGTTTACAAATGAACTTTCTTTAATTGTCTAGCAGCCAAAGGCATTATCCTAGTCATATTAGCAACACGTGATAGATGTTGCTTCTTTAGATCTCCCCTATTTCAAAATTTCTAACGGATATTTCCATCTCTGTCCGTGAAACCTCTCATGTGCGGTTCGCATTTTAGAATGGTGTTTTCCCACAAATTGCATTTTGGAACATTTGCGCATAGGCCTACCGCCATGTGCACATTGCTGCGATTAAAATGTGTAGAAATAATAGTTTATCGCCTTCCGAGTGGCACAGCGGTCTAAGGCACTGCGTCGCAGTGCTGAGGTGCCACTACAGCCTGGGGAGCTGTAGTGGTGCAGCGCCATCCAGGTTATGGGAGGGTTTGGGGGGCTTTCCTTGGCTCATCGCACTCTAGCAACTCCTTGTGGCGGACTGGGTGCCTGCAAGCTGACTTCGGTCGTCAGTCGAATGGCGTTAATAAATCAATAGAAATAAATTAGTTTATCAACATTTTAAGCTAAACATTCTGATCTGTTCCATCAGCCTTATACCTCCACTACACTACTTTGATACGTATCGTGGGGATTAAGAAGTGAGAATACTCAATGCCCACAAAAAAAAGTGGGTATACGGCATATACCTGCATATACCCTCCACTACACCACTGAGTTTAGTCGGCTAGTTAGCCAGCTAAACAAATTAGTTTGTCCCGGTAGTCAAATTTTTGAAAAGTTCAGTCAAATTAGCTAGTTAGCTAACATTGCTTTAGCTACATGATCCATGGCACTGTCCCAGCTATCTGCCTCAGTCAGTGAAAGATTAAGTAAATAGCATGAGTAATCTGATATGATGGTCACCACTCACTCCCCTATCCAGAAGACATTAACAAGATATGGTGGCAATGAGCATGACGGCAAACTAGGTAGATATATTTGCTTGTAGATTAATCTGAATTGTTTCTTTTTTAGTCAGAGGCGCAAAACCTGGTAAGAATGTGCAGCTGCAAGAGAATGAGATCCGAGGATTGTGCCTCAAGTCCAGGGAGATCTTTCTCAGCCAACCTATCCTTCTGGAGCTTGAAGCCCCCCTCAAAGTCTGTGGTGAGTAACCATCGCTATTTGGTGAAAAATAACTGTTACATGAAGTGTCTTCTACCCCCTTAGACCCCATGAGGGATGTGGACTATAGCTACATCTTGAAGTTGAAATTGTTTGTTTTCTGCAGGTGACATCCATGGGCAATATTACGACTTATTGAGGCTTTTTGAGTATGGGGGCTTCCCTCCTGAGAGCAACTACCTATTTCTGGGAGACTATGTGGACAGAGGGAAGCAGTCTCTGGAGACCATCTGTCTGCTTCTAGCCTACAAAATCAAATACCCGGAGAACTTCTTCCTGCTGAGGGGAAACCATGAGTGCGCCTCCATCAACAGAATATATGGATTCTATGATGAGTGTGAGTGATGTGTGCGGCTGTTGTAATAATTATAGCCCTGCGCTCTCTGACAAAGTACGGCATTTGTATGTACATAGATTGCATTTTGTTATACGTTTGTGTTATATGCATTGCCTAGCTTACTATCATCCTAACGTGTTATTATTATTATCCTAGGTAAAAGAAGGTACAACATCAAGCTCTGGAAAACATTTACAGATTGTTTTAACTGCCTCCCTATCGCTGCCATTGTTGATGAGAAGATCTTCTGTTGCCATGGAGGTAAGTTGCGCTGTTGTCGGTAGGTGCACTTGATTCTTTTCATTTCTTAGGACAAATAAAACGCAAGACCAAACAAATAAATAGGAGCACAAGGCTTTATTGTTGGCTTTTCTACAGAAATGTTTGGCGATCGACTATGCCTTGACGGTTGGTGACCACTGCTCTAAGACATTGCTATGATATTGAGAAATGTTATTCCAATTGTTCTTCCTGTCTTTGGAATTTTTACACAAGTTCTGATTGGAATTGACCTCATTCCGGTTGTTCATCTGTATTCATCTTCTTCCGTGTCTCTCAGGGTTGTCACCAGACCTCCAGTCCATGGAGCAGATCAGGCGTGTCATGCGGCCCACTGACGTCCCTGACCAGGGCCTCCTGTGTGACCTGCTCTGGTCTGATCCAGACAAGGATGTTCTTGGCTGGGGAGAGAACGACAGGGGCGTCTCATTCACCTTTGGATCAGAAGTGGTGGCAAAGTTCCTGCACAAACATGACTTGGATCTGATCTGTCGCGCCCATCAGGTATGTTGTCTACAAACTGGTAACTGCCAAAATAAAGAAAACACCAACATAAAGTGTCTTAATAGGGTGTTGGGCCACCACGAGCCAGAATGGCTTCAATGTGCCTTGGCATAGATTCTGGATGCGACACCATTCTTCCATGAGAAATGCCATCATTTGGTGTTTTGTGGATGGTGTTGGAAAGCGCAGGCTCCGGCGCCGCTCCAGAATGTTCAGTTGGTTGAGGTCTGGTGACTGAGATGGCATATGGTTTACACCATTTTCATGCTCATCAAACCATTCCGTGACCACTTGTGCCCTGTTGATGGGGGCATTGTCATCCTATGGGGGCATAGCCATGGTAGCCAAAATAATAGCCTGCCCAGCATTTATATACATGACCCTAAGCATAATGGGATGTTAATTGCTTAATTAAAGACATGCTCCGGAACTTAGGCGACTAGTAAGTCTTTTTTAAACCTCACGCTTTGGGCTGGATGTGTTAATGTGTAATTCATAATCTATGAGCAGAATTACTGTTTTACCTCATTACTGGAAGCTGTGCGGTGCCATTTGCCCTACATTTTCCCCCATGTGGGCCAGCCCAGTAGCAATTCGAGTTCCAGCCAATGAGCTTCAGCCCCTCGCCATTTGAGTGACAGCTAGCAAGATGCACACACCGCAGAGCGAGAGCGCAATGATGTGGTGCACATAATCTGTACATATGTGGCGTAGTACGCAATTTTCAGGGACCACTTTTGGCTCGTGAGCACTACTTTCAGAACTACTGGCTAAAAAGTATGCAAAAGTACCGGAGAATCTCTAACTCAGGAACCACACCTGCCTTAAATATACTTTGTATCCCTCATTTACTCAAGTGTTATCATTATTTTGGAAGTTACCTGTACATTCAATGGTGTTCCGATCAGTACTGATTAGGGCTGTCTCCGACTAAAACTAATCTTGGTCATATGTTCTTTTGATCAATCAATTGGTTGAAATGTTATAACGTGTATTTTTCCATATATAGACACACCCTATGTTTTAATACAATCAACTATATGTAGGCTACTGAGCTTGTCTGATGCTTTAAGCACTGCGATTTAAAAATAAAGACACACAAATTACTAAAGAGGGAGCCAGAGATCAATATAGTCTAACCAGAAGAAAAAAACCTGCTGCTGCTGGCCTTCGAAGATTCTGCCCTTATGCTCCTGAAGTTGTCGGTAATAGGCTACAGCAGCGATCGGCAACCTTTTCCATTTGGAGTGCCAAGTTATCATATCATTTCTACTGATCTGCGTGCGTGCCAGTTATGATTTTTCATATCTCAAAATCAATGTCATGTGGTTAATCAAAATTCTATCTAACTGAAAATGATACAAATCTAAAAGTAACTTATATTGCCAGTATGTAAAAATAGCCTACATAAGGCCAACAAATAGAAACATTGCAGCCTGCAGGTAGAAAATATCCTGATAAAAATAAATATCCTATAAATCACATTTGCTAAGCATGGCGTATCAACTATTAACTTGGTCCAGCCTAAGCTCATGCTAGCAAACTTGCAACATTGTAAAAATATTCTGGGCCCTCTGAGTTTCCCGAGCCAGTGAGCTCCTGACAGACAAATAGGCTATTTGCGCAAGGGATAAGAAGTAATCAGTTAGGCCTATTTTAATTATGTTTCCACTGGATCAGAGCATGACATTTTTTCCCCTTTCATGCTAAGTGATTATCGAAAGGGAGAGAGCTGGAAAGATTTTTCAAATAGGCTACGTTGAGGAACTATTGTCATTCTCAATGGATGTAAAAACAGACTTTGTTTACTTGCTGTTTGAGGTCGAAGAAAAAATTTCTTTGAGAAGCTCCACAGTGATGGTGAGTTAAGACAATCAGAAATAGTATCAGATCCCCAAATGGGCACATTTTATAGGCCTACATTTGCACGCAGGCCAGGTAGCCTAGGCCTACTTCTGTGCATAATCAGGTCCTTACTCAAGATTGACAGGAGCGCTCCAAACAAAAGACAATGAATAAATTTGACAACTCATAAATGGAATGAAATAAACAAACTTGTGTAGCCTAGGTTGTGTGCTCTGCAAACGTGTCCACTCCTACAATGAGAACGGTAAGACTGTAATAATAATAATAATAATAATAATATATTGAATGCATTAACAGAAATGACCGTGACCAAACACATTGTAGATTAGAATGGTACATGTACTAGTGGTGATACTGGTGTGCCATCCCCGCGGCCTCCACAATGGATTAGTCCACTGAGACAGGCGTGAATCAGACAGGTGTCTGGTGTGCCATTAAAAACAATATACTGCCACTGCTCGACTAAAAATATATTGGTCGACCAACAGTCTGTTGACCAGTCGACTAAATGGGGTCAGCCCTAGTACTGATAGTCTGGAGTGGAATGTATTGTTTTTATTTCAACCGAACTGTAGTCAATGCTCTTTTATCCGGCAGGTTGTTGAGGACGGCTATGAGTTCTTTGCAAAGCGACAGCTTGTGACTTTATTCTCAGCACCCAACTACTGTGGGGAGTTTGACAATGCTGGTGCCATGATGAGTGTGGATGAGACTCTCATGTGCTCGTTTCAGGTGAGGGATATTTCAATCATGAATGTACTCCATCTTATCACAGGCATGTAAATGTGTCGGTGATTGTATTAGTACTGTTGTGTATGGAGGTGTTAAAGGGACATTTCACAAGTTTTCATATTCATCTCCAGCACCACCCCAACATCAACATATGTGAAAATGGCTTGTTTATATGTTTTGTAGTAAAAAAGATAGAGGAAGATGTTCCAAATGACATCGGTGTGCATCATGTGATTTTTAACCAATTATGTGTAGTCATTGCCTACTAATTGGTTGATGTCACTGGAAACATTTATCTTCCTATCTTTTTTACTACATGCCAGAAACGTGCCATTTTCACATATGTTGATGTTGTGGTGGTGCTGGAGATGAAGGAACATTTAGAAATGTCCCTTAAAACTTATGACCGATGTGAAGACTATTCCAGTGGGCAAAACATAATCTTAGTTGGATTACTTGTATTCATTCCACTTGTAGATTTTGAAGCCAGCAGAGAAGAAGAAGCCAAATGGCAGCCGTCCAGTCACACCCCCACGGAACATGGTCACCAAGCAAGGAAAGAAATAAGGTGGACTTATGTCCTGCTCCCCGTTCTGCTTTTGTCTATTGCATCTGAAGGGTTGGTTGCCCTTTGTGCTGCCAATACTGAAAAGATATCCACTCCAACCTGATAAAGCGGAATGTTTAGTTGTTTTGTCCACAAGGGTAAATGGATATGTCACCATGAAAACCTCAGGGGTTTTGCACTCCATTGTAACTAGTCTTTGCCACATGACTGTTCAATCAGGAACAATGTAACAATATGGCTAATAATGCACAGAAATGCCTTGTTTGAAGCTGTGCACAGATTCTTCAATTTCTTCATTTCATGTCTCATCCATTTCTTCATCACCTGTTTCTCACTGTCAATGTCAATAATGAAATTAATGGTTCTTAAACAACTATGGAACTATCACAAGACACTTATGTTTATTTCGATATAACTTTCTTTATCACTCTGCACCTGCATCCTCACCATTTTTAAAACAAGTATTGTGCTGAATTTAAATGAAGAAATAAAACATTCTTGTAATGTCTAAATCTTTCTAATAAACTTTTAGCACATTTGAGGCGGAAATTGGCATTTTAATTGTATTTATTTGAGGATTACGAGATAAGCTCAACATTGATTTAATTACTCCCATATATTGTGTACTACTAGAAGTGATGTGAAAGACATTGTAAAGTTACAGTACCAGTGAAAAGTTGACACACCTACTCATTCCAGGGTTTTTCTTTATTTTTTACTATTTTCTACATTGTAGGATAATAGTGACTACATCAAAACTATGAAATAACACATGGAATCCTGTAGTAACCAAAAAAGTGTTAAACAAATCAAAATATTTGAGATTCTTCAAAGTAGCCACCCTTTCCCTTGATGACAGCTTTGCACACTCTTGGCATTCTCTCAACCAGATTCATGAGCTAGTCACCTGGAATGCATTTCAATTAACAGGTGTGCCTTCTTAAAAGTTAATTTGTGGAATTTTTTTACTTAATGCGTTTGAGCCAATCAGTTGTGTTGTGACAAGGTAGGGGGGGTATACAGAAGATACACCTATTTGGTAAAATACCAAGTCCATATTATGCTCAAATAAGCAAAGAGAAACGACAGTCTGTCATTACTTTAAGACATGAAGGTCAGTCAATACGGAACATTTCAAGAACTTTGAAAGTTCCTTCAAGTGCAGTTGCAAAAACCATCAAGCGCTATGATGAAACTGGCTCTCATGAGGACTGCCACAGGAATGGAAGACCCAGAGTTACCTCTGATGCAGAGGATACGTTCATTAGTGTTACCAGCCTCAGAAATTGCAGGCCAAATAAATGCTTCACAGAGTTCAAGTAACAGACACATCTCAACATCAACTGTTAAGAGGAGACTGCGTGAATCAGGCCTTCATGATCGAATTGCTGCAAAGAAACCACTACTAAAGGACACCAATAATAAGAAGAGACTTGCTTGGGCCAAGAAACGCGAGCGATGGACATTAGACCGGTGGAAATCTGTCCTTTGGTCTGATGAGTCCAAATTTGAGATGTTTGGTTCCAACCGCCGTGTCTTTGTGAGACACAGAGTAGGTGAACTGATGATCTCCGCATGTGTGGTTCACACTGTGAAGCATGGAGGAGGAGGTGTGGGGGTGCTTTGCTGGTGACACTGTCTGTGATTTATTTAGAATTCAAGGCACACTTAACCAGTATGGCTACCACAGCATTCTGCAGCGATACGCCATACCATCTGGTTTGAGGTTAGTGGTACCATCATTTTTCAACAGGACAATGACCCAACACACCACCTGGCTGTGTAAGGGCTATTTGACCAAAATGGAGTGCTGCATCAGATGACCTGGCCTCCACAATCACCCGATCTCAACCCAATTGAGATGGTTTAAAGAATCTCAAATATAAAATATATTTTGATATAACACTTTTTTGGTTACTACATGATTCCATTGGTTATAGGGTGAATGCACCAATTTGTAAGTCGCTCTGGATAAGAGCGTCTGCTAAATGACGTAAATGTAAAAATGTAAAATTCCATGTGTTATTTCATAGTTTTGATGTCTTCACTATTATTCTACAATGTAGAAAATAGTAAAAATAAAGAAAAACCCTTGAATGAGTAGGGGTGTCCAAACTTTTGACTGGGACTAAAGATATGCAGTCCAGTACTATAAAAAATATATACTATAATACACAGTCACAAATTATATTACAAAACTGGCATACATGTTGTTTTTACTCTATGCAAAAACCAATTGACTGAACTGAGTGGAAGAAAACACATTTCAGTGTCAAGGGCAGCATTAGAAGAAGTACCGTATGACAAGGTCAGAGGGTCCCCGGCTCTCAAGGCTGGTCGCCTCGGAGTAGACATTTGCCTTTAGTGCAAGAAGGTGTGCCAATAATCCATCAGAACCCTCGTTTAGGCGTAGAAGCCATCATGCTTTTCTGCCACACATTTAAGTTTCATAAACCTGAAATGAATTATTAGAAGGGGATGCTTTAAAAAAAAAAAAAAATCCAATTTATTAAAAACCAGAAAAGTCATGGATGATTTTCAGGGTTAGAAGAATTTAGGAAATTCAAGTTGCGTAATGAGATGTGACGTCAGCTCAGTCACAAGACCACAGAGCAGATCACCGTGGCTCGCTCCCCCAGCATGTTTCAGAAATGTGTTAAGCTGTTCTACAGGCACGATGGCTGTAACGAACTCGGATCATCTCTGGGGATCTGGACGTGTGATATCCTTCGAATTACGGAGCAGTTGTTACTGAATTGGCAATAACTACTGTATTCAACTAAATAAGAATAAGTATCGTCTGGGCTATCGCATCAGCTGGCGCGCGGCTTTATTTGTTTCTGCGTGGCGAATGTTAGCTAGCAAACGAAGCAGCACAGTGTCAAGCTAGCGAGTCAAGATTGTGACATTTGAGCTAATCTAGCTAGCTAACAACTAGGTTGTTTCTAGCTTGGTACTCATAGTGTAGTGGGAGCTGGTGTGTAGGTGATGTTCTCCGTACTTTCGTACGGTAGACTGGTTGCCAGAGCAGTCATTGGCGGACTCTCTCAAACAGATAGCCGCGACTACAGCCTGGTAACAGCAAGCTGCGGGTTTGGGAAGGATTTTCGGAAGGGTATCTTGAAGAAAGGGATGTGCTACGGCGACGACGCTTGCTTCATTGCCCAACATAAATCTGCCGATGTTTTGGGTGAGTAACTAATGCCTGACATTGGCAACTATTCTATAATGTGATGATATAACCGGCCTGGTTGTCTAGCTGGCTAACTAACATGCCAGACTGCACATTTGCTAGTTACAGTAGCTAGTTTGCGTTAATTACGTTAGTGTTGTATTATCAAACAATAACAAACCAGGGACACTCGGCATGGACTGTATTTTGTTTGATAATGATGTACAATTACTAGATGCACAATACGCTAACTAGGTAGCTATGCTATTGGCTTAGTTTCAAGCCAAGAAAATACATTAAGTACGCTACATTTGATTTGCCATCATTGACAACCCAGTACTACTGACCTATATGAACGAGTCGACTAGTACAACCTAATTCTGCTGACCTTTGGCTGTGACCCAAAGACATGAAGGTGTCTAGATTAGGGTTTCCCAAAGATCTTGATGATGAGTTGGTTATTTGAATCTGCTGTGTAGTGCTAAGTCAAAAACCAAAACGTGCACCCAGGGGGGGCCCCAGGACCGAGTTTGGGAAACCCTGTCCTAGAGGTCAGAGCTGCATGTAGTAGTTTGAGAGTTGTAATGATAGGGGGGCAGCCATAACCAAACTGTAACCATTATGTACACATGAAGAAATCAATTAAAAGATGGACATTGAGAACTTCTTGCTTGTTTTTCACTATAACTAGGCTACCACCAGTCTGTCCCAGACAGACTTAATTTTTCATTCACACTTTACCCCCCATGCCACAACATACAGTACCAGTCAAAAGGTTGGACACACCTACTCATTCAAGGGTTTTTCTTTATTTTTACTATTCTCTACATTGTAGAATAATAGTGAAGACATCAAAACCACGAAATGACACATGGAATCATGTAGTAACCAAAAAAGTGTTAAACAAATCAAAATATTTTTTTATATTTTAGATTCTTCAAAGTAGCCACCCTTTGCCTTGATGACAGCTTTGCACACTCTTTTGTTTAACACTTTTTTGGTTACTACATGATTCCATATGTGTTATTTCATAGTTTTGATGTCTTCACTATTATTCTACAATGTAGAAAATAGTAAAAATAAAGAAAAACCCTTGAATGAGTTGGTGTGTCCAAACTTTTGATTGGTACTGTATATGGTGTACCTAACTGGTCCTGGACCTCAGGAGGACACCATGTTACAAAACGTTCAGAGATAAATGTAGTGTGGAACAGACATGATCCTCTGCCTTGTAAAATAAGGAACCGGTTTAGCACTAAATTAACAGCACATCTATCAGAAGCATTCTAGAGACATTCTACCCCTAGCCCAGTTCATACAACAAGTATGACAACAATACTTGGACCTCCTGATCCTCACCATGACTGATGGTTGGTGTCTCAGATTTGTCATAATCACATTGATGGACGAACCAATAGTTCTGCTGCAAATAGTCACATTTCTGTAGCCCACAGTTTAAAGGGCATTGTATATTTTGTTAGTATCCTGTAAGCTAAACTGAATGCTGCTTTGTTGTTGGTCATGTGGCTAATTGAATAATTGCACTGTAATGCTAGAAAGTTCAATGCTTTTGCATTGAAGCTATGATTTCAGGTAACACTGGCTTTAGAGAAGAATGGCATTTGAAAGCTATCAAAACAACTTAGAAAAGGTGATTCAGAAATTGAGGTAGCCTAACCAAAGCCAGAATATCGCCTTTGACTTGATAGATTAATAGCTGCCATAGCTAAGTTATTTATCATCAAATATGATTACGTAGTACCGGTCTTGACTGGATCAAACCGGTGAGAAGCTAGTTAAGCTAGCTAACGTTAAGTACTGTATACTTGAGGCTACATGAGGCAGGCCATGTCTGATTGTTGTCACATCAGTGAGCCAAAGGTTGGCAGGGAAAGAGTGAGAGAGGACCGTCCTTGTATGGTCACAGCAAGAGCTGATTCTTGTGTCTGGGAAGCAGCTGGAAATAATTGCATTCCTAGGAAAAACTTGGACTTTAAGACCAACTGCTCCCATAATAGGCAGAGGTACATTTCAATAACCATAGAAACCAAATGTTTCAGGGTTCTATACAGTGTGATTATGTGACTGCAGGCTAGTGTATGGGCTTGTTGATAATGTAATGTGACTTGACAACTAAAGACAACTTCATAAAACGTTCAGTTTCAGATGGCTATCAGTAAAAGTTGTTTATGCACCTTCCGTAGCCTCCAACTGCTCTTAAACGCTAGTAAAACTAAATGCATGCTCTTCAATCGAACGCTGCTGGCACCCGCCCACCCGACTAGAATCACTACTCTCGGCGGGTCTGACCTAGAGTATGGACAACTACAAATACCTAGGTGTCTGGTTAGACTGTAAACTCTCCTTCCAGACTCACATTAAGCATCTCCAATCCAAAGTTAAATCTAGAATCTGCTTCCTATTTTGCAACAAAGCCTCCTTCACTCATGCTGCCTAACATGCCCTCGTAAAACTGACTATCCTACTGATCCTTGACTTCAGTGATGTCATTTACAAAATAGCCTCCAACTCTACTCAGCAAATTGGATGTAGTCTATCACAGTGCCATCCGTTTTGTCACCAAAGCCCCATTATACTACCCACCATTGTGACCTGTACGCTCTTGTTGGCTGGTCCTCACTACATATTCGTCGCCAAACCCACTGGCTCCAGGTCATCTATAAATCACTGCTAGGCAAATCCCCGCCTTATCTTAGCTCATTGGTCACCATAGCAACACCCACCCGTAGTATGTGCTCCAGCAGGCATATCTCACTGGTCATCCCCAAAGCCAACGCCTTCTTTGGCCGCCATTCCTTCCAGTTCTCTGCTGCCAATGACTGGAATGAACTGCAAAAATCTGTGAAGCTGGAGACACTTATCTCCCTCACTAACTATAAGCATCAGTTGTCAGAGCACCTTACCGATCACTGCACCTGTACACAGCCCATCTGAAATTAGCCCACCCAACTACCTCATCCCCATATTATTTATTTTGCTCATTTGCACCCCAGTATCTCTATTTGCACGTCATCTCTTGCACATCTATCATTTCAGTGTTAATACTAATTATAATTATTTTGCACTATGGCCTATTTATTGCCTTACCTCCATAACTTGCTACATTTGCACACACTGTATATATATTTTCTGTTGTATTTTTGACTTTATGTTTTGTTTACCCCATAATTTTTTACTTTTTTATTTCACCTTTAAAACAACACACTGCTTTGCTTTATCTTGGCCAGGTCGCAGTTGTAAATGAGAACTTGTTCTCAACTGGCTTACCTGGTTAAATAAAGGTTAAATAAAAAATTAATAAAAAATTATCAATGGAGATTGTTTCAGTAAATTTGTCAAGTTGACAATTTGTCGAAGCATGTCAAAGAAATGCTTATTCGCTGAAGTGTCCCTTGTGTTTCATTCTAAGCACTGTCTTGCGCTACACTTGGTGTTTTAGTGAAAGTGTCTATTGTTTCTCCTGTCACAACTGCGGGAAGACATCTAGTACTTGTTTCCGACCAATATGACCTCTTCCAACTGTGTTCTTGATAGAGTGTTAAGAATAACCATAATGCAATCTTGATTCTTGCCTATCCTTCCTATCCTGTTATCCTCTATTGAACCAATACCTGACTGTGGTTTCTTCAGGTGTGGCAGATGGAGTGGGTGGTTGGAGAGACTACGGGGTGGACCCATCACAGTTTTCAGGGACCCTGATGAAGACGTGTGAGCGGCTGGTAAAGGAGGGACGCTTCGTTCCAAGCAACCCTGTGGGCATCCTCACTACCAGCTACTACGAGCTCCTACAGAACAAAGTGCCTCTGCTAGGTGAGTAAAGGCAGCCCTTGAGGAGCACTTCTGTGAACCTGGAGGCTGGCGCAAAAATAAATCACAAGGGTCTGCCTCATACTGACTAGAATAGGCATTTACAATAGAGAATACGGTATTTGTATCTTTTTTTCTTTTTTTTCTTTCATTTTTCTTTTTTTTAGGGGGTAGATCAGCTTTAATATTTCAGATAGATTGTAACTTCGTCAATGTAATTGTCTGCATCACTGGTCAATGACCTGAAGAGAGCTGGGACCACAGTCTCAAAGAAAACCATTAGTAACACACTACGCCGTCATGGATTAAAATCCTGCAGCGCACGCAAGGTCCCCCTGCTCAAGCCACCGCATGTCCAGGCCCGTCTGAAGTTTGCCAATGACCATCTGGATGATCCAGAGGAGGAATGGGAGAAGGTAATGTGGTCTAAAAATAGAGCTTTTTGGTCTAAACTCCACTCGCCGTGTTTGGAGGAAGAAGAAGGATGAGTACAACCCCAAGAACACCATCCCAACCATAAAGCATGGAGGTGGAAACATCATTCTTTGGGGATGCTTTTCTGCAAAGGGGACAGGACGACTGCACCGTATTGAGGGGAGGATGGATGGAGCCATGTATTGCGAGATCTTGGCCAACAACCTCCTTCCCTCAGTAAGAGCATTGAAGATGGGTCGTGGCTGGGTCTTCCAGCATGACAACGACCCGAAACACACAGCCAGGGCAACTAAGGAGTGGCTCCTTTGGAGGGAGCTGAAAGTCCGTATTGCCCAGCGACATCCCCGAAACCTGAAGGATCTGGAGAAGGTCTGTATGGAGGAGTGGGCCAAAATCCCTGCTGCAGTGTGTGCAAACCTGGTCAGGTCCTACAGGAAACGTATGATCTCTGTAATTGCAAACAAAGGTTTCTGTACCAAATATTAAGTTCTGCTTTTCTGATGTATCAAATACTTATGTCATACAATAAAATGCAAATAAATTCATTAAAAATCATAGAATGTGATTTTCTGGATTTTTGTTTTAGATTCTGTCTCTCACAGTTGAAGTGTACATTTTCATGATGTCCATCTGGTTTGCTTCTATATGCCATATTTTTCTAACTGTGCTCTTTCACAAAAGCTCTCAACCTATAACCTATATACTTATTATGGACACAGTATGCTTTACATTAGTTATCTTGTTATTGTTATTAGTTCCATCCTTCAGCTCCATTCAACACCTCCCATCTACAGTGGGGGAAAAAAGTATTTAGTCAGCCACCAATTGTGCAAGTTCTCCCACTTAAAAAGATGAGAGGCCTGTAATTTTCATCATAGGTACACGTCAACTATGACAGACAAATTGAGAAAAAAAAATCCAGAAAATCACATTGTAGGATTTTTAATGAATTTATTTGCAAATTATGGTGGAAAATAAGTATTTGGTCACCTACAAACAAGCAAGATTTCTGGCTCTCACAGACCTGTAACTTCTTCTTTAAGAGGCTCCTCTGTCCTCCACTCGTTACCTGTATTAATGGCACCTGTTTGAACTTGTTATCAGTATAAAAGACACCTGTCCACAACCTCAAACAGTCACACTCCAAACTCCACTATGGCCAAGACCAAAGAGCTGTCAAAGGACACCAGAAACAAAATTGTAGACCTGCACCAGGCTGGGAAGACTGAATCTGCAATAGGTAAGCAGCTTGGTTTGAAGAAATCAACTGTGGGAGCAATTATTAGGAAATGGAAGACATACAAGACCACTGATAATCTCCCTCGATCTGGGGCTCCACGCAAGATCTCACCCCGTGGGGTAAAAATGATCACAAGAACGGTGAGCAAAAGTCCCAGAACCACACGGGGGGACCTAGTGAATGACCTGCAGAGAGCTGGGACCAAAGTAACAAAGCCTACCATCATTAACACACTACGCCGCCAGGGACTCAAATCCTGCAGTGCCAGACGTGTCCCCCTGCTTAAGCCAGTACATGTCCAGGCCCGTCTGAAGTTTGCTAGAGTGCATTTGGATGATCCAGAAGGGGATTGGGAGAATGGCATATGGTCAGATGAAACCAAAATAGAACTTTTTGGTAAAAACTCAACTCGTCGTGTTTGGAGGACAAAGAATGCTGAGTTGCATTCAAGGAACACCATACCTACTGTGAAGCATGGGGGTGGAAACATCATGCTTTGGGGCTGTTTTTCTGCAAAGGGACCAGGACGACTGATCCGTGTAAAGGAAAGAATGAATGGGGCCATGTATCGTGAGATTTTGAGTGAAAACCCCCTTCCATCAGCAAGGGCATTGAAGATGAAACGTGGCTGGGTCTTTCAGCATGACAATGATCCCAAACACACCGCCCGGGCAACGAAGGAGTGGCTTCGTAAGAAGCATTTCAAGGTCCTGGAGTGGCCTAGCCAGTCTCCAGATCTCAACCCCATAGAAAATCTTTGGAGGGAGTTGAAAGTCCGTGTTGCCCAGCGACAGCCCCAAAACATCACTGCTCTAGAGGAGATCTGCATGGAGGAATGGGCCAAAATACCAGCAACAGTGTGTGAAAACCTTGTGAAGACTTACAGAAAACGTTTGACCTGTGTCATTGCCAACAAAGGGTATATAACAAAGTATTGAGAAACTTTTGTTATTGACCAAATACTTATTTTCCACCATAATTTGCAAATAAATTCATTAAAAATCCTACAATGTGATTTTCTGGATTTTTTTTTCTCAATTTGTCTGTCATAGTTGACGTGTACCTATGATGAAAATTACAGGCCTCTCATCTTTTTAAGTGGGAGAACTTGCACAATTGGTGGCTGACTAAATACTTTTTTCCCCCACTGTATCTCTTAACACCATCCATATTGGATTTCTATTTGCCATATATATTTCAACTGTGATGTCTTACAAAAGTTCTGAACCTTTCTATTCTCATTGTTTCTACAGATCGTAAATTGAAAATAAACATTTTTGCTAAAAGTATTATTATATTATTGATTGATTGACTATGACTTTTCAGTTCACCCAGTAGTGCTATCTGCAGTGTTAGCGCCAGGTAAATATTGCAATCCTTTAGCCATTCCTGGACCTGTGTCCAAAAACAAGCTACAAATGGACAGTACCAAAACAAATGATCTAATGATTCTGTCTCTTCGCAGCAAAATCTGCAGAGCTGGGAAGATTGTATCCCCCATATAAATAACATTCTATTGGTAGCTAGAATTTTATATAATATAAATTGAAAAATTCTAAGTTTTGAATTCGGCGTCGTTTTGCGTATCAATTCATAAACACTATGCCATGGGATCGGTACGTCAAAAATCTCTTCAACTATTTTGCAATCTATATGGGACGGCTGTCAATCCTTTGGTCCTTAAATGAAACTGGTATACTTTTTTATTTATCACAATTTTCTTTAACCAATTATATTCTTTAATGCAAGGCCGACAGACAAGTTCCTTACCTTTTCCCCCTTCCACTTTCCTTTTCCATTTTTGCGGTAATGCTGCAATTATTTGGTTGTAATTTTGGGTAGAGCAGACATTTCCATATGTTTTTGTTAGCTGCATGTGCGGCATAACTCCACCAGTCCTACCGATAATATAATTTACGAAGATTTTTTATCAATTAGTTTATTTGAGTTTAACCACAATATTTGTTGCATTATTTGTTCTGTCGTTTCTGGAGGATTAAATTGAAATTGCAACCAACTTTCTATGGCTTGTTTTAGAAATAGTGATATTTGGGAGATTATTTCCTTTTCAAATAACTGAAAGTGAGGGAAAAGGCCATTCTTGAACATTGGGTGAGACAATCTTACTAATTTGCTAGAGAACCAGTTCGGATTTAAGTATAACTTTTATATGACTGAAGCGTTTAGTGATAGGTCTAATGCTTTAATATTTAATCATTTCTGTCCTCCAAATTCATATTCATTATATAAATAGGCCCGTTTAATTTTATCTGGCTTGCCGTTCCAAATAAAATGGAGTATATTTTTCTCATGCAATTAAAAAAACTGTTCGCTAGGTGTAGGCAAGACCATAAGCAAATAGGTAAACTGGGATAATACTAAAGAGTTAATCAGGGTGATTTTTCCACAAATTTACAGGTATTTATACGGCCTTAAAGCAATCTTAGAATGGGCTGTTTTCTGTCTGGGTGGTTAGGCTAAATTGCATGTGGGGTGCTGCTATTTAGATAGGATATTTGCTTGATGAGTCAGAGACCTGCTGCATGCCTCTATCCTGGGAAGTGTAAAGACTAGGAGAAGCCTATCCCCGCCAGAATCTCGTCTTGATCCATTGCTTTGCTAGAATGGAGCATGCAGAAATGTGCAGGACAAAACTAACCGAGAGTGAGGAGTCAAGAGCAGTCCATGTCGTCAGTCTGTACTTTTCCATCCCATCTCACATGTAGAAGAGAAAAACAAGCCAGTATTGTATTTTTCCAGTGCTGAGGAGTACTGACGTGAGGCCAGCAGTAATTGTATTACTATTGAAAAAACACAAGAAAGGGAGTGCGAGTAGGGTGAGTCAGAGAGCGTGAGGGGTTGTAGGGAGCTCCCATAGAACATTCTGGTGGTCCAGATGACTCATCAGCAGGGTGTGGCTGCACGCAGAGCCATGTTTTCGCCGGTTCGTTTAACTTTTATGTTTCCTTCAATTTTATCCTTCCAAAACGTTTCTCTTCCTGAAATGCATTGACATGCCTGCCTCTTCTAACCACAGGTTTATTTTTTATTTTTTATTTCACCTTTATTTAACCAGGTAAGCCAGTTGAGAACAAGTTCTCATTTACAACTGCGACCTGGCCAAGATAAAGCACAGCAGTGCGATAAAAACAACACAGAGTTACATATGGGGTAAACAAAACATAAAGTCAAAAATACAACAGAAAATATAAAATATATATACAGTGTGTGCAAATGTAGCAAGTTATGGAGGTAAGGCAATAAATAGGCCATAGTGCAAAATAATTACAATTAGTATTAACACTGGAATGATAGATGTGCAAGAGATGATGTGCAAATAGAGATACTGGGGTGCAAAAGAGCAAAATAAATAACAATATGGGGATGAGGTAGTTGGGTGGGCTAATTTCAGATGGGCTGTGTACAGGTGCAGTGATCGGTAAGGTGCTCTGACAACTGATGCTTAAAGTTAATGAGGGAGATAAGTGTCTCCAGCTTCAGAGATTTTTGCAGTTCGTTCCAGTCATTGGCAGCAGAGAACTGGAAGGAATGGCGGCCAAAGGAGGTGTTGGCTTTGGGGATGACCAGTGAGATATACCTGCTGGAGCGCATACTACGGGTGGGTGTTGCTATGGTGACCAATGAGCTAAGATAAGCCGGGAATTTGCCTAGCAGTGATTTATAGATGGCATAGAGCCAGTGGGTTTGGCAACGAATATGTAGTGAGGACCAGCCAACAAGAGCGTACAGGTCACAGTGGTGGGTAGTATATGGTGCTTTGGTGACAAAACGGATGGCACTGTGATGGACTACATCCAATTTGCTGAGTAGAGTGTTGGAGGCTATTTTGTAAATGACATCGCCAAAGTCAAGGATCGGTAGGATAGTCAGTTTTACGAGGGCATGTTTGGCAGCATGAGTGAAGGAGGCTTTGTTGCGAAATAGGAAGCCAATTCTAGATCTAACTTTGGATTGGAGATGCTTAATGTGAGTCTGGAAGGAGAGTTTACAGTCTAACCAGACACCTAGGTATTTGTAGTTGTCCACATACTCTAGGTCAGACCCGTCGAGAGTAGTGATTCTAGTCGGGTTGGCGGGTGCCAGCAGCATTCGATTGAAGAGCATGCATTTAGTTTTACTTGTGTTTAAGAGCAGTTGGAGGCTACGGAAGGAGTGTTGTATGGCATTGAAGCTCATTTGGAGGTTTGTTAACAGTGTCCAATGAAAGCCAGATGTATACAAAATGGTGTCGTCTGCGTAGAAGTGGATCTGAGAATCACCAGCAGCAAGAGCGACATCATTGATATACACAGAGAAAAGAGTTGGCCCAAGAATTGAACCCTGTGGCACCCCCAGAGACTGCCATAGGTCCAGACAACAGGCCCTCCGATTTTACACATTGAATTCTATCTGAGAAGTAGTTGGTGAACCAGGCGAGGCAGTCATTTGAGAAACCAAGGCTATTTTGTCTGCCAATAAGAATGCGGTGGTTGACAGAGTCGAAAGCCTTGGCCAGGTCGACGAAGACGGCTGCACAGTACAGTCTTATCGATCACGGTTATAATATCGTTTAGGACCTTGAGCGTGGCTGAGGTGCACTCATGACCAGCTCGGAAACCGGATTGCATAGCAGAGAAGGTACGGTGGGATTCAAAATGGTCGGTGATCTGTTTGTAAACTTGGCTTTCAAAAACTTTCGAAAGGCAGGGCAGGATGGATATAGGTCTGTAACAGTTTGGATCTAGAGTGTCACCCCCTTTGAAGAGGGGGATGACCGCGGCAGCTTTCCAATCTTTGGGGATCTCAGACGTCATGAAAGAGAGGTTGAACAGGCTAGTAATAGGGGTTGCGACAATTTCGGCGGCTAATTTTAGAAAGAAAGGGTCCTGATTGTCTAGCCCAGATGATTTGTAGGGGTCCAGATTTTGCAGCTCTTTCAGAACATCAGTTGTCTGAATTTGTGTGAAGGAGAAGGGAAGGGGGGGGCGGCATGGGCAAGTTGCAGCGGAGGGTGCAGAGCTGGTGACCGGGGTAGTGGTAGCCAGGTGGAAAGCATGGCCAGCCGTAGCAAAATGCTTGTTGAAATTTAGCTTCAGTATGATCATGATATAATGCAACCAAACAAAAACACTACTCATAAATCATCCTAACCAATTTATAAATTATTCAATTGATTAGTTAGTTACTGATATAATCAGAATGTAGAGCGTGCCACCCATATATTTATCGTCTTGTGTTGTCTCCTTCCAGGCAGCAGCACGGCCTGTATCGTGGTGCTGGACCGGCAGAGCCATCGGCTGCACACTGCTAACTTGGGAGACTCGGGCTTCCTGGTGGTGCGGGAAGGAGAGGTGGTGCACCGCTCTGACGAACAGCAGCACTACTTCAACACCCCCTTCCAGCTCTCCATCGCCCCACCTGAAGCGGAGGGGGCCGTCCTCAGTGACAGGTCAGTTTCGTGGTCCTGCTGAAGCCATATTTTGTATTTTAAAGAAGCTGTGTAGTTATTTGTTTGGTTTTGAAGCACAGAGCCTAGTCTCTGCATTGGTTCTGCCCTTGTGCTGCTCCCTGGTCTGTTCAGTACAGTGTTGCTGCAGTGTTAGTGAGTGTCAGTACTGCCACAGTCAGTGTGCATGCCAGGGGTGGTTGGGGCCATGTGCTGCTGTCTCTCCTTGTGTAGGCATGTTGCAGACTCCAGTGGGGCCGGTGTTGGGTCCCCGCCACCGTCTAAGCCAGGTCAAAGTCTCATCACACACACAGAAGGGTGGCCTAAGGGCCCTCCTCACAGCAGCCAATCCGTGGTCTGCTGACCCACAGGCCTTCTCAACCCTGTAATCTAGAACAGGGAGATTATTTAGAGCTGCTCATGTGGGTTTCTCTAAACTGGTGTGAGCTGGAACTGAACATGTTGTAAATGTAGCTGATACACAGCATAGTACTTGTAGAATAGGCCTATTCACAACTGTAACCTCATCATACCTATTATAATATGGCTTGGTTTTGCTCAGTCTCCATGGTTTATCTCTATACAGAATAAACAGATATAGGCCCGGTTTCCCAAAAGCATCTTAAGGCTAAATTCATCGTTAGAACCTTCGTAGGAGCATCATTAAATCTCCGAGCTGTTTCCCAAAACCATCGTTACCAAAGTTGCACTTGAAAACACGCTTGCTATTTACGGACTGCCTCAGACCACTCATAGAACAGCTTTTTTTATTTTATTTTTATATATTTTATTTATTATTTCACCTTTATTTAACCAGGTAAGCCAGTTGAGAACAAGTTCTCATTTACAACTGCGACCTGGCCAAGATAAAGCAAAGCAGTGCGATTAAAAACAACAACACAGAGTTACATATGGGGTAAACAAAACAAAGTCAAAAATAAAACAGAAAATATATATACAGTGTGTTCAAATGTAGCAAGTTATGGAGGTAAGGCAATAAATAGGCCATAGTGCAAAATAATTACAATTAGTATTAACACTGGAATGATAGATGTGCAAGAGATGATGTGCAAATAGAGATACTGGAGTGCAAATTAGCAAAATAAATAACAATATGGGGATGAGATAGTTGGGTGGGCTAATTTCAGATGGGCTGTGTACAGGTGCAGTGATCGGTAAGGTGCTCTGACAACTGATGCTTAAAGTTAAGTGTGTCGTTAGATGCGTTTTTCCCATACCGCGTCACTTTAAACACAGAAGATCTCCGCTAAACATAGAATCAAGATGTTTATCTGTCTAGAAAGATGCTTAAAATTGAAAACCGAGATGACTGCATTAAAAGATAAATAGCCTACTTACAGTATAGGCTATAGGCCTATATATATGAAATACATTTCATGTTCATTAAATTGAGTTTTATTTTTATATTTGGCTTACGGTCTGTAATTTTCCCCTCTATATTTCATGATGTGCCAAATCTTGATTTAGTGCATTATTATAGGGTAAGCATTAGGATAAGCCGTCTCAATATTTGCAGCCATAGGTGATAATGTCTCACTATGAGCTGATCCATTGTCAGTATTGTTAATTAATTATAATGTTAAGGGAAGATTTTAATGGAGAAAGCTAACCTGAGCAGCGCTGCCTTTCTCTCGATTCAATCAGTATTGACACATGCTCCAACGACGCACTTAGTGACCGTTCTCTCTGCGTGGTGTTTTGAGAAACTCATGTTACATCTTCGGCCGTTGTAGGAAAGATGCATCGTTAACACACTCGTAAGCCTAAGTTCCATCGCTATCGGGAAACTGGGCCATAGTCAGTCCATATTTGTGACCTATTTGACCTGGCCTTGTCGCATATAGGCTGGAAATTCTCATCTTTCCATGAGCTAGAGGCTGCAGTATGTTTTTCCATTGATAGTATCATATTCAGGGTCATAAGCGTTGTGATTCCGCTGTAGTTGGTGGAAAGACCTGATGTTAATTTAATTTAGAGCTAAATCCGTGATTCCTTAATAGTGAATATTTTGAAACGTAGTACTTAAGCCTTGATGTAATGTAGGACTGTAGATGGAATGGCGGCTGGGTTACAGATGGTTTATATAACAGCCATGACTGTCGGGGAGTCTGGGGCAGAGGGAGAATTAATGCCGCCTTCCAAGAACTGAACTTGACACTCAACACTGAACTTGGCTCTGATCGCACATCAACATAACAGAAGTTCCTTAGAACTTCCCATGACGGCCAAGGTGTGCTTTCCTTGTGACTATTCCCTAGATTATTTTCCACCATACCTATGCAATTTGGTATTTGTTAGCAGCAGCATTTCACAGCAGAAATAATAGTTCAAATGTATAACTGCATTGCATGAATCTTTTTTTATATTTTTGTATACTTTATTCCAGTGTTTGACACAGTGATCTATAGCCATGTCTAACCTGAGGTGTGTGCCTGAGTCTCATAGTCAGACAGGAGACCGAGCAGCAGTGTTTCAGTGATCTAGGCTAAGGAAGGGCTAGAGGCACAGATTAAACTGGGCTCAGACAGGACACATTTCCTTCCTGGAGGGGGGTATGTGAAGGGGGGCAATTGGCTAACGTTTGCAATTTGGTTAAGCACTTTTTTAACGCTCCCTCGTCATGTGAATTTCTATCTCTAATTCAACCTAAGCTTGAATCATTACCAAAGGTTGTAAGGCTCTGGTTTTAATCATCAATGATTCAAGGTCCATAACCACGAAGAAGGATTTTTTGTATGTTTATTCATGGAGAGCTCTGGCGCCAAAAACACATACATACTGTTTTTATACCTCTTGACAAACAAAGGCACTATGCTCCTCCCACCTTTAGGTGGCTCTTTTAAACAGTTTCCGCCTTCTCCTTTACCCTTGAATGTTTAGTACCCCCTCTGTTAGTGGGTTGACACTATACGATAATTCGAATATCGTATACACATTTCTACTGTATTTGAGGTGAAATCCTTTAGATTAATTTGTGTATTAAGAATAATGACTATCATAGGCACTATATCATCAGGATATTTAACTAATGCTCCGGAAGACTATTATTTCTCCCCTACATTGTGTTAAGCTCTCTGTGTCCCCTCAGTCCTGACGCTGCAGACAGCTCCACCTTTGATGTCCAGTTGGGGGACATCATTCTCACAGCCACAGACGGCCTCTTCGACAACATGCCCGACTACATGATCCTACAGGAGCTGAAAAAACTCAAGGTACACCCTCGCATAAACCCTTGCCGTACTTGTGTGCAACAAACAGGTTTACTGTTTAATTCAGTAGAGTATTGAAGTGGAGGAGCAAGACATTCAAAAAATACTAAGACACTCCTCCATTTTTTGTTTTTGCAGAACACCAACTATGAGAGTATCCAGCAGACAGCCAGGAGCATTGCAGAGCAGGCCCATGTTCTGGCATATGACCCCAACTACATGTCGCCTTTTGCGCAGTTTGCTTGTGACAATGGACTGAATGTAAGAGGTAATGATCATCACTTTTATCACTTCTTCATGTGAGAGGAAATTGGGGACGAAGCCAAGGTAGACCTCATTTCATAGTCCATTTGCTCCATTCCTGCCCTGCTTCCCTTGTGAATGGTATCCAGGCTAAGAGGGCTTCTCTATAAATCAGGAAGAATGACACCCAGTGAGGAATACGAAGTGACGGATCACTTTGTTTTATTATAGTGTTCCTTCCATTGCTCTCAGGCTGCTTCCTTTATGGATGATGAAAATGAGAGATGGTTCCCAAAATCGGTCCATTCATTCATCCTCCTAACTGCATCTCTTTCTCTTCCCCACAGGAGGAAAGCCAGATGACATCACCGTGTTGCTGTCAATAGTGGCAGAGTACACAGACTAGAAACTGTATTGAGGCTAGGAGGGGAATTAGGAGAGTTTCCTCTTGCCATCTGTCTCTTGACGATGTCAGACTGCTTTGATTCCTGCTGGCGGGGATTAAGATTAAATTAGGGACTAATGTTGGTGGCTGACTGAGCCCACCTTCGGCCCCCCTGAGATAATCATTCCTCCAGGACTCAATCAGGCCTATTTCTCAGATGGAACACTGACAATACATGCACTGACGTCACCACCATCAGAACTGAGTGATAATCTTTAATAGTCTGAAGACATGGATAAATAAAGCAGAGGGTTAAATTCTAACACGTCTCTGGTTAGGCTACCTGCTGCAAAGTATCTAGCTGGGAAATGTTCCAGTTGTCATTGACCTAATCCCTGTTCAGTGGGATGAAGGACATCAGCATGTTGGAGATGAGACTCTGGCTCTCACATGAGAGGGATAAGTCTGTTTTCAGGTTTGGGCTTGGAGCAAACTCAGGATGGAGAGATTAAAAAAAAAAAAAAAAAAAAAAGGGGGTCGGTATTAGCCAGTCAAAAGTGATTGAGAGTCAGAATTGAAAATCTGTGGATCATGCCAATGAGTGTTAATCACAGGAACTGAGCTGATTCAAGACGGGAAGTAGCATCATACCATCAAGTCAAAACTATAGGGCCACGAAAACGTCACTTTTTCAGCAACTCACATTACACACAAAAACAAACAATTAAAAGACGTTGAAGGGCAAAAAAATGTATGTGGGCATAAGGGCATGCATCATTGTGATATTAAAGGATGTTAGAATGTTTTGGTAGATCTTTGGGAAAGGGACTGTGTGGTATTTTAAGTTGTTTGACTGATCTAAAGGTGCAGTTGCCATATACTTTTCCATATCAGTACAATTTGGGTCAAACACAGACCAAGTTAATAATTTCTAAGGACGTGAAATGTTAAAATAATGTTTCTGTCAAACCTGTCCTCACCCATGCTGCGATGCAAAGAGTGTGACTGAAAGTGATGTGGAAGGTTATGTGTGATAGAGTAACCTCTAGTCTGTCACATGACAGATATTCATATTGTATACATGCGGAATGGATGGGTTTTATGTAGGCTACACCGCTTTATTCAATATCCACCGGGATGCAATAGTAACAACCATTTACGCACAAGGTTAAAGAAAGCATATCTGAAAGCTCACAGTGGATGTCGGTCAAGTGACCAAGCATATATATTTTTTTTAAAACTTTGGTTTGATGGGGTGGGAATCTGGACTGATCAGTTTCAGTTTAGCTTCAGGAATAATTGTTCACAATCAGAATTTCTCAGTTGTCCCTGCTGTAAAGCTCCAATGGCACATTTGATTAAGTCTTATTAATCAGGTCACTTATGTTATTTAATATAACTGGTTTTCATTTTCTTTCACAGCTGATGTTAACTTTATTTAATTTCTTTTTTTTGCTGCAGTAAAATGTGCACTTTGCATTTACAACATAACTCATGTGCAGCAACATTTTAAGAGTAACATTTTCATTTTTAAAGGAAGATTCAACCCAAAAACAATCTTTCATTAGTCAATTGTTTAAATAGTCCCCAAATGTTTTGCTTGTCAGCAATCAAGTTTTCAAGATATGTAACTTTCAAAATACAGAAATCATCACCGTATGATGCATTTTGCACCACATGATGCAAAACGCAGATTCATATGATGCAAAATGCATCATACCAGGACAATTTCTGTATTTTGAAAATGTTGGACTATTTAAACAATTGACTAATGAAACAAATACCAAAATATAGTTTTTGGGTGAGGTTTCCTTTAACATGTACTATGTACATGTTGATTTATGGAGCTGATGTGCCTTGTATCAGATGTTATTGATACTGGCAAAATTGTCAAACATATTGTTCCCTAAACCCCACACTGTGTGTCAGCTATGGAGACGGACAAGTAGCCATATGATTCACACTTGCCCTGCTGTCTTAATTCTTAATCTGCGCCATCAGATGGGAGACCTTTCGTTCCCTTTCAATGTGTTCAATGCCTTTCACCATGGGACACATTCAAATTTGAATGGTCAAGCTATTTATTTTTAAAAGGTTGAAAAAGCATGACAAATGATCTTAAAATCCTTAAAGGCCCAATGCAGCTGTTTTATATCAATATCAAATTACTTGGTAACAATTAAGTACCTTACTGTAATAGAGTTCCATAAAAATTGGCAAAAAATTGCATTTTAGAAAACTAGCTGTCATTGGCAGAGAGGTTTGGAACTCTTTGTTATTGGTCTATTAACCAATTTACCGCATGGTGATTTTACCATGGAAAGGCCCAAACTCCTGCACATGCAAACCTGCTGATCAGAAGGTCCTGTGCAGATTGTATTTTCAACCAGCACCTATCAGGAAATGACAAAAACAAATGTCATACTTTTACAGTGTTAGTTTCATCAGCTGTGATATTATATAATACACAGGAAAAACACAATGTTGACTGTACTGGGCCTTTAACAATGTCCTGTGTATCATCTGTAGTACCCCTTGGTTTTCTTTTTGTTGATGTTATGGTGCTCCCTCACTGCAGGCTACTGTCCTGCTTCAAGGGCTCTCCCCTAACTAGGAAAATAATATCTATGCCGGTACTGACTGATGTAGGGCTATTAAGTGTTTTATGACATAAAAAAACCTTAAGAACTTAATACCCTGCATACATTTTCTTACTGCGCTGAGAGTTGAAAGGCACCTGCACTGGATGGGCCAAATGTTTTTGCAAGGATTATGGCACTGTAGAGGTTGCCAAGAACCTCACCAGCCTTAAAATACAAGCAATTCTCCCTGTCAGATGGCACTATATCAAAGCTAGCTTCTCCATGATGTCCATATCCTGCTCCCCACTGACCTAGTGACCTGACCTGCCAGTACCCCTGTTCTGTTGGCCAGTTCATCGTCCAGTTCAAAAAGAAAAGTTTGTTACAATGAGAGCTGCATGTATCTATATTTTGTATGTACAGTTCAACAATGCAGAGACCAGTTTCTGTTAAACATGTTTTCAAAGCTGTAAAATATTTAAATAAAGTATAGTATTTATTACCCTTGTGTTTTCCTTGAACCAGACCCTTGTCACATGTTTTTCTGTGTCAATATTGTTTGTTCAGTGGTCTCGCAAGGTATATGTCTATTTACACAGTAGACCGAACAGTTCCTGATGTAATGAAAGCATGTAGGTCAAAAGCATCTAGAATCAGAACAGGGCTACAATTTCTCTCCCTACCAGCTAGGTAGGCCATGCTGCTACACATGATCATGTATTTCTGATAGATAATCTCTATGCAGTCTTTCCCTTTGCAGATGGACTCATCCATTCCTGTCTCAGCAGGGGCCACAGTGGACTAGACTCCGAGTATGAGCCTGTTTCCCTCGCAGTTGTCTGCTCTTATGCAACCGAGGGGCCTGCCTGAAGCTACATGAAAATGCTCCATGTGATCTATATGTTTGGGTACACAATCCTCAACCTTTAGCCAGTCTGAAGCATGTTGAGAATTACTTTCAAGACCCAGGTGTGGCATCCCCAGGCGCTTGGCTTGAGGAATGTTTTCATGGGCAAATCTAGGGACTTTTCCCAATTTTTAAATTTGCTCACCTCTGTCCTCCCTGGTCTCCTTTTGAAAAAGGTAAAAGGTAATCGAGGACAGGCGGCGAGTAGAGGGAAAGTGGACGGAAATGCACTTGTATAAATTAGACTCCTCATATACTTGTGCTTCCTCGCCAAAAGAAGGCTATCGAGGAGGGGAGGACAGTCTTCGTTTACCTATTCATTAATTGACACTCCTTGACCAATTATCGGTTTCTGGGTCACAGAGAAGAGAGGACAGACTTTTACCCCAAACGAGAGAACTTCTAGATCAAATATTCATGTTAATTACTTAATTTCATGCTTTTGATGTCTGACTTTCAAATCTACGCTATATGCTTCTTGTAATAAATGCACATTGGAATAACTTATTTGTTAGTTAAAATAACAGACATGCTTTATGAACTTTCATTTAAAGCACTCAAATGAATTGAAAAATATTCCGTTCTCGTTTAAATGCATTTACAATATACAATGGAAAAAGACAATATGGTCTGCTGAAAAAACTTGCAGGGTACGAAAACAGTTCTTGGCTTGGTCATCATTCTGTGGTAACTTACAGTGTACCACTGGCCCTCTCCTCTCCCTCATCTTCTGTATCACTGGAACACACCAGACTGGGCAGCATAGAGGTACAACCATCACCCTGCTCACAGGACAAGGCCCCAAAGAGGAGGGAGCGAACCTAAGGAACCAAAACACATGACTCATCGTTAATAGACAGCTGAGCAGACTTTGAGTATGGTGGGAAAAAACAGCAAATTGGGAAACAGTTTTCGAAATATGGTCTGGTGGTTCTTAGGCAAAAGGGCTGGGGATAAGAGGGCTGTGCAACCAACCACACACCTTGCATACGTCACAATTCACCTTCACCCTGTCTGTCTTTGAGGGCAATCACACATCACATGGTTAAACATTATTGCAATCTAGGCACATTTACAGTTTGAAGGTTAAAGCAAGGCCTTATCTGTACTTTGGCACTTACCAAAGTATAGTACCAGTCAGAGCCTGTCAAAATCCCAGAACACAGTGGCTTGAGGGCACAAACCGAAGTCAACCAAAGTTCATATTTTGTTCTAATTAACCTTGGAAGGGAAGTTTCTGTTACCTTGGAGGAAGCAGGAGTTGTAATGCCACGACCTTTGTGTGTGTAACGTGGTCTGAGTCTGTCAGAATCCTCTCCTGTTCTGGTGAGCTCTCTCATGAGGGCTGCTCCACTAAACACTGGGCTTCCCTGGCTGGATGCTATCAGCTCGCCTACAGAGGGAAACCCCTGGGCCTGGGGGGTCCCGGCATCTGCCACGCATGGGCCCTCAGAAGGCTCCGCAACACCTCCACACCTGAGAGCATATAAGGACCATTACAGCAAGGCTGCCTTTAGCATTTCCCTCCAGTTATCCACCTATAGTTTTCATATATAGCTTAATATTTAAAACAGATTATGCCTGTCAGTCTTAAGTCAATACTAATGAACTACATTTGTGATAGTCAACAAACTAAAGCAATAGCATTGCTAATAGACATCTAGATATATATCTAATAGAAGTTATATGAGATGCACATGCTATGTTCTATTGGGAAAATATTGTTTTTAGATAACTCTAGTGTGTGTTTGAAAGAAGTCTTTGCTCTCATGAGCGTGTGTGTTATGTGATATTCCGCATGAGTTACTGCAGCTGCACGTGCATCAGTGTGTGAGGGAGAGAGAGTGGAGGGGAGGGGCAGAGCTACAGAGAGCAAGAGACGGCAGGGAAAGAAAGGGAGGAACATGGAGAGAGAGAGAAAAAGGGAACTGTTGTTGGAGTGACACTGTTGTTGGATTTTGGCTGTGATCCATGGCTGCATGCTATGATAACCTAACTCTGTTCCGCCTGTTCTCCTGCACATGGCAGGCCACTGTCTCTGGCTGTTTTCTCAGTGTTCCTCAGCATAAACACGCTTTCCATAAACACCACTGACTGCACCACAGACAGAACCAGACTGTGCCTATAAAGAAGCGTCCCAGCAGGAGAGAGAATGGGAAGGAGCTGTTTTTTAAAATATCATCACTTATCTTTGTCAAGGTCAACATGAGAATAAATGTGTGTGTCTGCCTGGGAGGTTATGGAACAGCAGGTTCAGTAACAAAGAATATAAACATAAATAGTACAACTACAACATAAACCTGTCATACAAAAATCTGATGTGTTCTCAGTATTCCATGAAGGTACCAACATGACATTTATATTTTGGTCATTCAAACATACTATATGAACGTTTCCTTGAAAAAGGAAGAAGCAGCACAATGCAGCGACGTCATAAGTGACTCAGATGTGCAACAATCCGGCTGGGACTGGTGCAAACCCCACCTCAGGCGGCTCAGAAAAGACACTAAGAGAGAGATAGAGGCCGGGCGGGCCACACACTGAGTGACATCATCGCCACAGCAACGTAACAGGTTAGTGACTGTGGGGGATGTAGGGATTACAGCCTGTCAGTCTGTCAGTCCTCTAACCCAGCCAGCACGGCCTTGCCCCAGATAGCCAGGCTCTGTTACAGTGCTACTACACTGTTCTGTAACACAACGCCCACTGAGGCACCAAAAAAAGCACATGATGGCAAACTGCCTCCAGTAAGGAGGACATCACAGGTACAGCCAGCACTAGGATTCTAGGATAGGCTAGTTAAAATGTACTCTACTGTGACTGTCACATGATTGGACAGGCGCTTTAAGGCTATCTAAGGCTGTTTACTTTTTTATTTGCTATTGAACTGAGAAATTGCTTCTCCCTAGGACAAAATGTCCTGCATTTCTACACAACAAGGGCAGCAGATGCTGGTGATGTGGTGTATTACACAATGTTGGACCAAATACAGAACCCCCCTATCAGTGGTGGGGTAATAACTGTATAACGAATGGTGATGGCTACCTTAGTGCAGCAGGAACCTGGGCCTCTGTAGCCTGGGAGGGGGTCCTGCTCTCTGGGTTGACAAGAGTAGCCAACACCACACAGGCCTCCAGCACCATGTCCTCTACACTGAAGGACACAGGCCTGACAGACAGCAAAACACAACATCAGCATACCTAGAACCAGTGCACTGAGATTTCTCCAACCATGTGACCAGACCGGGAAAAACTCTGGGCCTTATTTAGGACCTAAGTAAAAGAGGTGATAGTCACTGGGTATAACCACAAGGACCAGGATACTTACTTTCCTGCAGCGCCAAAGTGGACAGACACTGGTAGACCATGTGATTCAGCAAATGACAGCAATCCCTAGAGAAGAGGTTAACACATTAAACACATGCACCACCAATTAGAAAACAGGTCATGGTGGATCACAATACTCTGGTACTCTGCTAGACAGCAATGTACATTAGATGACAGGGCACATATTACCAATGTTGCTGTGTACACTAGCCATGACCTTTGAAGCTGTAGGGGTCAATCACAGTGAAAGGGGTAATCATGGGTTCAGTTGAATCGCTGTGTCCGATGCCCAGACAACAGAGCCTCTGTGTGTGTTCAACTAGCCCCTCTAACACACTGTGACAGGTAAGACTAGTAGCAATGTAGAGACTGGCTCACTGTCCAACCCAATCACAGGCTAGCATGGACACACAGCAGTCTATATGAACAGCTAGGCATGGCTTTACTGTGTAATGAGGGACTTCACAACAGGGTAGCCCCAACAACATTCCAGGACATTAGGATCGGGTCAAAGGATGTGTCTGAGCACAAATTGTGACACATTAGTTGTACTTTATAATAAATGACACAAAAAAACATAGGATGTAAAATGGCTGAATTTGTGTGGTCCCAATGTGATATATTTTGCTATTGAATCATGTTGATGTATATTTCTCCTCTGAGGACTTGGGTTTATTTGGAACATGCATGAGAGTTAGGTAATCAATGCATGTGTTCTACTACTTATTACTGTCTGTTCACAAAAAAATGTAGACGTGCGGGAAAAAAACATATCATATTATAACTTGATTCATTCGGGTCATAAAACAAAATCCCACCCAAGAGGGGAAAGTTCCATTGAAAATGATAGGGTACAGAGTCTCCTGGACACTTGGGTCTAGTCCCGTAAATAAATGAATTAACCCATGGGTATGCAAGCACAGACAGTGACACCCCCCCCCCATATTCACAAGCTCATGTGACAGAAAAATAAGGTCCACCCCAAAATAACCCCCTTACCCTCAGCTCCTTCAGACAGAAGGTTATGTCTGAGTCAACTCCAACCTGGAAGTAGTCAAACTCACTGGGGTCTAAAGACATCTCAGTGTGCATGGCCTTCATACAATCTGCACCCCAAAAAATCAGGAGTTAGGCACATTATATTACAGATTTGTTGTGGGTTTGTTTTTTCATACTGTGTAGACAGTGCAAAATCTCACCACTTTCCTCTTCATAGTAGCTTTTCAGATTGACTCTCAGAGGAGACATGGACAGAGTGATCTCTTCCTGAGACACTGGGAAGTGCATTACCATGTCGCCTAGAAGTCTGGCCCAAAAATAATAACACAAATGTAATACAATTATAATAGATAGTACAAATGTAAATTATTAATGAAATTATCATATACTGTATACCCTGTAGTAATTCTTAGTCGGTATCTGAATCACTCTTCATAAATGTCACATGAGGAGATAGACTGGGATATGTTTATGGGAGCTCACCTGGCCTGGGCCTTCAGCACATTGGGGCAGAGGTGAGAAGGAAACACTGCATGCAGAGCTTCACTCTCCTGGAAACCCAGGTTGTGTGTTTTGGTGATACCTGTCACAAGGAGTATGAGGCGTTGGGACACAGCGCCATCTAGTATTGATACTATGCATTACAATCTGAGAATTATAAAGAATCCCCAACCCCCCCCCACACACACACACACTCACACACAAAACAATATATTTTCTGAGAGCACTCTATCGGACTGTTCTCCTACCATGTCTGCAGTGAAACTGGAATATAACCTGGTTGTCTGGGAGGTTGATGGATATTTGACAGCGATCCACATTACGCTCAATGGTAGCCAGGCACCGAAACAGTGGCAGCACTGACTAAAACCAAAGGATGTATATTAATACACAGCTATTACACTATCAGTACTATAAAGTCTAACCCATTGTAAAAGCAATGATGCTGAACTGTTCCATATGGGCCTGTGTGAGACATTTATCTGTCTTGAGATATGTTTGGGGTCATATTCAGCAGATTCAGAACAGCTCGGCCATTACCTTCATGACCAACTTGCATTTGACAGTTCCACAATCCTGGGCTGGTCCTGTGTCTGGGCTGTAGTGTTGGAAGAACAGTGGGGAGAAGAGGAAACAGGTGTAGGCAGAATGGGCTGAGTTCACTGACCTCACTGCCAACTATAAGAGACCAGACCAGGCAGATAATGATATGCATAATAGTTAGGACAGGACAATGTTATGTAGCTAACACTTTATATTGATAAAGCTTTGTAGACCATCATCAAATCTAACTTTATTTGTATAGCACACTTTAAATGGACTGATGCTTACCCCTTTCATCATAGGATCCAACCATAATTCACCACCTATGCGTGCCAGGGCATGAATAGCCTTCCCAAACACTGTCACAAACAGAGTCAGAGACACTGTTTATGTAGATTAAATTCATCAATCAATTATAATGTGTCAATATATTTAGCTAGCTAAATCCTTAAATTTTGCTATCTAGCTAAATTACCTCAGAGAACTATCTGCAGACTGAGGTAGGCTGTCAAAGCTAGCCAACTTTAGAGAATTAGCCAACTTTAGAGAGCTAGCTAGCTAGCTAACGTTTATACTGCCCTGTTTGGCACATTTAGCTAGCTAGCTAAGTTAGCTAGATATGTATTTTAAAATGTGTTGCACATTTATGTATCAATACGTTATAGTTATCTATATTCCAAAAGCTAACATACCTTTAACCCCGTTTCCTTCAATGACACACTTCATTTTGGCAGTCAAGTTCAAGTTCCACAATGTTTGATTGTGTGGTGCTCACTGATTAGTGTGTCTGTCTGCTGTGTCATGTCGATTGGTGCTGATGTTGAGCACACGTGCACCGTGCAGTTGACGCGCATCAACTACAAAACAGCAGCATGGAGATGATTTTACTAATTAACCATATTGTGTAATATGCTAATCTATTACCATTATGACTTGTATGACTATACGTGGTAATGTAATGTATATTAACTTAAAATTCAAAAATCCTGAAAACTAGATACCTGGGAAGTGTGTAAGAAATGCAGTAATAACGCAACAGATGACCATTCAAGAGATTTTTTGCCAATATAATTTATTGTCAAGCAGTCTCACCTTATAGTAAATGCACTGCAAACACATTGTTACATAATAATCTCACAGGCCTATTGCAGAAACCTTCCCAGCTGTCACTTATTTCTCTTCAGATGTTTCTGCATATTGTTTTGCCCCCGATTTCTTTTGGGATTACATTTTAACTTTTGCTTTCACCACATTATTTGTTTAACACTTTTTTGATTACTACGTGATTCCATATGTGTTATTTCATAGTTTTGATGTCTTCACTATTATTATACAACGTAGACAATAGTAAAAAGTTTGACCGGTAGTGTACAAATAATCTACAGACATAAAATGTACAGTATGTAATAATGGTTTATAAACTATGTAAAAACTATTATAAGCAGTGTATAGGCAGACTCAAATTAGTGTTTTGAAATGATCAAAATTATACTATACTTCAATACATTATCAGAATAATATGTATGACTCACTTCATAATTAATTATTTCAAATGCAATCTTCTCACTCTGTACTGTGACTGTTGGCAATCTTTGGGAGGATAACTTTAGAGTGCACAGTGGTGCCCTTCCTCTGTCCATATGGCTTGATCCTAGATCCAGAATCTCTCTCATTGTCCATCTTGAACGTGATCCTATCTCCAGTAGTATTCTTGGTTCCATCCAAAGAGCTATGACCTTGAGGGAAAAGATTTAATCAAAGATGGGCAATAGTTGGTCTTTATTCCATTCTAAAGTAAATACAATTACCACACACCTGATTTAATACACCGGTGCAGCACATTGAGATAGTGTTGCTTCATCAGTCGTCTCATGTGCTCAGTGCTGTAGACATTTGCAATGCTGTAGAGATATCGTTTCTGTCCAGTTGTTAGGGTTGGATGCTGGAACATGATAACAATATTTTGTACAACACTACATTTACATTCAGCAATATATTAATTCTGGTATATTACAAATACGTTGCTGACATGTTACCTGTAGAAATGGTGCAGTCATCATGGACTTGGGGACGTGTATGGTTTTCACCTGCTGGTGGTCAGGAACCTTGAAATGTGCTGTCCTGTGCATCTCCACCCTGGTGTTTTGTTCCTTATACACATGCTCAGAGTCTGTCATATAGCCTCTATCTGTATTAATCACACAATGTTTACTTTTTATTTCCTCCCTTCATTTTTGATTGAGTAAAATGTTAATGATCAATCATCAGTAGTGTTAAATAAATTGATTCACCAAATTAACATTACACTAACATTTGGATACCCCCCAAAATACCACTTGGAAAGATATGGACCCGACTGGCTTCTGTGGTGTCTATTACATGCCACACAAAGGCTATTGCATTTCAGTTCTCTATCAACAGAGGAGCGCTTCACCTTGTATTACCGACTCACAAAATAGCCTATAGTTTCAAACTAACAATGTAAACATGCAAACATACAATGCATAAGTTAAACAACCAGTAGGCTATACAAACAGTACATACCTATATATCTATGATGGTACATGTTATTTGACTCCGCAGATCTACAAACATGAAATAATAGAAACTTGATCTGAGATGTTTGCATTGACGGCAATAATAGAAAAGCTCGAAAAACAAGTCGTCATTAAAAACAGATGTGTCTATAAATATAATGCACTCATTTCATTAACATTCATTACAGAAGCATACAGTTAGTTAATATTGCAAGCCTACCTTGTTGCTAAAACGCGACTACCACCGCATTTTATCAGGCGATCTCCTTTTCTTATTTCCTCGACAAATGTAACCTGTTTTCTCATGATTTTGTTACTTTGTAACAAATCGATGAGGTCAATTTTAGTATTGGTGGTTACAAGTATCAATCTTCCATTGCCATGGTCCTGTGAACAGGAGAGGATGCCAGTCCATGGGGCGGATCCAGAGCAGACTAGACAAGAGGTTTACAGTGCATTCAGAAAGTATTCAGACCCCTTGACTCTTTCCTCATTTTGTTACGTTACAGCCTTATTCTATAATGGATTACATTGTTTTTTCCACTCATCAATCTACACACAATACCCCATAACGACAAAGCGAAAACAGGTTTTTAGGAATGTTTGCAAATGTATTAAAAAGAAAAAACAGAAATACCTTATTCACATAAGTATTCAGACCCTTTGCTATGAGACTCGAAATTGAGCTCAGGTGCATCTTGTTTCCATTTATCATCCTTGAGATGTTTCTTCAACAGAATTGTGTCAAGGCTCAGATCTGGGGAAGAGTACAAAAATATGTATGCAGCATTGAAGGTCCCCCAAAACACAGTTGCCTACATCATTCTTAAATGGAAGAAGTTTGGAACCACCAAAACTCTTCCTGGAGCTGGCTGCCCAGCCAAACTGAGGAATCGGGGGAGAAGGGCCTTGGTCAGGGAGGTGACCTAGAACCCGATGGTCACTCTGACAGAGCTCCAGACTTCCTCTGTTGAGATGGGAGAACCATCCAGAAGGACAACCATCTCTGCAGCACTCCACCAATCAGGCCTTTGTGGTAGAGTTGCCAGACAGAAGCCACTCCACAGTAAAACACATGATAGCCCGCTTGGAGTTGCCAAAAGGCACCTAATGGAATCTCAGACCATGAGAAACAAGATTGAACTCTTTGGCCTGAATGCCAAGCGTCAGGTCTGGAGGAAACCGGTGAAGCATGGTGGTGGCAGCATCATGCTGTGGAGATCTTTTTCAGCGGCAGGGACTGGGAGGCTAGCCAGGATCGAGGGAAAGATGAACAGAGCAAAATACAAGAGATCCTTGATGAAAACCTGCTCCATAGAGCTCAGGATCTCAGACTGGGATGAAGGTTCACCTTCCAACAGGACAACAACCCTAAGCACATAGCCAAGACAATGCAGCAGTGGCTTCGGCACAAGTCTCAATGTCCTTGAGTGGCCCAGCCAGAGCCCAGACTTGAACCCGATCGAACATCTCTGGAGAGACCTGAAAATAGCTGTGCAGCGACGCTCCCCTTCCAACCTGACAGAGCTGGAGAGGATCTGCAGAGAAGACTGGGAGAAACTCCATAAATACAGGTGTGCCAAGCTTGTAGCGTCATACCCAAGAAGAATCAAGGCTGTAATCGCTGCCAAAGGTGCTTCAAGAAAGTACTGAGTAAAGCGTCTGAATCCTTTTTTTTTTTTTTTTTTTTAGGGGGTAGATCAGCTTTAATATTGCAGATAGATTGTAACTTCCATCAATGTAATTGTCTGCATCACTTCCAATTCCCCATGTTTTATATATATATATATATATATATATATATATATATACACACACACATACATATACATACAGTGGGGGAAAAAAGTATTTAGTCAGCCACCAATTGTGCAAGTTCTCCCACTTAAAAAGATGAGAGAGGCCTGTAATTTTCATCATAGGTAAACGTCAACTATGACAGACAAAAATAGAAAAAAAAATCCAGAAAATCACATTGTAGGATTTTTTATGAATTTATTGGCATATGATGGTGGAAAATAAGTATTTGGTCAATAACAAAAGTTTCTCAATACTTTGTTATATACCCTTTGTTGGCAATGACACAGGTCAAACGTTTTCTGTAAGTCTTCACAAGGTTTTCACACACTGTTGCTGGTATTTTGGCCCATTCCTCCATGCAGATCTCCTCTAGAGCAGTGATGTTTTGGGGCTGTCGCTGGGCAACACAGACTTTCAACTCCCTCCAAATATTTTCTATGGGGTTGAGATCTGGAGACTGGCTAGGCCACTCCAGGACCTTGAAATGCTTCTTACGAAGCCACTCCTTCGTTGCCCGGGCGGTGTGTTTGGGATCATTGTCATGCTGAAAGACCCAGCCACGTTTCATCTTCAATGCCCTTGCTGATGGAAGGAGGGTTTCACTCAAAATCTCACGATACATGGCCCCATTCATTCTTTCCTTTACACGGATCAGTCGTCCTGGTCCCTTTGCAGAAAAACAGCCCCAAAGCATGATGTTTCCAACCCCATGCTTCACAGTAGGTATGGTGTTCTTTGGATGCAACTCAGCATTCTTTGTCCTCCAAACACGACGAGTTGAGTTTTTACCAAAAAGTTATATTTTGGTTTCATCTGACCATATGACATTCTCCCAATCCTCTTCTGGATCATCCAAATGCACTTCAGACGGGCCTGGACATGTACTGGCTTAAGCAGGGGGACACGTCTCGCACTGCAGGATTTGAGTCCCTGGCGGCGTAGTGTGTTACTGATGGTTGGCTTTGTTACTTTGGTCCCAGCTCTCAGCAGGTCATTCACTAGGTCCCCCCGTGTGGTTCTGGGATTTTTGCTCACCGTTCTTGTGATCTTTTTGACCCCACGGGGTGAGATCTTGCATGGAGCCCCAGATCGAGGGAGATTATCAGTGGTCTTGTATGTCTTCCATTTCCTAATAATTGCTCCCACAGTTGATTTCTTCAAACCAAGCTGCTTACCTGTTGCAAATTCAGTCTTCCCAGCCTGGTGCAGGTCTACAATTTTGTTTTTGGTGTCCTTTGACAGCTCTTTGGTCTTGGCCATTGTGAAGTTTATGTCTTACAAAAGTTCTGAACCTTTCTATTCTCATTGTTTCTACAGATTGTGAATTGAAATTAAACATTTTTGCTATAAGTATTATTATATTATTGATCGATTGACTATGACTTTTCAGATCACCAGGTAATGCTATCTGCAAGGTTAGCTCCAGGTAAATATTGCAATCCTTTAGCCATTGCTGGACCTGTGTCCAAAAACAAGCTACAAATGGACAGTACCAAAACAAATGATCTAATGATCCTGTCTCTTCGCAGCAAAATCTGCAGAACTGGGAAGATTGTATCCCTCATATAAATAACATTATTGGTAGCAAGAATTGTATAGAATAATTTAAATTGAAAGATTCTAAGTTTTGAATCTGGTGTTGTTTTGCGTATCAGTTCATAAACACTATGCCATGGGATCGGTACGTCAAAAATCTCTTCCCAACTATTTTGCAATCTATATGGGACGGCTGTCAATCCTTTGGTCCTTAAATGAAACTGATATACTTTTTTATTTATCACAGTTTTCCTTAACCAATTATGTTCTTTAATACAAGGCCGACAGACAAGTTCCTTACTTTCTCCGCCTTCCACGTTCCTCTTCCATTTTTGCGGTAAGGCTGCAATTATTTGGTTGTAATTTTGTGTAGAGCAGACATTTCCATATGTTTTTGTTAGCTGCATGTGCGACATAACTCCACCAGTCCTACCGATTATATCATTTACGAAAATTATACCTTTTAAAAACATTTTCCGAATACACTTTAAGTAATTTTCCCCATTTCATCACTTCCCATCCGATTAGACTAACACTAGATAAATAAAACAAACAAAATTACAAAAAGTATGACAGTTAACACATTTTATTGAGCTCATGTCAAATACACATGGCATTACCACTTTATGTTTAACACAACAAACATGGGGGATAGGGTGAGATAACAGGAGTACCTGGGAAAAACACGATTGAAATTATGAGTGTATTGCTTCATGATGTTTTAAATGCACGAAGTCTCTTATGCAAATACAGTGAACACCGGTCTGAGGTGTAATCTAAAGAGTAAACGGTAACAATTTATGTGTCATAAAGCCTACACAATACCATCAATTGTAAACCATATATCACATCCAAATATATGAATAATACCTGCATTTGTATGCAATCCCAGCATAGCTAATTTGTTGGCAAATTAACCAGCAAACATGACTGTCATTAGTGGTTAGTCATTTGATAGTATTAAAGTATCGGTCATGGCTATGGCATTGTTGAGGATGATTTGGTGTAGGCTTTAGGGTGTAGGCTTTAGGGTGTAGGCTTTATGGTGGCTCTAATGAACACCATCAAAGCAAAGTTGGCAAAGCACCCCACCACAATTCAAACACTGATTGTTATGCATAATGTTAAATCAACATGCATCAGAATGCGGTCCATTTTTATTATTTCAGAATAACACTTGATACCAGATTACTTTGAATTTTCATTCATTTTCACATATCAACAATCCCATTTAACAGACAAAACAAACCTAGATACCTTATGCATATTGTACACCTTCCTAACTAATGGTGTAATCGCATGCCTCCCAGTAATTTACCACCTGGTTTCACCCAGAGTAAATAGATGGTAGTTAATATCATGAGACTTCTGTCATTCCTTAAAGAAAGATAAACATGTTGTCCACAAGAGGCTGCACAATAACAGAAAATGACATGGCCTTAGTTTGAGGCTTTTGTACTCATAATCTGAATACACAAATCAGAATATAAATCTAGGGGTAGATGCAAATTCTACATGATCTGATCAAATAATAATTGTACACATGCACCAAGAAGCCAAAAGTGCCACCCATCACCCAGAAACAACCTCAGAGGGACACGTTTTATGTCAATCCCACTTACAGCTCCCATGTAACACTAGACTAAGAACAAATCAAACAACCATAAAACAAATGTGTAATCCTTTTAAGTTGAGGTAAATTCAGATGCCAGCAAACCGGTATATCCACTGAATAATCACAGCTTAATTCTTAACAATTTAGAACTTTTTGGTTGTTTTGGAAAAAGTTTAATTAAAACAGAGTGAGTAGGACCTCAGACTTGACTGTGACATGATTGGTAACAGACATTGTGATTATCTGGGTAGAGGACCAAGTCAACAAGCACACTCATAAAACCCTCCAGGGAGAGAACAACCGCCAAGAGGGAGTAGAACTAACATAAGGCAGCAGTGATCAAATGACAGTGTTGAAAGACAAAAACATGTTTGACAAGGTTTTGCAGGCAGGCCGGCATTCTGTAGAGGTGACTGCGAGGATGGGACACTTGGTGAGAACCTAATAATGAGAAGAACTGGCTTTCATGTGTTTTAAAATTTTCAAGCACAACAAACAAATTGCATAAGAAACCTGGTATAAAGTAGAAACTGTTCAGCAGCAGATTTAAAAAAAGCAAGATAATTTACAGTAGTGACATATCTTACATAATATTTTTCAAAATAAATTAAATTAAATATACAATTCCAGGTAGGAAATGGAGGGAAATATTTGCTGGTAGGTTTCTCACATTCATTCCTCTTACGAAAAACAACGACCTTTCAGGAAAAAAAAAAAAAAGTGTCTGGCCGACCAAATCCCATGATTGGCAAAAGAAGGGGTGCAAAAGCCTAGTCTGAACTGACTATTTTCCTTCTGAAGCCATTTCCTTTAGCTAGATGGAAGAGGGGAAAAACATTCAACATTTTCTACCACAGTCAAGTATGAAACAGAAGAGTCAAAACTGAACATTACAAAATAATGATTGCATTCCTTTCAATAACAACAAGAATGAGTCGGTAGGTATATGTTGCTTACTCACCCTGGAACTTTGCCATTGAGTCTGGGTTCTAGTCAAATGCCATCTCCTGGCTTTTCCGTACACAGCGAGCCACCTTCCTCTTGAATTCACCATTAGGATCCTCCCTCCACTCTTTCTGTGGGACAGGCGCAAACTCCATTTCACAATCTCAATAGCACAGTTGTCCTTGTCACTTTGACACAGGTTCTGGAAGTACTTGGATTGTAACACACAAAGTCAGTGTTAAATACATGTATTATCACAACTCACCGCAGCATCCACATTAGCAGGCGAATCACTGTTTGGGTCGGCCAGCATGGAGATAACACTAATCATAATAGTCTCTACAGTGTGGATTGGAAGCCAACGTTCCTCTGGCTTCTCATAGCCAAACCTGTCCTCTCCTGGCTCATGCAGTATTGAGATACATACATCGCCATTCTTTGCCACTAAGGGAGATGAAAAATAATAATATACACTAGTAAACAGCAAACACTCTAATGATTAAAAAAGGTTACGGCTCTAGGTTTAGTAGGGCTCATAAAGTGTGACCAGTGTTTTTACCATTAGGATGCCAGATTTCAGTGATCAACTTCATCTTGGGAGGCCGTAGTGGATAATCATAGGGAAAGGTCAGGTATGCTTTAAAAAACCCTCCTTCACTGTAATGGAGAGAACAGAGAAAGCATTTCACATTTTAGTCATTTAGCAGATGCTCTTATCCACAGCGAGTTAAAATTAGTGCATTCATCTTAAGGTAGCTGGGTGAGACAACCACATATCACAGTCGTAGCAAGTACATTTTCCCTCAATAAAATAGTTATCAGCAAAGTCAGTGCTAGTAGGAATATATACACACTTAGTGTACAAAACATTAGGAACACCTTTCTAATATTGAGTTGCACCTCCTTTTGCCCTGAGAACAGCCTCAATTCGTCGGGCATGTACTACAAGGTGTCAAAAGCATTCTACAGAGATGCTGGCCCATGTTGACTCCAATGCTTCCCACAATTGTGTCAAGTTGGCTGGATGTCCTTTGGGTGGTGGACCATTCTTGATACACACAGGAAACTGTTGAGTGTGAAAAACCCAGCAGCGTTGCAGTTCTTGACACACCTACTACCATACCCCGTTCAAAGGCACTTAAATATTTCGCCTTCCCATAACACTCCTGAACAGCTAATCAAATGGCTACCCGGACTATTTGCATTGTATTCGGCGCATGTGACAAATACAATTTGATTTGATTCCCCTGGTCAGTCTATGTCATGGAAAGGGGGCCGTGGGATTAATTTAAGATAGTCTTTCAAGAGGTAGGGTTTCAGAAGTTTTCGGAAGATGGGCAGTGACTCTGCGGTCCTAGCATCAGGGTAAGCTGGTTCCACCATTGTACTCTACAGATTGTAGAGCATGAACCTGCAGGAGTGAGTCACTGCTTTGATGTTTCCAGAGAATGACAGGGTGTTGTTCAGGGTCACGCCAAGGATCTTTGCACTCTGGGAGGGGGACAATGTGGAGTTGTCAACTGTGATGGAGCGGTCTTGGAGTGGGCAGGCCTTCCACGGGAGGAAGAGCAGCTCCGTCTTGTCAAGGTCAAAGCAGTCATCATCCCCATTTACCCATCTGAGAGCACTTTCAAAGTATGTACTCCGCTTCTTTAGGAATATCAACCCATGTTCATAGACACATTCTCAAATAAATGTCCTAACTTACAAGAGGGTGTCTTGTGGCCCTATGATGACAACCTCCCATTTGTATATATCCTCATCATCTATTAGGCCAGCTGAAAAGCCCTCCACTGGGTTCTTGTTGAGCTCTGAAATAGAAAGACACAAGGTAATGAAATGCACCAACTAACAAAAAACACAAAAGGAACAGTGACAAGTTGTGTAGAAAAAGAGTCACAGGTACCTATTGTCTGTGTGGCCAACTGAAAAGGTAGCCTGTATGTACCCCCCCTCAGGTGCACAAAATGAACTTCCATTGGCTGAAAAATGTTCATGGTGTCTGACAACCGCCAAGATATATAAACGTTTAGCTATTTACTAAAATACAGAAGGGGATGGGGTTAGTTAATACTTTGCCTTCAGAAAGTATTCAGACCCCTTGACTTTTTCCACATTTTGTTGTGTTACAGACAGAATTTAAAATATATTAAAGTGAGATTCTGTGTCACTGGCCTACACACAAAACCCCATAATGTCAAAGCAGAATTGTGTTTTCAGACATTTTTATAAATTAATTAAAAATAAAAAGCTGAAATGTCTTGAGTCAATCAGTATTCAACCCCTTTGTTATGGCAAGCCTAAATAAGTTCAGGAGTAAAAATTTGCTTAACGAGTCACATAAGTTGCATGGACTCACTCTGTGTGCAATACTAGTGTTTAACATGATTTTTGAATGAGTATCTCATCTCTTTACCCCACACATACAATTATATGTAAGGTCCCTCAGTCGAGCAGTGAATTTCAAACACAGATTTGGGAGGTTTTCCAATGCCTTGCAAAGAAGTACATCTATTGATAGATTTGTAAAAATAAAAAAAGCAGACATATTGAATATCCCTTTGAGCATAGTGAAGCTATTAATTACACTTTGGATGGTGTATCAATACACCCATTCACTACAAAGATACAGGTGTCCTTCTTAACTAATTTGCCGGAGAGAAAGGAAACCGCTCAGGGATTTCACCATGAGGCCAATGGTGACTTTAAAACAGTTACAGAGTTCAATAGCTGTAATACGGGAGAAAACTGAGGATGGATCAACAACATTGTAGTTACTCCACAATTCTAACTTTAATGACAGAGTGAAAAGGAGGAAGCCTGTACAGAATAAAAATATTCCAAAACATGCATCCTGTTTGCAATAAGGCACTAAAGTAAAACTGCAAAATAATTGGCTAAGAAATTAACTTTATGTCCTGAATACAAAGCGTTATGTTTGGGGCAAATCCAACACAACGCATCCCTGAGTACCACTCATCATATTTTCAAGCATGGTGGTGGCTGCATCATGTTATGGGTATGCTTGTCATTGGCAAGGAATAGGGAGTTTTTTAGGACAAAAAGAAACGGAATAGAGCTAAGTACAAGCAAAATCCTAGAGGAAACATGGTTCAATCTGCTTTTCAACAGACATATTCACCTTTCAGCAGGACAATAACCTAAAACACAAGGCCAACTTTCCATACATGTTTGCCCATGGAAGAAGTGGTCAGAAAGTTACTTTTTGTACCTGAATGCAAAAACATTCAGGAGATAAAGGTGCTGAAAGTTGACCATTTTGCATACCCCACCATATCATAAGACATCCATGTTCTAATCACTGGAAGAGATAAACTGTTGAGTTTTATATAATTTAAAAGCTTACAAACATAAAAAATAATCATATTTAAACCTTTAACGTCAATGATCTAAAACACCTAAACTCCGGGGGTTTTCATATTCGCATATTTTGTAGCTTAGACCCCATTTCAAATCATCTTAGGTTTTTGTGTTGTGCCCACAATCTGTTGAGAAACAAAATGCTCTGGAATACAGGGTTGGTGTCATTTCAAACATAGAAGTTGCATTCATAGAACAGACCTATTCCTTCAGAGCACAGCAATTTAGCTGGTACACCATTGAAATGGAATTAAAATGTTTACTTTAATTCCTACCACAAAGATGACCGCCGCTCCACCCACCTTCGAATGTCAACTTAAATGGTAATTTCTATTATTTTATCTATATTTCTATAGGTTTCCTATGGAGGATTGACAGTATAATTTAAAACAGATATTCCCATAGTCAACATTCTCTGATGTGTGGAGCTCCAACCATCTTTGTGGTACAATATGAAAGTTTACATTTCATTTTTATTCCCATTTTAGTACATTTATCAGCCAAAACATGACACCCACCCTGTATTAAAGAGCACGTTGTGTTTCAACCGATTGTGGGCACAACACAAAAACCATAGATTATGTCAAATCGGGTCTAAACTACAATATATGCGAATATTTAAACAAAAATCGTAGTTTACGCGTTAAGATAATTGACGTTAAAAGGTTAAAAATGTCATTTTTTAATACAAAAAAAATCTAAAATTCTGAAATTATAAAACTGTTTGTAAGCTTTTAAATTAAATCAATCTCAATTTTTATATTTTGCAGTGATTAAGACATGGACGTCTCATGGTATGGTGGGGTCCGCAAAATGGGTCAACTTTGGTTACCTTAATCTCTTGAACGTTTTGGCATTCAGGTCCAAAAAGTAACTTTCTGAGCACTTATACAATGAGAAAATATGTATGGAAGGTTTCGTTCAAATCAAAAGGGGTGATGTCAAAAAGTGATTGAATTCAAATGGATTTACCCGTATATGCTAGCTGTCAACAGCTAATGGAGTTAGTTAGCTACAGTGAATGTATGCCATTGCCAGAACAAGTGAACAGGCTAACAATGATGTGATGTTCCCACCACTGACAGATGGGCCTGGGGCTGATAATTCCTTTGTTCCTTGGCTAGCTTGTTAGCTAGCTAATAGCAAGCCAGATCATGTTAATAGCCCACTAGGGTTGTGATTGACTACAGACAGAGGTTGGTATAAGATTAGGTTATGGCTAGATAGTTATTTCCTCTATAGCTCGAATCAGTAACAAAATATTGACTTCCTAGCTAGCCAACTAACGTAACGCTGGTGACGTTCTCGTTGACAGTCAACATGTTAAACTAGCCAATTCGCCAGTTTAGACTACTCCAATGCATTACATGGGGTTAGCCGTGCAGTTGAATTCCGTCATCTTAACATGGTAATTTAGCGGAAAATATATATAGCTAGACTGTGTTTACAGGCGACATCATTGCACGAATGTAAACAAACAATCGTGGCTGCCCTCGTTGAACCCGGCGGCTGGTTAGCTAGCTAACGTTAACTAGCAACGAAGCTTGGGGGTCTCTTTCTTTCTTTAAATCTTTGTCTTACCTGCCAATTGCTTTCGAAGAAGTAATGCTGATTGTTCAGTCATTGTATGTGGGCTTCAACCGAAAAAACTGTGTCGCCAAATACTGCGAGAAATAATAAAATAAAATTGCCAACTAGATAGGTTACCTCCTCTGTGTTATGGACAGGATCGTGGTAAAATTTGTTCAAACAGCGCTTGCGCAGCAACTATAGCTGACTAGACTTTTCTCCTGAACATGAACACTTTGAGTGGGTATTAAAGTATTTAAAACCTATGATTTCAATTTAAATCATTTATACCAAGGAGGGGGGAAAAAACTTATAATATGTATGACACATGTAGTAAGGATAGGATGTTGTTTTTATAAAAGCAAAACATAATTGATGGGTCCTTCAATTTGAGAAAGTGAGGTTAGGATATATAAGTTATCCAGTGCGAGCATATGTGCCGAATACCTTAAGATGTTACAGGTGTCAAACTTATGGGCATGTGGCAGCAGTGTGTAGGAGGGAGATTCCAAGGTGTGAGAAGTGTGCAGAAGGGCATGAGACAAAGGAGTGTGAAGCAGTGGGGAAAGTGGTGGTGAGTGGTAATTGTAGGGGTGGCCATGGGGCTGGGGATCAGACATGTCCAGTGCGAGAGAAGCAGGTTGAGGTATCCAGGGTAAGAGTAGAGAAGAAGTTGTCATATGCGGAGGCAGTGAAGAAAGTAGAGGAAGATGCGTCAAGGGGGAGGGATCCTGAGAGAAATGGCGTGAGTTGTAGAGATGTACCAGTACAGAGGGATAAACCAAAAAGTGATATATTGTTCAGCAAGATTGGGTTTTTAGTGTTTATAGTAATGGTTATTAATTGTACTGCAGGGATGGAACGCAAATCGAAGAAAATTGAGGTGGTGGTGGCAGCTGCAGAGAGATATTTGGGTGTTCGAGACTTGACAGCAGAAGAGTTACAGGGAGTGTTAAGTGATGAGGTAGGAGTGAGTGTATTTAAACAGTGGAGAAGGGTGGGGTTAATTATTAGTTGTAGTGTTGAAGGTGTGAGTGTAGTGTTAGATGGTAGGATATTTCTTTGCTTTGGTTTATTTTATTTTTCAAGGAAAAATAAGGGAGTTGAACTCCAGTCTAGTAGGTGGCGGTAATGCAACAAATTGGATGCCAACCGCCGTTAAACCTCATTGAAGAAGAAGAAGAAGTGTCCTTCAACTTCCGGCGCCATATTTAATACATCGCAGTTTGTGATGATAGCTAGCAAGTTCACTGACTATTTGCAATCATATAACTTTTGATTTTGATCTCAAAGCAAGCCATCAAAATACATCGAAATGAACGTCATAGATCATGTACGGGATATGGCCGCTGCGGGACTACACTCAAACGTTCGGATAATGAGTAGCTTACTGCTGACAATGAGCAATAACAATCCGTAAGTATTAGCTTGTTGGCTAACGTTATTACTGAACATCCACATATTATCTAACTAGCTAGCTATTCATTCCGTTCGATCAGCTTCGAAAGCATATAATTCTGTACAATTGATCAAAACACGTGTCCTAATGAATGCATGCTGATCGTCACGAGACAAGTGGAAGTTGACAAACAAGCAATTGTAGCAAGCTAGCTAACTAGATCGTTTAAGATGGGTGTAAATGTAGTTAGCTGGATTAATTCAGACTATTTGTAAATATATGTTGTATGTTGATTGCTATTTATCTTGACCACTTAAATTAGTCAGTCGAATACTGTGCCATTGATGCGCGTGCCACATCTGTTCTTGTAGAGAGCTGTTCTCACCATCCCAGAAGTACCAGTTGCTGGTTTACCATGCAGATGCCATCTTCCATGACAAGGAGTACCGTAATGCTGCCTGCAAGTACAACATGGCACTGCAGCAGAAGAAAGTGCTCAGCAAAACTTCCAAAGTGCGCCCATCTACCGGGGGAACTGCATCCTCCATGCAGTCACAGGTGTGTAAGGCTCCCAACTCTGTCAATTACAACACAACTATCTATATTAGCAACAAGCATTAATGTCATTAATAAAAAATAATGCACATTGCATTCGGAAAGTATTCAGACCCCTTCACTTTTTCCACATTTTGTTACGTTACAGCCTTATTCTAAAATTGTTTTCCCCCCTCATTACCCCATAATGACAAAGCAAAAACAGGTTTAAAAAAAATTTTCATTTACATAAGTATTCAGACCCTTTACTCAGTACTTTGTTGAAGCACCTTTGGCAGCGATTACAGCCTTGAGTCTTCTTGGGAATGACACTACAAGCTTGGCACACCGGTATTTGGGGAGTTTCTCCCATTCTTCTCTGCAGATCCTCTCAAGCTATGTCAGGCACAGCTATTTTCAGGTCTCTCCAGAGATGTTCGATCAGGTTCAAGTCCGGGCTCTGGCTTGGCCACTCAAGGACATTGAGACTTGTCCCGAAGCCTCTCCTGCGTTGTCTTGGCTGTGTGCTTAGAATCGTTGTCCTGTTGGAAGGTGAGTCCGAGGTCCTGAGTGCTCTGGAGCAGGTTTTCATCAAGGATCTATCAGTACTTTGCTCCGTTCATCTTTCCCTAAATTCTGACTAGTTTCCCAGTCCCTGCCGCTGAAAAACATCCCGACAGCATGATGCTGCCACCACCATGCTTCACCGTAGGGATGGTATTGGCCAGGTGATGAGCTGTGCCTGGTTTCCTCCAGACGTGATGCTTGGCATTCAGGCCAAAGAGTTCAATCTTGGTTTCATCAGACCAGAGAATCTTGTTTCTCATGGTCAGAGTCCTTTAGGTGCCTATTGGCAAACTCCAAGCGGGCTGTCATGTGCCTTTTACTGAGGAGTGGCTTCCATCTGGCCACTCTACCATAAATGCCTGATTGATGGAGTGCTGCAGAGATGGTTGTCCTTCTGAATGGTTCTCCCATCTCCACAGAGGAACTCTGGAGCTCTGTCAGAGTGATCATCTGGTTCTTTGTCACCTCCCTGACCAAGGCCCTTCTCCCCCGATTGCTCAGTTTGTCCTGGGGCGGCCAGCTCTAGGAAGAGTCTTGGTGGTTCCAAACTTCTTCCATTTAAGAATGATGGAGGCCACTGTGTTCTTAGGGACCTTCAATGCTGGAGAAATGTTTAGTTACCCTTTCCCAGATCTATGCCTCGACACAATCCTGTCTTGGAGTTCTACGGACAATTCCTTCGACCTCATGGCTTGGTTTTTGCTCTGACAACTGTGGGACCTTATATAGACAGGTGTGTGCCTTTCCAAATCATGTCCAATCAATTTAATTTACCACAGGTGGACTCCAATGAAGTTGTAGAAACATCTCAAGGATGATCAATGGAAACAGGATGCACCTGAGCTCAATTTCAAGTCTCATAGCAAAGGGTCTGAATACTTATGTATTTAAGGTATTTCTGTTTATTTCTTATACATTTGCAAAAATGTCTAAAAACCAGTTTTCGCTTTGTCATTATGGGGTATTGTGTGTAGATTGATGAGGAAAACAATGAATTTAATCCATTTTAAAATCAGGTGTTATGTAACAAAATGTGGAAAAAGTGAAGGGGTCTGAATACTTTCCGAATGCACTGTAAATAATTGTGCACAATGTGCAGGAAGGAATCACATTGCCTTCTGAATTGACCAATGACATTTATCTTTTTTTTTCCAGAGTTTGCCCTCAGAGATTGAGGTAAAGTATAAGATTGCAGAGTGCTACACCATCCTAAAGCTGGATAAGGATGCCATTGCAGTGCTTGATGGGATTCCATCTAGACAGAGAACCCCAAAGGTAGGCTGCCAAGTTCGAGGTCCCCTCCTGAAAGCCCCCTCATCTTCTCTCAATGTCAGCTAAGCTTGCAGTGCGTCTATGACTATTTCAATAAAGTAAAGCAGGCCAGATTCTTGCGAGGAATTTCAGAATTGCATATTTGTTTATCCTTCCTCAGATCAACATGATGCTGGCAAATCTGTACAGGAAGGCTGGGCAGGAACGCTCTGCTGTCACAAGCTACAAAGAGGTCCTGAGACAGTGTCCTCTGGCACTGGATGCCATCATTGGTATGGACTAGTGACTGGGATGTTTCTGTAGTGCATCACAGACATTCCAACACCCAATGTTATTGTGCGCTACGTTTTGAAGGGTTCTTTTAACTCCTTGTCTGTTGTAGGTCTCTTGTCTCTGTCAGTGAAGGGAGCTGAGGTGGCGTCCATGACTATGGATGTGATCCAGAGTATTCCCAACCTGGACTGGCTCTCTGCATGGATCAAAGCCTATGCCTTCATACATGCAGGGGACAACCACAGAGCAATCAACACCATCTGGTGAGCAGACCAGTGCCTCAAACCTCCATGGGAGCGTTATTCATTTCATTAATCATCATCTCTGGTATTGTTAAGCTAGGGCTCTCATTCTGGGTTTTTGTCTGTTCCCTGATTCTCCTTCTCAGCTCTCTGGAGAAGAAGTCTTTACTGCGGGACAATGTGGACCTGCTGGTGAGCCTGGCAGATGTCTACTTCAGGGCAGGCGACACAAAGAACTCCATCCTGAAGTTTGAGCAGGCCCAAATGCTGGACCCTTATCTGATCAAAGGTACTGGACAGTAAGCATCAGAAAAAGCCATCACTGACCAAATACATACGTTTCTTAGGACTCACTAAGCCAGGCTAGTGATGCTTATCTAAGACATTAACTAATTATTTATATATATTTATTTATTTATTACTTTGACTAATTTTCAGTTATGTTGTCTATATTTGCTGTCAGGCATGGATGTATATGGCTACCTTATGGCACGTGAGGGGCACCTGGAGGATGTTGAGGTCCTGGGAGGAAGACTTTTCAACATCTCAGATCAGCATGCAGAGCCCTGGGTCATATCTGGGTAAGTAATCTTCTCAGAGACCAGAAATAAACGTGTGATAAGATCCAAGTCGATGAAATACTAAATTGAATGCAGTTTTTTATTTTTATTAATCTATAATAACATGTTTGTATTTTGTTATAACAGTAAAAAAAAAAAGGCCTGTTTTTCAGTCTATGTACACCAAATACATGTTCCTACCTATCTGTTTTTGGTGGCTCAGATGTCACAGCTTCTACAGTAAGCGTTACTCCCGGGCCCTCTACCTGGGTGCAAAGGCCATCCAGCTGAACAGCAACAGTGTGCAGGCCCTCCTCCTGAAGGGGGCAGCACTGAGGAACATGGGCCGAGTGCAGGAGGCCATCATCCACTTCAGAGAGGCCATGCGCTTGGCGCCATGCCGTCTGGACTGCTACGAAGGCAAGGGGACCTACTTGTTATGATCGCATCATTCTAATGAAAATCTGTTTTAAACTTGGTAACTGCCCCCACATCAAACAACATCAGATGCAAGTTTGCTTGCAAATTGGTTTGTGGTCCTATATGGCTCAGAGGGTAGAGCATGGCGCAAGCGCCAGGGTTGTGGGTTTGATTCCTGGAGCCATCCATACGCAAAATGTATGCACGCATGACTGTAAGTCGCTTTGGATAAAAGCGTCTGCTAAATGGCATATATTATATTATTTGTTGCTACTAGTATTGAGGTAGTAATGAGACTTCTGTCCTCAGGTCTGATTGACTGTTACCTGGCATCCAATGGAATCCGAGAGGCGATGGGGATGGCCAATAACATCTATAAGACCCTGGGAGCGAATGCCCAGACTCTGACAATCCTGGCCACAGTCTGCCTGGAGGATCCTGTGACGCAGGAGAAGGCCAAAACCCTGCTGGACAAGGCGCTAGCCCAGAGGCCTGACTACACCAAGGCTGTGGTCAAGAAGGCAGAGCTGCTAAGTATGTGGCTTGGTACCTAACCCTATCAGCTGTTGTGATGTAGAGATTTAGAACCATTGCATCTTCGTAAAGACATTTTTACCAGAAATGTAAGGGAAAAGATTTAGGATATTGTTTGTTATCCTATTTCAGGTCGGGAACAGAAATATGAGGAAGGGATTGCTCTTCTCCGGAATGCCTTAGCCAATCAGAGTGACTGTGTGCTGCACAGAATGCTGGGGGATTTCCTTGTGGCGGTCAATGATTATCAAGAGGCAATGGATCAATACAGCATAGCACTTAGGTAATGTTACACCCAAGTCCAGCGTTTTATACACCTCATGAAACTTTCAAGCAGTGTCGCCCTTAGGCCTACCTTTTCTCAAATATGTAAATGCTGTACTTTTGATCTTGAGACTGCCCAAGTTTCTCCATCATCTGACACTGTTTGTCTCTCAGCCTGGACCCAAATGACCAGAAGTCTCTGGAAGGAATGCAGAAGATGGAGAAGGAGGAGAGCCCTGCTGATGCCACTGTGGAGCTGGATGGGGATGACATGGAGGGCAGCGGGGAGGATGGAGACCTGGAAGGCAGTGACAGTGAGGCAGCCCAGTGGGCAGACCAGGAGCAGTGGTTTGGCATGCAGTGACTCGGGCCCACTGCAGCGATCCCAGGGAGGCAGGGGGAATAAACCACACATTTTTACATTTTAGTAATTTAGCAGACGCTCTTATCCAGAGCGACTTACAGTTAGTGAGTGCATACATTATTTTATTTTCATACTGGCCCCCCCCGTGGGAATCGAACCCACAACCCTGGCGTTGCAAACGCCATGCTCTACCAACTGAGCTACATCCCTGCCGGCCATTCCCTCCCCTACCCTGGACGACGCTGTGCCAATTGTGCGCCGCCCCATGGGTCTCCCGGTCGCGGCCGGCTACGACAGAGCCTGGATTCGAACCAGGATCTCTAGTGACCACTGCGCCACTCGGGCATCATGGGCTACCTGATGTACTCAATATGGGTGTATATAGCTCCATCCCAGGGTTATATAGAAGTCACCATAGCAGCCCCTGCTTTTTTGGGATGGACGCATCATTTTACTCATGACTCCGATGGGCAGAGAATTCACTAACCTTAAAATTCCACCTTTCCTAGTCTCCAACCCTTTGCAATCATCACTGATTAGTTCATAGGTGAAAATGTTACTAATTTATCCAGTTCAACCCATCAGGGGTCCTAGAGTAAAGGAGACTTGCTGGGTCATGACCTTTGATATTACTGTTTGCTTATTTTCTCTCTTGTAAACAGGAAATCTATGAAACCAGCGACTAATTCATTTGTTGCGTTTCTGTTTTGTGTTTCTTTACCCCTGTAACGTTTGCATTTATTTGCATGTATTAATTAACATGCTTCTTTTAAGAAAAATATTGGTGTGAAACTGGTGACATACTTTCCCTTTCTCTCAATGTTTAACGTGTCAATCATGGGGTCATTTCATTTGACTCACATTCTTTGCAAAGTAATGTTACAAGTTTTCCAATGCAAATGTGATTAAGCATGTGTTGTGCATTGTATATGTTTTGAAGATATAAAATAAAATCATGACAAGGACCTGACATTCCTTTTATTAAAGTTTGTGGTCATTTGTTGTAGTGACCTGTTCTTGAGGAACAATTCTAAAACATCCTTGTATTTAGGCTTCAAGCAAGGTAGCTTCAAATGAAGACCTCTCCAATCTGGCGTATAGATGATAAACAACACTTCATGTATAATCGCTTTATTTACCTGAAACCACAAATCATGTGATACTTAATACAATCGTCAGCTCTGAAATGACAGTACAGTTGTTTGGCGAATACACGTGCCATTGAAGGGACTGACTGCTTTCAAGATAATGTATGCATCACTATCGCCGCACCGCCGCCTTCCCAGAAACTGCAAAATCTGCTTCAAACATGTCGCACATCACAGTGAAAAGCAAATAGTCTGGTTATTTTACACATCCTATCCAAAACAAGATTTCCTTAGGAAAAGATGATAGGCATGAGCTTATTTAACAGTTGTACTATTGTTCGTAAATTCATGTCTAATTTAGCAATACTATACATTAACTATTACACAAATCTGATCAAATAATTTGCTGCTTCAGAGGACATGCATCATGGAATTTTGTACATTAATATAAAACTATGACATCTAGGTTTATTAAGATGACATAAGAACTCTGTCTTGTCTATTTTGAAGGCTACTCTAAGGCTCTCCATGCAGTAAGGATTGAGGGACTGGGGATTGGTTAATTTGATTCCAAAAACACTTCATACCCATTTCGTTTAAAATATATACCATTAGATTTTTTTGTAATGGAATTGCTTATGAAATGTATCAATCATGTCTTGATATCTCTTCTTTATTGACATGCAGGTCTTGGAAGATGTGGTGCTGCTCAAGAAACACATGCACAACACTAAAACAAAGCCTTACAGTTCCTGCAAGGGATTTAGAGGGGCGGGTTTACACGGCACTAGCTGCAGAGAGAGAACAGAGAAAGACAGAGAGAAACCAATCAGAGGACGACAGAAATAAGGCATAGGTCAAAGAAGCAAAGGTGCAAACCAGAGGCATGGCTCCCTCACTAGGCATTTAAAAAAGGCATGGTGAACAAAAAGCCTTTATTAAAAGATAATCTACTGCTTCATTTTCTACTTACAGTCATGTCTAGGGCCATGCCACGTGCAAGCAGACAGATGGGAATAAATGCATTAAGCCATATTAAGTGAAACGCCATGCCCTGCGAGTAGCATGTCAGAGCCCAAAACTTGCTACCAGTAATGACCCTTTACTCATCAATCCCTTAAAAAACAGACTTGATACAGGTGGAACTAAGACAAGCACAGGGTCTTAATCCTATACTATAGGTTTGGCTGGCACTTAGTGACAAAGGGATTTTGAAATGAAGTCACTAATTTTCCTCCATGTTACAAGATCCTGCCAATGGCCTCGGTTGGCTGATACATAAGACCAATTGGTAATATCACTCATGGAATGGTATCATTTATAGAATGTATCAAAGACCAAGAGCACAGACTCAACTCAGTACTTATTCTTTCAATAAGGAGAAGAGTTACTTTTGTGATTTTGAAGCAACAAAACCTTTCAAGTACCCAGAGTTTGAGCAATAACACTGACTCAGACAGCAAGGCTTGGTGTGTGACAGTGCCAGGATGAGATGAGAAACTAGTGGGCAGAGAGCATGCAGTCAGAGGATACTCACTCTGTTGGGTTAACAGGCGGAAGGCATTGGAAGAAATAGCAGTTAGGTTTAAGAAAACTCAAGCGCTTCCTGGCCTGATATTAGAGAGGGCATGCTTTCCAGGAATACCTACCTACAGTGTGTCTAAAACACACTCAAGTAAACTAGTGTAAAGGTATGGTGCATCTTTAAAACTCCATACACATACTATTTTGTGTGCTATGTACAGATATACAGACTCTTCCACCAGCGTGTCATTTTAGCCTTTTAGAGTTGGGCCTATATACTATGGCCAAAGCAGTCTCTGCTTGGTAATACACCCAAACAAGGAATCCAGACCACATAAAGGTCCCACCAAAGCATAAATCTTGTGCTCAACTGATAACATAAATCAGCCCCTTGGTGCGTTTATACATATTCAAGTACAGTATGTGCACAATATACATAATCTATATCATAATTATTGTAATAAAGAAACTACAGTGCCCGTAAATTCAAACTAAACCTAACAAAGTGAACCTTTATGGGAATAACAATAGAATTTGTTGTGTTCAAGTAAATGTGTTTAACAACAGGCTTGTCTATATAAAATAATTGCTTTGAATCGAACTAAGGTAACATTTAGTCCTAACCCCACCCAAGGAACATAAAAAGAACACAAATTAAACTTTTTAAAAGTTCTTAAAATAACATGAAAGGCAAATGTGGGTTTTATATTTCTTTCTGCAAAAGCAAAATGGTGCATACCTCAACACTCAATATGACAATGTTTATGAAAAGCTTAGTGAGAAACACAGGTAGTAATCAATAGTCATATTATTAGCGTTGAGATAGCTGTGCCTAGTGCAGAAAAGAAACATGGAGGAGATCAAACAGGGGAAGGAAACATTTATTGTTGAAGAAATCTCCGTTACTCATGCCAGGGCAGAATACATGCATGTTTTTGTGCAGACTTCTGAGTCAGTGCAAATGATGTTCCTTACAGTTACGACGGCACACCATACTTATCTTTAGAAGTCAAAGTTCACACTGAAAACAAGAGTCAAACACCTACGTCCTGTGCACGCCCCTTATAGCTCCTGGCTGCCCCCCCACCCTTTCCCAAAGCTACAAAAATCTTCATCTTGATAAAATAGTGTTAATTCTCTGTAGACATCTCATAAATAGATTATTTTTATGCCTGTTCAAAAAGGAGGAGCAAAAAAACATAACCAACAGCTTGATATTAAATGAAGACACATGGACAAATGACTAACCTCAAGGAATAGTGAATGGTAAAAAGAAACAGAACAGTGAAAATGTCCTGGAGACAAACCAGCAGAGGGCTCACAGATTGCATCTGTCGTCGACACAGGTACAAATGTTGACTTGAGCTCTGACTGCAGTTGATGTGGTTGTGGTAGTTGATGTGGTTGTGGTAGTTGTAGTTGATGTGGTTGTGGTAGTTGTAGTTGATCCTGGTTAATGGGGGATTTTGTTAGACGTGTTAATCTCCACTTACACTGGTGCATGGGGAGGGTTGTGTGCTGGAATCAGTCAGGACCAGAACAGGGCAGACACGTTAGTGTCGATGCTGTAGAGCCACAGCACCAGGGGGAGGGTGATGCCCACAAAGGGCCAGGAGATGCCCTCCGTGCATGCAGAGGGGGACCAGCCTTTGCCGGCTGACTTATACTCTGGCTGGTTACCGGGTTCCAGGTAGTTCCTGGCCACGAACTTTAGCAGCTCATCAAGCAGGATGACAGGCAGGGAGATCTTCAGCACCACCAGCCACTGGGTCAGGTCCAGAGGGGTAATCTGAAAGATGACCTGGAGAGGTGGAGGCGGACAGATGGATGGAGAGAGTGAGAATGGGGCACCTAGAGAATGACCTGGGTTGAGAGGTTGATATGAGTAAAGCTGACTTACAGGCAGTGGCTCCACGTAGAGAATGAGGAAGTGAAGGGACATGGAGAGGCAGATGGCCCCCAGCAGCCAGATGTTCTCCCAGGGGGGCATACGCAGCAGGGACTGGTTCTCTGACAGGCTGGGGATAGAGAGGTGAAGGTCACATTAAGATCTGATTTAGGGTCCACAGCCATTACTCTATATTTCATTCTTGTACTTAGAAAATTGTAGCTGTCCTCTACTGAATGCAAGTGATTCTTTGAGGATGAAAGAATGCTCCGCTCACTGCAGGGGACCCACCTGTTAAGGGCATTGCACATCTCAATAGTGACAAGCACAGACAGGGCCATGGTCATGGGGTAGGGGGACTCAAACACACGACACTCCAGGTCGGCGAAGTCAGGGTTGTCAGGAGAACACTGCAGGAAGTGGCTCTGTGGGGAGGGGAGTCAGACAGACACGAGGGACTTAGGCTGGGAGGTACAACACCACAGACAGTAAAGCTGACCTCAAGGAGCTAGTCTCACCAGCTGGTACAGAGAGATCATAGGGCCATCCTCAGCAGCCACGAACCACCAAGTAGCGGCTCCCACTGTGGCAGCTCCCACATAGCCTGAGGACAGAGATGGAGAAACAGTTGACCGACTGCGGGACTGACTGGGGGGGGGGGGGGGGGGGGGGGGGCAGAGGAGTGCTCAATAACAGTAGATGGTAGGGTATGCCAGTAGTAGTAAGCTTGACCTTAAGATTTAGCTATTTGAGATAAAAATGGAAACAAAGCACAATAGTCTTATTAACTCACATCCGATGGTCAGATATCTGAAGAAGAGCCATCCGGAGATGAGGGGCTCCTTGGCGCTGCGGGGGGGCTTATTCATGATGTCAAGGTCGGGGGGGTTGAAGCCCAGTGCGGTGGCAGGGAGACCGTCTGTCACCAGGTTGACCCACAGCAGCTGAACTGGGATCAGCGCCTCAGGGAAGCCCAGAGCAGCAGTCAGGAAGATACTGACCGCACAGAGAAACATCGTTAACACCACCAGCACCACCACAGGAGAACACCAGAACACCACTACAGAGATATCACTAAGGCAGGAGAAGGAACGTCAAACAGCTGACTCACCAGACGACTTCTCCCACATTAGAAGAGATGAGGTAGCGGATGAACTGCTTCATGTTGTTGTAAATGGCCCTGCCCTCCTCCACAGCCGCCACGATGGAAGAGAAGTTGTCATCGGCCAGGACCATCTCAGAGGCTGACTTGGCCACGGCAGTGCCAGAGCCCATGGCAATGCCAATCTCTGCCTTCTTCAAGGCAGGGGCATCGTTCACTCCATCACCAGTCTGTGGGAGAAAACAGTGGCACAGATACTTAGGGGTGGATAGCAGGCTAGATGACAACAGCATTCCACTGACAGCAATACAACAGATATTACAGCTTTACAGGTACAGTAAGGATGAGGATGGGGGATGTGAGTAGGGGGGGGGGGGGGTTCAGCGTACCATGGCCGTGATCTCATCCATGCCCTGCAAGAACTCAACGATCTTGGACTTGTGGGAGGGCTCGACACGGGCAAAGCAGCGGGCGTTGGTCACGGCATCGCGCTGGGCCTGGGGGGACAGGTCGTCAAACTCGCGGCCCGTGAACGCCATTTTGTCCACGTCGTCCTCCTCGCTCAGGATGCCGATACGGCGGCAGATGGCCACGGCAGTGCCCTTGTTGTCGCCAGTGATCATGATGACTCGGATGCCGGCCAGGCGGCACAACTTGATTGAGGCAGCCACCTCTGTCCTGGGTGGGTCCAGCATGCCAACGCAGCCCACGAAGGTCAGGTCAGACTGGGCAGAGAAACACATAAGATCAGTGTCGCCATCAGGGTTCCTACTAGAACTGCACAATACATGACAACATCCAACCATGATACTAGATATGATATAAGATCCAGCAGTATAAATTATATATAATCTACTTTACGCAACAGTGGTGATGAGTAATCCTCACCTCGTAACCAGCGAAACGGGCACAATCGACAAGCACCATGTGCTCCTTCCTGGGTGGGGCGTCCCGGGTGGCCAGAGCTAGGCAGCGCAGGGTGTCACGCCCCGTCCCGTACTCTCGGATTGTAGACATGATCCTCTCCTTGATGCCTGGGGTCATGGCAACCTTGTTTGTGCCCACCCTGACATGGGTACATCTGTCAATAACTCCCTCTGGGGCACCCTGTGGGGTAAGAAAGAGTTTGAGGTTGAAACACTGATTCAAACACGGGTGAATCAAAAACACTTGGTTCAAAGTGAGTCACACATAGGAGGGTTGCTAAAAGGTGATGATACCTTGACAAACATCTTTCCGAGGGAAGCGCGGGCCTTGTTGGGGGTGCAGTACACAGACATGGACTTCCTGTCTCTCGAGAACTCCAGGGTAAACTCCTTCTTCATCAGCTGTGTGATCACCTAATAGAGGACGACACAGACACGCGACTCAGAAAAACCTGCTAGCAACCAGCTGTGACGTTTCACACCATTCAACGGTTGTGGTTAGTGTACTTACAGAGTTGCAGGCATTGGCCCTGTCGATCTTGGACAAGCCTTTGACGTCGGTGTCAAACGCATTCATCTTCTCCACCAGGCAGGTGAGGGCCGTCTCTGTGGCCTCGCCAACCTTCTCATACACACCTTTGGCCTGACGACACAAACACAAACATTAGTCACCTCTACTCCACGTCCCATGATGAGCCATATGGAGGAGAAAGGCAGGCAGGCAGGCGCACAGACCTCGTTATAGTCCAGAGAGGAGTCATTGCACAGGGCACAGATGGTGGCAATCTCCACTAGACCATCATACGCAGAGGACTTCACTAGTCTGCCATCCTGGTACCTGGAGGGAGACACAAAGGACAGGGCCGGACACAAGATGAAACGTTGGAGGGAGTTTAACAATTAACGTAACTGGAAGTAAATAAATAATTGTAGCATAAATGGATTAGCATTAAGAGTGTATTTGGTACTCACACTTCTCCCTCAGGGGCGTAGGTAGAGCCAGTGATGGTGAACTCGTTCAGAGAGCAGCTGTTCCCCTCGGCCTGGTCAAGGATGAACATCTGGAGACCACAACACAGCACAGACAAGGCAAGGACAGTTAGGCCTGTCTTACACACAACTAATAATCTCATACCAATGTATGGTTACAACATTACATTAGAGGCTGTTTCTTAACTGACACTGTAGATGGCAGCAGACCGACAACATAATAGCACAGTGGACTGCAGAAAGTCAGCACCACAGAGAACCTGTGAGGGCTGTAGACCACCCTATACTGTGTGTGTGTGTGTGTGTGTGTGTGGGGGGGGGGGGGGGGTTGGTTATTCTATCCTTGTGGGGACCTAAAATCCCCAAAAGTCCCCACAAGGATAGTAAAACAAGGAAATGTATCCCTCGTGAGAACATTTCCCACATCCCCATGAGGACAAAGGCTATTTTAAGTTTAGGGGTTAGGTTTAGGGTTAGGGAAAATAGGATTTTGAATGGAAATTAATTGTAGGTCCCCATGAGGATAGAAGAACATAGCGTGTGTGTGTGTGTGTGTGTGTGTGTGCGCGCGTGTGTGTGTGTGTGTACTCTCTGGGCTGCAGGGATTTAGATGCCCTCTCTGGCTGTGAGTGGGGGCTATGGCAGGAGTCAAGCAATGAGCAGTGCTTGTTTGGTTTAGTCCATACTACATAAGTAAATAGTGTCGGCCGTCTGTCAGGGAGCCTGAATAAAGAGAAGAGAGCGCTGGAGCCCGGAGGGTCTTTTCCCTCAGGAAGAACTGGACTGGCTAAACCGAACAGTAGGTACGCGCACACTAACACAAACACTGTCACAACAGCCAGTCAGCTGGGACAACACCACAGCCGTCTCAGTCAGCGAGATAAAAGGAAGGAAGGGTGATGGTAATCATTCATGTCCTTTTCCAGAAGGAGGCCACACTTCAAAAGAGCCTTGCTGACGTCAGATGATTAGAAAAAAATAGCATTCTCTTTCGCTGGATACATTATGCTTCTGTTACTGTGAATTCAACACAAACATTTTTGTGGAAGATTTTTTTTACAAGCATCACCTGACCGAGATGAAATGGGAGATGGGGTTGGTTGCTGGGCAGTTACCTGAAGAAGGCCTGGGTTCACTTTTGGCTCCTAGCCTCTACCTCAGAGATCTTAAAGGGATACTGCGAGATTCTGGTATTTAAGCTCTTGACATCCTAGTAGCAATGCTACTGTACCTGTAGACTTCCAGTCATTGCGCTAAAGCTAGTTAGCAGTAGTTTCGAGTCAATGCTAACTTCCTTCAGCCTGCACACAGACATAAAAATGGTATCCACAAGTTCATTTGACTAGGTAAGTAACTTAAAATGCCTGAATCTCGCAGAATCCCTTTAACCTACTTGATTGGGGAAAGCAATGTGGAGGAAGCTCCACTTAGCCTACTGGCATATTAACATGATGTCTTACTTAAACAGATGTCATCCTCAATTGTGTAATGTAAACAATGACATAAGCACAGTAGGATATGATGACTAGTAGTTACTAGTGCATTAAGGCCAAAATGGCATCATCCATTCTAATAATTTCAGTCTGCGCCAGAGGAGAAGGGAAGTGACTAGAGAGGGAAAGACATTAAAATAGACCATAGAGACCCATTGGAATGCTAGATCAAAATAAATGTATTCTGGGAAATAAATAGCCGCTGGCCAATAAAGAGTCTCTCATCCAGAAAAAACAAATGTTTTAATGGAGTGGAGTCAGCAGTTCCATGCAAAGTTCTGTGCATATTCAACAAAAAGAGAATAAACACGCTCAATGAATAATGAAATGTCTCACTGCTCAGGGACAGAGCTGGAAGTGTGTTGGAGAGCCACTCAGAGGGAGGGAGGGGCTGGATGCTTTGCAGAGCTGTGACGCAAGGTCACTTATGCAACAGCACCGCGGCTGAACAGTCACCCAACGGCTGAATGTAGATCACAGCCGCAGCGCGTCGCTGCCTCACCGCCTTTGTGTAACACATCTCACTCTTGATTCTCCACTACAAAGAACCTTCTGCTCACACTATCTCAAACCCAATCACAGCAAGGTAATGCAACAGAGCCATTTCAGAGGCAGACCTCTGTTCAGTCAGTGTGTAAAGCAAGACAAATAAAACAGCCAGACTCACCCTGCAGACAGACATCTGGTTGGTGGTGAGGGTGCCAGTCTTGTCGGAGCAGATGACAGAGGTGCAGCCCAAGGTCTCCACAGAGGGCAGGCTGCGGACGATGGCGTTCTTCTTGGCCATGCGGCGGGTGCCCAAGGCCAGGCAGGTGGTGATGACAGCGGGCAGACCCTCGGGTATGGCGGCCACAGCCAGGGCCACGGCAATCTTAAAGTAGTAGACGGCGCCGCGGATCCAGGAGCCTCCGTGGACAGGGTCGTTGAAGTGGCCAATGTTGATCATCCACACAGCGATGCAGATCAGGGAGATGACCTTAGAGAGCTGCTCCCCAAACTCATCCAGCTTCTGCTGCAGGGGGGTCTTCTCCTGCTCGGTGGCTGCCATCTCATCACGGATCTTACCGATCTCAGTGTTCACGCCTGTGGCCACCACCACACCAATAGCCTTGCCTGATGAGATGTTGGTGCCCTGAAAACACACAGGTGGAACATTATGGCCACACAGTCCTACAAAATGCTTGAGGACAGCAGACTAAATGGAAACTCAAACTCTATATTTACAAACCAAAATAACATAGCAGGGTCTGTATTTTTTAAGTACGTTTGATATCGAGTGATGCTGGCATAATTTGTGCCCAAATGTTAAAGATCCATGCATCAGGTCTTCAACGTTAAACAAATAACTGAAGGAGAAGCTCAAAAACGACTAGCTGATGGTGGAGAGTTCAATCATCATACAGCCGCTACAAGGAGCAGTAAGGAGTGAAGAGAGAAGAGTGTTGCTTACAGAGAAGAGCATGTTCTTCTTGTCCTGGTTGACAGCTCGGGGGTCAGGCACTGGGTCGGTGTGCTTGATGACAGAGACGGACTCGCCTGGAATCAAAGCAGAGACCAGTGCAGGTCATATATCACACTGATATCCCTTTGTCTGTGTCTATAGCCACAGGGAAAAACGATATCAACTTCAATCATAGACTCCCACGCCACAATCAATGTGTAACATTCCTCGCTCTGGGTGCTTGTGCACATGATGCAGGGCAAAGCGTCTAATCATGTGGATCAAGAGGAAATAAACCCTTGCTATAAACCCAGTTCAGAGGTGAACTCAGTTCATTCATTCCTCTTGCAGGGCTCTACGCTGACCTTTTTTTACAAGGAGCATGTCTGTGCCTAAATTGAAAAATGTAGGTGCAGACAAAGAAATGTATGAGCACAACGAAAAATATTTGAGGTATTAATGCTAGAATCCTTACATTTTTCTAGGTGCACTGGTGCTCCTAAATAAAAATTCCAGAAAGCACAGCAAATTATTTTGGCGCATATGAGACTAAAATGGTCGCACTGTAGAGCCCTGTTGTCTTGTCCAGGACAAGCAAAAAAATTATCACAATATCAAACAATTACTCCGATCAGAATTGGATCAGAGGCCAACATTGGAAAAATATTCAAATCTATTTTTCATATACATAAATAAAAAAGCCTACCTGCATATTGGCTACAGCCTCCTGTCCAAACCGATGCGGACATGAGGGAGGCGCCAGAAAATGTAGCCAAACTTTAATGAGACTTTTAATTACATAAATATAGGGTAAACGCCAGTGATGTTTGACAAATCAAATTTTTTATTTGTAATTTAGCAGACGCTTTTATCCAGAGCGAATTACAATATGTAGTGAGTGCATAGATTTTCGTACTTGTCCCCAGTGGGAAACGAACCCACAACCCTGCCGTTGCAAGCGCCATGCTCTACCAACTGAGCCACATGGGACCAACAATGAAGGGTAATTAACATTAAGGTCTCAAGACTTGATTCTGTCGACATATTCGAGGCACGGTTCATTCAAATCAACTTTATTTTATTGTCCAGCAGCCAAAGGCACAATCCTAGTCATATTAGTAACCCATGCTAGATGATGTATCTTTAGATCGTTTTGAGAACGGCGTTTCCCCGCTAATTGCATTTTGGAACATTCGCGCATAGCCTACAGCCATGTGCGCATTGTTGCGCTTATAATATAATATAATTAAATAAAACGAATCAATGTTAAGCTAAAAGGTCTGATCCGTTGCGGTTGTATGAATTTAGGATCTGTCGTCCCAGAACTGTCCCAGATTCTGCCTTTTTGAACCGTAGACATATTTTTTTATCGTCCCAGAGACGACGGGACGCCCTTAATTTCGAGCCCTGGAGGGAATTATTTTATAAAAAGACATATTTGGCTGTAATTGTAATGTTGCAATATTTTATAGGCTACCAACGGTGGCCAACCATCCTCCAGGAGAGCCTTAAAAAAGGGGAGTGTGGCCTACATGTTTGTCTGATTAACTAGCCAAAAAATGTTCACAGCAAGAGAGTAGTTGCCACACTTACACAATAAACCCCTTTTCCAACGTAACTTGTAATGACATTAGAAGCAACATTCGGCTTTCATCAAAATAATAATTATTGTGAGCTATGACATGACAAAGGGAATTTGCATATGTCGCAAGAGAAACGATAATTCGCCCTTATTAAACTCAACAGATCATTTCCATCAATGGATGTCGGTTTAACTAGTTTGACTGCTATGATTAAGCAATAAGGCATGAGGGCAGTATGGTATATTGCCAATATACCAAGGCTAAGGGCTGTTCTTAAGCATGATGCAACGCAGAGTGCCTGGATACAGCAGTTAGCTGTGGTATATTGGCCATATACCACAAACCACTGGGGTGCCTTATTGCTAAACTGGTTACCAACGTAATTAGAACAGTAAAAATAAATGTTTTGTCATACCTGTGGTATATGGTCTGATCCACCACGGCTTTCAGCCAATCAGCATTCAGGGCTCAAACCCGGTTTAAATGGTAAATAAATCCCTTTTGCGCATGTGCATAACTATTGATAAATCCGACAGGAGAGTTTGAGTGATGAAAGTTGGACAGAGGATCTCGAAATCTCTGAGCAAGAAACACTTGGATGAACTTAAAAAATACAAATGTTAGGCTATTTTCAGGCAATTGTGCCATTATTTTGTGCCAGATGTTAAGACTACAACCCGTTATAAAATGGCCTATTCGCAAGATTTACTTGTTATTTCAATAGGGATAGGCTACGGACTTAAATCTGGGGTTATGATTTTAATTCAACTTTCCATGTTTTATGGAAAAAGGGTCGGGAAAAAAAATAGGTGTCTCCCTAATTACAATCTAAAAAAGTTGTCACGACGTGCGCGCGTGCTGATATGGCTCCTCTCACTCATGTGACTCAGCCAATAGTGGACTAAGCTGCCTGCTGCAGTGCTCTCTCAACAGTCAGCAGCAGGTCCCAGTGAAATACATTATAAAAAAAAAAAAAGACAAATGCAATGGCGGCTGCTGTGCAACTTAGAAATAGCCCAAAAAAACACAACCCGCGAACAATACATTTTCACCCGCGACATCGTTTTCAAAGTAGCCCAATTCGGCAGGAAAACCATGAACATGGCAACCCTAAGTATAGGGAAAACAGTGCAGCAAACTGCCATGTGTCTTACCGGTCAGGATAGACTGGTCTACTCTCAGGGTTGTAGATTTGATGGAAGAGAGACGGATGTCTGCAGGAACCTTGTCTCCAACTAGGGGGGAAAGAAGACAGACACACTGACAGAATTAGAGATAAATATATTAAAATGTCATAGATGGACAATGATGCATTTCAAATCAGCGAAAAGTGGACACATATGACCTCCATAACGTCTGCCCATGATGTCAACTCATTGTAGCACAACACAGACACAATCTAGTTACAGGTCTCTCAAGACAAAGTGGTTATGCATGTGCAATGCCATAAACAAGTTTAAACCTGTGCTGTAAGCAGAACTTTACGAAAATGACCCACCCTATAGAGTGCTTAGACTAACGGACCACCAAGCTGTTCTCTGAAATATAGACGCAATTTATTCAGCATCACTGTTAACTGACAGACTATAGCTCATTTCAAGGTTGGTTGCTGAGCCACACGAAGGCAGAGGCAGAGTAGGAGGAGGAAATGGAGGACTGGTGAGCCATAAAAGGCTGGTCCCAATGAAAAAAGCCAATTTGGGCCACATCTGAATTGTGGTGATCCGATTCAGCAACCTATTAGTACATAAATGCTGGGAGATGGTGAAACCACTCCGTTTAAGGCACGGTTCTTCTTTCAATTTCAACGTGCAGAACAGTTCTTCATAAACACGTAAATTTGCTCTTACAGATCTGGGTGTCGGTTTCCCAAAAGCATCTTAAGGCTAAGTTCGTAGTTAGAACCTTCGTAGGAGCATTGTTAAATCTCCGAGCTGTTTCGCAAAACCATCGTTAATAAAGTTGGACTTGAAAACGCTCGTTATTTACCGACTGCCTCAGACCACTTGTGGAACAGCTAAGTGCGTTGTTAGATGCGTTTTTCCCTACCGCGTCACTTTATACACTGAAGATTTACGCTAAACATAAACATCTTGATTCTGTCTCTTTGTGACCACCGAAAACTTCAGAATGAAGTTGACCACAAATACAAAGTTCCCAATGTCTTTGCAATTGTTACAAACAAGCGAAGGGTAAAAATGATGCTTCAAATTAAAACAGATGACTGCATTACATTATTTACAGTATAGGCTATAGACCTATACCTTCGGAAAGTATTCAGACCCCTTGACTTTTTCCACTGTGTTACCTTACAGCCTTATTCTAAAATTTATTAAATAAAACAATTTTCTCAGCAACCTACACACAACACCCCATAACAACAAATCGAAAACAGGTTTAGAAATGTTTGCAAATTTATTTAAAAAAACAGAAATTACTTATTACATAAGTATTCAGACCCTTTGCTATGAGACTCGAAATTGAGCTCAGGTGCATCCTGTTTCCATTGATCATCCTTGAGATGTTTCTACAACTTGATTGGAGTCCACCTGTGGTAAATTCAATTGATTGGACATGATTTGGAAAGGCACACACCTGTCTATATAAGGTCCCACAGTTGACACAGTCAGAGCAAAAACCAAGCCATGAGGTCGAAGGAATTGTCCGTAGAGCTCAGAGACAGGATTGTGTCGAGGCACAGGTCTGGGGAAGGGTACCAAAAAATGTCTGCAGCATTGAAGGTTCCCAAGAACACAGTGGCCTCCATCATTCTTGAATGGAAGAAGTTTGGAACCACCAAGACTCAATCAGGGGAGAAGGGCCTTGGTCAGGGAAGTGACTAAGAACCTGATGGTCACTCTGACAGAGCTCCAGAGTTCCTCTGTGGAGATGGGAGAACCTTCCAGAAGGACAACCATCTCTGCAGCACTCCACCAATCAGGCCTTTATGGTAGAGTGGCCAGACGGAAGCCACTCCTCAGTAAAAGGCACATGACAGCCTGCTTGGAGTTTGCCAAAAGGCACCTAAAGATTCTCAGACCATGAGAAACAAGATTCTCTGGTCTGATGAAACCAAGATTGAACTCTTTGGCCTGAATGCCAAGCATCACGTCTGGAGGAAACCTGGCACCATCCCTACGGTGAAGCATGGTGGTGGCAGGGAATGGGAGACTAGTCAGGATCGAGGCTAAGATTAACGGAGCAAAGTACAGAGAGATCGTTGATGAAAACCTGCTCCAGAGCGCTCAGGACCTCAGACTAGGGCAATGGTTCACCTTCCAACAGGACAATGACCCCAAGCACACAGCTAAGACAATGCAGGAGTGGCTTCGGGACAAGTCTCTGAATGTCCTCGAGTGGCCCAGCCAGAGCACAGACTTGAACCCGGTCGAACATCTCTGGAGAGACCTGAAAATAGCTGTGCAGCAACGCTCCCCATCCAACCTGACAGAGCTTGAGAGGATCAGCAGAGAACGAACTCCCCAAATACAGGTGTGCCAAACTTGTAGAGTCATACCCAAGAAGACTCGAGGCTGTAATCGCTGCCAAAGGTGCTTCAAGAAAGTACTGCGTAAAGGGTCTAAATACTATTGTAAATGTGATATTTAATTATTATTATTTTAAAAATAAATTAGCAAAAAATTCTTAAAACTAGTTTTTGCTTTGTCATTATGGGGTATTGTGTGTAGATTAATGAGGGAACTAAACAACTTAATCCATTTTAGAATAAGGCTGTAACCTAACAAAATGTGGAAAAACTCAAGGGGTCTGAATACTTTCCAAAGGCACTATTTCAATCATATTGAAATCCATTTCATGTTCAATGAATTGTTATATTTTGCTAATTGTAGGCTACGGTCTGAATTTGCCTCAATATATTGAATGTGTAACAATTGTGATGTGCCAATACTTGATTTAGTGCATTATAATAGGGTAAGCATTAGAATAAGCTCCTTCAATATTTGCAGCCTTAGGAGCTGATCCGTCATCAGTATTGTGGAACAAATATAATGCTAAGGTAAGATTTGAATGAGGAAAGCTGATCAGAGAGCAGCACTGCCTTTCTTTCGATCCCATCAGGAGACACATGCTCCAATTACGCACTTATTGATCGTTCTCTCTGCGTGGTGTTTTGGGAAACGCATGTACAATTTTCTGCCCTCGTAGTTAAGATGCCAAAGTTACATTGCTATCGGGAAACCGGGCCCTGGAGACTTCACATAGTATTACATTTATTCCGCTAACCAGGCTGACCTGTCAAAATTAATTCCCCTAATAAAAACACCTCCACACATTAGACCATCTCGCAAAGGAGACAAACAGCAAGACGTGCATCTTTAGTCAACTTTAAACCATCCCAGGACAAAAAGGTTTGTTTTTTAATTATGCAAACATGAACTTTCATTTCAGGACATACAGTGATGAAATTCAACCTGAGTCCTGGAATAATATGCCCAACCTGTGTGATAGAGGGAGACTGGTGAAGACCATGGGAGAAGGTAAACATTTTCCTGAACATCAGGATCCCCCTGTGCCCTTGAGGGGAGAGCAAAATAGCAAACTATACTGAACAAAAAGATAAACGCAACATATAAAGTGTTGGTGCCATGTTTCATGAGCTGAAATAAAAGATCGCAGAATTTTCTCTCAAATTTTGTGCACACATTTGTTTACATCCCTGTGCCAAGATAATCCATCCACCTGACAGGTGTGGCATATCAATAAGCTGATTAAACAGCATGATAATTACACAGGTGCACCTTGTGCTGGGGACAATAAAAGGCCACTAAAAAACAATGCCACAGATGTCTCAAGTTGAGTGAGCGTGCAATTGGCATGCTGAATGGAGGAATGTCCACTAGAGCTGTTGCCAGAGAATTTAATGTTCATTTCTCTACCATAAGCCGCCTCCAACGTCATTTTAGAGAATTTGGCAGTACGTCCAACCAGCCTCACAACTGCAGACAACGTGTAACCACACCAGCCCAGGACCTCCACATCAGGCTTCTTCACCTGCGGGATTGTCTGAGACCAGTCACCCGGACAGCTAATGAAACTGAGGAATGTGTGTCTGTAATAAAGCCCTTTTATGGGGAAAAACTCATTCTGATTGGCTGGGCCTGGCTCCCCAGTGGGTGGGCCTATGTCCTCCCAGGCCCACCCATGGCTATGCCCCTGCCTAGTCATGTGAAATCCATAGATTAGGGCCTAATTAATTTATTTCAATTGCCCGATTTCCTTATATGAACTGTAACTCAGTAAAATAGTTGAAATTGAGTGTATATTTCTGTTCAGTATATTTCAATATGTTCCCCCAATGTGCTAATCAGGTTTAAAAATGGACACATGATAGCAGCTGTTTCCCCGTCATCCCCACTGAACAGGAAGGAGGTGGAGGAGATAATACCAGACGCTGTCACTCGGACACGGAGCCCCGCCTTCCAAAACTCATCGACGCAACAGGAGTGGCTCTTAGCACAACCAGTACACACTGGAACCTTGAGAGGAAAGAAAGAGAGAGAGAGAGAGAGAGAGAGAGAAAGAGAGCAAAGGGGAGAGAACGATAGAGAAATAAAGAGAGACCGGGAGAGAGAGAAAGAAAGAGCGAGAGAGAGAAAGAAAGAGCGAGAGAGAGAGAGAGAGAGCGAGTCGCCCCGGTGTGCAGTTGGGCACGTGTCAGGCGATATTAATACAGACACTGGTGCCAGGAGTCCTGGGCCGTCAGTGGCCATGGGCCAATCATGAGAGAGACAGCTTTTCTCAGAAAGAATTGTGTAGAGCTCAATCGCATCTTTCAACTGTCTAAATGTGGAACAATGCGTTTCACTTCTGATAAGGTCAGGCAACCTACCTCACAGAGGGAAATATAAAATAAATGTTTATCAAAATGTTATTTGTCACATGCGCCGAATACAACTGGTGTAGACTTACCGTGAAATGCTTACTTACGAGCCCTTGCCCAACAATGCAGAGTTAAAAAGGTAAGAACATTTTGCTAAATTAAAAAAGGAAATAGTAACAATAATGAGGCTATATACAAGGAGTACCGGTACTGAGTCAATGTGCAGGGGTATGAGGTAGTTGAGGTAATATGTACATGTAGGTAGGGGTAAAAGTGACTAGGCAATCAGGATAGATAAACAGTAGCAGCAGCGTAAGTGAAGAGTGTGAAAGTATGTCTGTGTGTGAGTGTGTCTGTGTGGGGGGCGTCAATATGCTTGTGTGTGTTGTGTGTGTGAGCGTATGTAGTGTGTGTGAGCGTATGTAGTGTGTGTGTGAGGGTATGTAGTGTGTGTGAGAGCCATTGCACGAGAGTCAGGTAAAACATTTAATTTAAAAAAAGGGGAGTCAATGCAAATAGTCCGGGTAGCACATTTTGATTAACTGTTAAGCAGTCTTATGGCTTGGCGGTAGCAGACAGAACAGTATGACTTCGGTGGCTGGAGTCTGACAATTCTTAGGGCATTCCTCTGAAAAAAACAAATGATCATCAGCCTTACTTGAAGTCTATTCAGACAAAGGCAAACTGTTACAGAATAATATCTAAAGGCCAAAGAAAGATGCCATGTTTGGGAGGAGTTTCAATATACAATCTGATGCCAAGCTGAACAGAAAGAACATGACCACAGTCAAATGTTTCCCTTCAGCCATGAAGTATAACGGCCACATCCTCAGGGTTGTGTAATACTTCCTGTGCTAAGAGACGTTACATTTTTTAAAGAAACACTTACGACTGCAGGACGGGAGGGAACTAGAGAGAAAAATTAGGATGGCTTGAGGACGTTTACAATAGCACTTGTTGAAGTCAATGACACTGTTGATGTCATTATGAAAAGAAAAAAAAAGGAAACGCAACAGTCTAAGAGTGAAAAGCACACAAGGCACACATGACATTGTCCTGGTGCAGTTCAACTGGCCCGCAGGACTGCTCTGGATGAAGTGTGTGTTTATATAATCTGTCCCTTTATGTCAACATCCTACTTGGTACCAGGCCAAACATCTGTGACAGTCTCCACACCTAGGAGAGTGAGACAGGCAGCGTAGCAACAAGAGGCACAGACTCAAGAGTCAGTGAACCAGTGCCAGACATGACTCACAGGGGTGCCCTTCTTTACAACAGAGGAGTAGGTCCAAGCAAGGCCGCCACACCAGGAAGACAGACCGACTGCTTTAGCTGACAGACGGACACAGGCCCTGCTGTGTATGACTGCATGACACAGGCCCTGCTGTGTATGACTGCATGACACAGCAGGTTTCTCTGTGTCCAATCCGGAGGGTGCAGGTGCTGATGGCAGATACAACAAAAGGCTGAAAAGCTGCTATTCTGAGGAGGCTATTTCAGAAGCACTCATTTTTTACATTTTAGTCATTTAGCAGACGCTCTTATCCAGAGCGACTTACAGTTAGTGAGTGTATACATTTTTTCATACTGGCCCCCCGTGGGAATCAAACCCACAACCCTGGCGTTGCAAGCGCCATGCTCTACCAACTGAGCTACAGGAGGCAGTTGACACTGCTATAAATGAAGGAAGCAGAAACAATATCATATTCAACTTATGTTTTAGGAATATAAATGGTACTTTAACATTTTTTTTTACAGGTTACAACTTAAAAAAATAAAATAAAAAATTCAGGCAAAAACTACTGAATGAGCCCAAAAATGTGCTATAAATGTATTGATTTTGATGATATAAGGGAAATCTTGAAAATATGTTTGTCCTGCCTACCAGTGGCCTGTGCTGTGTGAGAGCTAGAACAGATGCTGCCTGACTGCCAGGGTTCTGCTGGGAGATATGAAGGAACATAGAGGTCAGGGGTCAACATGCCTTCTAACTATCAGTGACCTCTACACTCTCCAGACAGTTTATTAGGAACACCACCGCATTCGCGAAAATGGATCGCTCCAACAGACAGTGAGTCAGGTGGCCGTGGCTTCCTATATAAAGCAGACAGACAGGCATCGAGGCATTCAGCTACTGTTCGATTGAACGTTAGAATGGGCAAAACGAGTGACCTAAGCGACTTTGAGCGTGGTATGATCGTCAGTGCCAGGCACGCTGGCTCCAGTATCTTAAAAATGGCCACCCTCCTGGGCTTTTCACGCACGACAGTGTCTAGGGTTTAGCGAAAATGGTGCAACAAACAAAAAACATTCCAGTCTTGTGGGCGAAAGGAAAACGGCAAGAATCGTGTAAGCTAACAAGCGGGCCACAAACAGACAACTAACGGCGCAGTACAACAGTGATGTGCAGAAACGCATCTCGGAACGCACAAATCGTCGATCCTTGTCACGGATGGGCTATTGTAGCAAACGACCACATCGGGTTCCACTCCAATCAGCTAAAAACAAGAAGAATCGGCTCCAGTGGGCATGCGATCACCAACACTGGACAATTGAGTGGAAAAACATTGCCTGGAACAGGACTGCGAGTTCAGTTTACTTGAGTGGCCTGCACAGTCCCCAGACCTCAACCCAATAGAGCATATTTGGGCTGAGATGGAACGGGCTGTTCGAAGCATGAATGTACCACCGTCCAATCTGCAGCAACTGTGTGATACCATCGCGTCAGCATGGACCAACATCCCTGTGGAACGTTTGACACCTTGTAGAATGCCCCAAAGAATTCAGGCTGTTCTGGAGGCAAAGGGGGGTCTGACCTGGTACTAGATGGGTGTACCTAACAAACTGTACGGTGAGTTTATGCTGGGCAAAACATCTGTACTGTTGAATAATTCAAATCATGCATACAGTAGACAGATACAGTGCATTCGGAAAGTATTCAGACCCCTTGACTTTTTCCACATTTTGTTACGTTACAGCCTTATTCTAGAATGGATTAAATTGTTTTTTCCCCCCTCATCAATCTACACACAATACCCCATAATGACAAAGCCAAAACAGGTAAAAAAATTTTGGCAAATGTATTCCAAATAAAAAACGGAAATATTACATTTACATAAGTATTCAGACCCTTTACTCAGTACTTTGTTGAAGCACCTTTGGCAGCGATTACAGCCTTGAGTCTTCTTGGGTATGACGCTACAAGCTTGGCACACCTGTATTTGGGGAGTTTCTCCCATTCTTCTCTGCAGATCCTCTCAAGCTATGCCAGGTTGGATGGGGAGCGTCACTGCACAGCTATTTTCAGGTCTCTCCAAACATGTTAGATCGGGTTGAAGTCCAGGCTCTGGCTGGGCCACTCGAGGACATTCAGAGACTTGTCCCAAAGCCACTCCTGCGTTGTCTTGGCTGTGTGCGCTTAGGGTCGTTGTCCTGTTGGAAGGTGAACCTTCACCCCAGTCTGAGGTCCTGAGCGCTCTGGAGCAGGTTTTCATCAAGGATCTCTCTGTACTTTGCTCCGTTCATCTTTCCCTCAATTCTGACTAGTTCCCAGTTCCTGCCACTGAAAAACATCCCCACAGCATGACGCTGCCACCACCATGCTTCACTGTAGGGATGGCGCCAGGTTTCCTCCAGACGTGACACTTGGCATTCAGGCCAAAGAGTTCAATCTTGGTTTCATCAGACCAGAGAATCTTGTTTCTCATGGTCAGAGTCCTTTAGGTGCCTTTTGGCAAACTCCAAGCGGGCGGTCATGTGCCTTTTACTGAGGAGTGGCTTCCATTTGGCCACTCTACCATAAAGGCCTGATTGGCGGAGTGTTGCAGAGATGGTTGTCCTTCTGGAAGGTTCTCCCATCTCCACAGAGGAACTCTGGAGCTCTGTTAGAGTGACCATCAGGTTCTTAGTCACCTCCCTGACCAAGGCCCTTCTCGCCCGATTGCTCAGTTTGGCCGGGCGGCCAGCTCTAGGAAGGGTCTTGGTGGTTCCAAACTTCTTCCATTTATGAATGATGCAGACATTTTTTAGTACCCATCCCCAGATCTGTGCCTCGACACAATCCTGTCTCGGAGCTCTACGGACAATTCCTTCGACCTCATGGCTTGGTTTTTGCTCTGACATGCACTGTCAACTGGGGGACCTTATATAGACAGGTGTGTGTGCCTTTCCAAATCATGTCCAATCAATTGAATGTACCACAGGTGGACTCCAATCAAGTTGTAGAAACATCTCAAGGATGATCAATGGAAACAGGATGCATCTGAGCTCAATTTCGAGTCATAGCAAAGGGTCTGAATACTTATGTAAATAAGGTATTTATGTTTTTTTATTTGTAATACATTTTCTAACATTTCTAAAAACCTGTTTTCGCTTTGTCATTATGGGGTATTGTGTGTAGATTGATGAGGATATATATTTTTTAGAATAAGGCTGTAACGTAACAAAATGTGGAAAAAGTCAAAGGGTCTGAATACTTTCCAAATGCACTGTAGCATCTCAGACATTTAAATTATTAGTTAAAGAAGACCTCTGGATGGTCCTTTCCCTATCCCATTACTTAGTGCGTTCTGTTGCCATCAACACCATGAAAAGGTTGTAATTAAAGGTAGACTCAGCGATATGACAATTTCCGCAACAACTAAGAGCATTGAAGTGCGAGGCTCAACTTCTCCACTGTTTTCGTCCCGTGGCTACCACGTTGTGAACCGCATGAAGCGAACCCCTGCACGTGCGCAGATACTGTGTGTGACAGAGTGAAGTCTTGCATCTCGCTCAGCTCAATATCTGTGGTGCTCCTCATGGCAATGTCATTTAGCTGAGTCTACCTTTAAACCTTCTGCCTGCTAATCCCTATACTTAGCCTAATGAAAGGGGAGTATTGATGACTCATCCCACCTTCCCTCTCCACACAGCAGTCTTCTTAATATTCTAATGCACTGTTCCACATGTGGTAATGTGAAGCTGTGGACAAGGCTACAGTCTGTGACCACGGTAAGAGAGGAAGCTCTGAAGGGTATTCATGTTTCTGTCACTTTCCCCTGGTGTTAAGGTCAATCTCTCCCTCGTTAGTGGCTCCTCTTAACAGTCTCTCCGGGGTCAGACCAGCATGTCTGCACCTTTACCGCGACTTCTATAACCAGACAGCATAGCGCAGATTCCCAGCAGTCAACGCAGGACATGCCTCAAGGTTAGCTGCCACAGTGCAGTTCAAAACTGGAACGCAAGGGCAATGCAAACCAGCCGAAAATTGCAGTAGCTTAATAGCTGTTGGTTGATACCCTTAGTCTTTATTGGCACTCTAACATACTATTCCTTCCGCCTCATTCATCCAAGACCCAGACAGACATTGTGCCTCCTGATGACCTGACAGTGGCCGAAAGACCCCACAGCGACAGCAAACGCTGGCCAGGCCCACACAAAATGCCACATTCCATGCTGAGTGTCTGGAATCCCAGGCCATGGAGGGTGCTGATGGGTAGAGTGTCTGCGCGTTGGGCTTGGAGGGGTGGGATCGCCATCTAGCACTGACTTCCCTACAAGGTCATCTTGCTGTCCAAACAATAGGAACAGCTGAGCAATCCTCCCACCTAACACTGACTGGCCCCTATCAGTATGTGGGCCACTATTTTACTGAACATGCACCAGCCAGGGACCAGAACCCCCAGATTCCTGCAGAAATGCAACACCTCTGGCTACAGACAACATTATGCTGATGACTAGATATGTGCAATAAACACATTAAGTAAAAAAAATAAAAAATAAAAGAAATATGGCCGTTGCATGTATGGTCAATGTTGAGCTATTCAGGGAGAAGAGAACCATCTCTTTAATTTCCCTGAAGTTCTGAGATAAATTAGAGTGGTGGTGAGAGTGACTATGGGTTGAGATAAGTGAATTTCCTAGCAGCAGCAGGAGCCGCAGCGGTCAGAACCACGGTGCTGTGAGTTCCAGGCTAGAGCTAGCAGCTCATCAGACCAACATTTTCCCCTGGTGGCACTAAGTTTTTCAGTTGGTGGTGTCATGCAAAAATCTTCTCAGTGTGAAATAGTCACCAATCGTCCTGATTGTGTTGTGATTGTGATGTCATGTAACATTTCTCCCAGCGTGAAAATGTTCCCAGTTCAATAATTGCTCGCACAGCTCTTTATGTGGACGGCTGAGCTCGTGCGGATGTTTCTCTCACACCCTACCCGGACCTCGAAAAACTGTTCTGTGGGCACGCGTATTTGCTTCACACATCTGCCAATCAATGGTGGACAGGAGTATTGCCACTGACCAATCAGAACCTTGTTGAGGCGTGAGGTCTGCATATAAACACCCGGACTCGCGTGTCAAAGTGCTGAGGAGAGATTTTTTGCGATTGCAAAAACTTGGACGCTAAGGGAGGGTGTGAGAGAAACATCCGCACGAGCTCTGCGGTCCACATAAAGAGCAGCGCGTGCAATTATTGAACTGGGAACATTTTCACGCTGGGAGATATTTTACAACATCACATCACAATCAGGACGATTGGTGACTATTTCACACTGAGAAGATTTTTACATGACTGGTGACACCAGCCCATGTTTTAGTCGCCTCAAAAAAATTTCCCGCAGCGTCACACCATAAAAAATTATGGAATTCAACAAATAAGTTGTTTTATAATCTTTTCATGTTGTGATTGAAAATATTTTAATGTGCACCCTTTTCCAGTGATTGACAATTAGCCTATTGTTGTTCCCGTGTGGCTCAGTTGCAGAGAATGGCGTTTGCAACGCTAGTGTTGTGGGTTTGATTCCAACAGGGGACCAGTACGTAAAAGCACGAAAATGTGTGCACTCACTACTGTAAATCGCTCTGGATAAGCGCGTCTGCTAAATGACTAAAATGTCAATGTTATATTCTACTGTTAAAATAGCAGATTGACGTTTGTCCTGAGTCTTGTCCTGGAGGCAGAACTGAGCGATATCCTCTTAGATAGGCCAACTGCAAAGTCAAAATTGGCTATATTGTACAAATTAATAAAATAAAGTGCTTTTTGGTCATCATTTAAAGATCAGGGTTAGGCATTAGGGTTAGCAGTGTGGTTAAGGTTTAAAATCTGATCGCTAGTGACCACTCTGCAGAGCTGCCTCCAGAACAAGATTCATGACGAAAAACGACATGAATAGACATGAATTTGCCTGCATGTTTATGTGCACTAATATCACAGGTTAAGTTATTTGGGTTAATTCACAACCGAGTAAGTGGAAACTCAAAACATATTAGCTAGGTTGCTAAATTTAAATAATACCCACTGCTAGTTGCCATGTATTAATCTAACAGTACATTTAATGTCAAAAAAATATACATTGCAGTTGTAGCCTACCACCCAATGAGGCCTATGCAATAACAATTGCCAATGCGCATTTCACACGCTCAATATCTCAGAGCCTTATCACATACAGTGCATTCGGAAAGTATTCAGACCCTTTAACTTTTTCCACATTTTGTTATGTTACAGCCTTATTCTAAAATGGATTCAATAAAAACATTTCCTCAATCTACACACAATACCCCATAATGACAAAGCGAAAACAGGTTTTTAGAAATTTTAGCCAATGTAAAAAAAACAGATATACCATATTTACAAATTGAGCTCAGGTGCATCCTGTTTCCATTCATCATCCTTGAGATGTTTCTACAACTTGATTGGAGTCCACCTGTGGTAAATTCAATTGATTGGACATGATTTGGCAAGGCACACACACCTGTCTATATAAGGTCCCACAGTTGACTGCATGTCAGAGCAAAGACCAAGCCATGAGGTCGAAGGAATTGTCCGTAGAGCTCCGAGACAGGATTGTGTCGAGGCACAGATCTGGGGAAGGGTACCAAAACATTTCTGCAGCATTGTAGGTCCCCAAGAACACAGTGGCCTCCATCATTATTGAATGGAAGAAGTTTGGAACCACCAAGACTCTTCCTGAGCAATCGGGTGAATGGCCTTGGTTAGGGAAGTGACCAAGAACCCGTTACTCTGACAGAGCTCCAGAGTTCCTTTGTGGAGATGGGAGAACCTTCCAGAAGGACAACCATCTCTGCAGCACTCCACCAATCAGGCCTTTATGGTAGAGTGGCCAGACGGAAGCCACTCCTCAGTAAAAGGCACATGACAGCCCGCTTGGAGTTTCCCAAAAGGCACCTAAAGGACTCAGACCATGAGAAACAAGATTCTCTGGTCTGATGAAACCAAGATTTAACTCTTTGGCCTGAATGCCAAGCATCACGTCTGGAGGAAACCTGGCACCATCCCTACGGTGAAGTATGGTGGTGGCAGCATCATGCTGTGGGGATGTTTTCAGCGACAGGGACTAGGAGACTAGTCAGGATTGAGGGAAAGATGAACGGAGCAAAGTACAGAGAGATCCTTGATGAAAACCTGCTCCAGAGTGCTCAGGACCTCAGACTAGGGCGAAGGTTCACCTTCCAACAGGACAACGACCCTAAGCACACAGGCTTCGGGACATGTCTCTGAGTGGCCCAGCCAGAGCCCAGACTTGAACCGGATCGAATATCTCTGGAGAGACCTGAAAATAGCTGTGCAGCAACGCTCCCCATCCAACCTGACAGAGCTTGAGAGGATCTGCAGAAAAGAATGGGAGAAACTCCCCAAATACAGGTGTGCCAAGGTTGTAGCATCATACCCAAGAAGACTCAAGGCTGTAATCTCTGCCAAAGGTGCTTCAACAAAGTACTGAGTAAAGGGTCTGAATACTGTAAATGTTATATTTCAGATTGTTTTTTTGTATACATTTGCAAAAATTTATACAAACCTGTTTTTGCTTTGTCATTATGGGGTATTGTGTAGATTGAGGGGGAAAAACAATTTAATCAATTTTAGAATAAGGCTATAACGTAACAAAATGTGGAAAAAGTCAAGGGGTCTGAATACTTTCCGAATGCACTGTATCTTGGTTGTAAAATAGTTTGCTATTGGGCTCAAAATGGAGTGTTGATAAATAAAAATGATACCTGTGACAACAAGATAGCCATTATATTAAACAATTGTATACAATCAGAACACTTTTTCCCCGGGAAAGGAGTGTGACTCATTCGACATAGCAGCAGGCCCCAGCGAAACAGGTACAGGCAGACACTTTCTTTACAGGAATCATGAGGATAATGTATTTTACTGTTTGACCAAATAATGGTTTAATCCTCCTAAAAAAAAACATTGAGTGAGGTGACCATGTAGAATGTGCAGCTCCCACCGATGAGTTCAATTAAAACATTTATTCGCACAGCCAAGTCAAAGGGTCGCAAAATGCGACTAAATGGTTGCAGTCTGGAGCCCTGCCTGGAACAGCAGTCAAGGAAAACTGACATCACATAGTTGCAGATTAGTTTAGTAAGAACAGCAGTGACAGCAAACCTCAGCACAGAGCACAGCATCCCTGTATTGACAGTGCTGTTTTAGACAGCTTGGGCTGGACAAGGAGAAACTACACAGATACAGCAGGAGCACAGCCAGCCCAGCCAGAGGAAGAAGTGAGAAATGCATTAGCTACAATCAAAACAGTAATGAAAACCAACACTGGGCTATAATCTTCCGGACAGTAAGCACATCTGCAGACAGTAAAGCACCATCTCTAAACTGTGGATGTCCCTTGAGGGCTTATGAGAGTTGAGAAGGAGTGAGCTAACTGTGTCTACCTCCAGAGGGCTTATAGGAGCTGGGAAGGAGAAATGTTTGGCCTCGGAGTGGAGGGAGCGGGAGGCTGGCTGTGTCAAGAGCACACAGTGGTACCCTGACAGGCAGGGCCCGAGATGGCCCGTTTAGTATTCTGCTCACAGCTCAGCCAGTCCCTGCAGCCTGCATCCTCAGCAGTGAGCTGGCATCTGCGTCATAACCAGCCCTCCTGCTTGGCAGGGGGTCACACTGGGGCTTTGGGCAAAAAACATTATTCAGAAAGGAACATCACAGAAACCAATATGAAAAGGTTCTGCAGGATTTACCCATATTCCCTCTAAATGTAGGTGATATTCTCAATCTCCACTTGATAGCATGCACAAGGCATCACTCTGACAATATCTGCTTTATCGGCCGTTCTCTGGAAGAGTCTGGTTTCCAAGCAAGGCTGTTAGCCAAGCGACCTTCACTCTACACAACCAATCATGCCCACACTCAACAATCATAGGAGGCACAAAGAGGCTGGAATTCACACAGCAGGACCAGTCTTACACAATAATTCCTGTGCATCAAATAAAGGCAACTATACAGACCACCCACTAAAACTTCCAGGACCCACTTTGATAACCATACTATTATGAAGCCATTGTCAAACATCTACCCCCCAAACCTAATTTTCCATCACTCTAAAACAATGGGTTTAATAAAACTTAGCGAGCAGCTAATGCACGCAGTGCTGCCCGTGCCGTTCACAAGGTGACTTTGGCGCCCTGCTGAAAACTGTCCCACGTCACACACTGCAACTATGTTCCAGAGAGGGAGGGGGGGGGGGGGCACCAGACACCTGCCATCTTCACTACTGTCACTGCCTGCTATAAATACATCATGATTCCATAATCTAGACAGGCTAAAAATAAAACCCACCATTATGCGCATAAAACCCCTGCATCACCTCAATGGCTTAGGGTTAAACCAAGTATCATGATAACGTTAGCCCGTCAAGGATTCCAGCATTCCACTCCACATCAGTTGACTCAGTTGTCTGCAGACACGTGCTGCCCAGGACACATTCCTCTCAAAATCAGAGACGTCTCGCTCTTTGCTAAAGTGCTACAGTCACTGTCTTCGGGTGAGTCATACCAGCCTCTTTCACGAGCTGCACTGAGGAAACGGGAGACAAGCCACTCAGAGGTTGAGTTTACCGGCTCCAATGGGGATGTTCTAGCTACGGTTGAACCGCATGTGAGATTCATCAAGGTGGTGTGTTCAGTGCACCCTGGTGAGTTAAGCACCCCCAGGGAAACATGCACACATGATCCGAGAGGCCTTTAGCAGCACTAGCGCTTAGTCCTCTGGGACAATGGGTTAATAGAAACATCCCAAAATACACCACTCCTGTAGGGTGAGTCACCTCTGCAGTGGGACTGGGGGAAGAGGGGAATTTAAATGAGCTTTTACTGCTAAACGTCAGCCTGACCATGCCTGGACTCATGAGCCCTTTTAAAAATAGCATTTACCTGAATGAGGTGTCATAAAAAGCAAAGGCTAAAAACGATGTTGTTTTGCATAAAAAGAGATCAGGACTGTCCTTTTTTTCTACAGAAATAAACTTTCAAGGGAAATATTTTTCTAATGAAGAATAAGAACTGTTTTTGCTTAAACCTTAAACAATGCTTATTCATAAGCAAAATTACTGAATCATCAAAAATGGTCTAGGTCTAATGCATCCTAAAGCACTGAGAAAGACAGGGCCACCTTACCAGCAACCTCCACGATGTCTCCTGGCACGATTTCTTTGGCCTTGATCCTCTGAACGGTCTTCCTGTCCTGGCGGTAGACCTTGCCCATCTCAGGCTCGTACTCTTTAAGGGCTTCAATGGCATCCTCAGCATTGCGTTCCTGTGTAGATTAGAAATGTTGACCGTTTGCTCACATATTTCAATTGAACTAGATGATCTGACGACATTATAGATGCCAATTCAAATAAGCCTATTTAACTTTTTCACTATCCCACAAACTGCAGATATGTGGGTTCATTAAAAGGCACAGTCTAACTTCAACAACCTAACCATCCCACTTTGTTTTGCTAACTGATGGATGGGGCTGGTGAATTCATAGACTACAGGAAATCTTAAGAGATTGTGCCGTTAACGCATGACAAGGACCAGGAGATTCGCCTTCGCATATTTTCAATTCTGAAAATAGTTAAAAAGATGCACTATGCAGAAATCGCTCCGCCATTTCATGGTTGCTAAAATTCTAATAGTTTGCTTAATTTCAGTTTGTGACAAAACAAGCAAGTATAGGGTAGAATCATTGTACCATCTAAAACGCTGTGAAATATCTTTCCCATATCCCAAAATATTGTATTTTTAGCTGTTTGATGCTAGTGTACAAAAACAAAAGTAAAATACGCAAAAACGAAACGCATAGAAATAGCGCACATAGAACATATCTACCGCTTCGAAGACTTGCTTTCAATGAGAATAACAGATCTATAACTGCATTTCTATGTGCATTTGGTCAGGTCGCCCAAAAAGTTACATATTGCAGCTTTAATTTCTGTAATGATTAAGCTTAAGAAAACAGAAGAGTAAGTTGTAAACAGTGTCATAGGGCAAGTCACATATACTAGTAATTTATGAAAACAGCAGCTAAATAAGAAACTTCACACTGTGCCAAAATCACGTTCACTCAATCACTTAGAATAGAATGCTTGGTTCTAAAGTCCACATTTCCAGGCCAACTTCAACATATCAGTTAGTGAGAGCCTATCAGGGCAGGGATGGCCAGTTGCATCACTTCCTGTTGAGCAAGTCTACTCCATGGCATGCACTGGCTTGACTTACTGAACACTCCTCCTAGGAGCTGCCTGGCAGTGTAAGCAAAGTCAACCAGTGTGACAAAAGTTCTGACAAGAAAATGGGCATCTAAACAGAGTACAAAAGACAACTATCAACTTGTGGATTGAATTGCCAATATTTTATTTCACTCTTTGGCTACACAGAAATGCTTTATGGATTGGATTCAAATGTTCAAGACTATTTGCTCACAAACATGCCATCTATGGAATGTTGAAGTCCAACAGACTGGGGAAATGTAACCTAGTTCTGGACAAACTCATGCAGGAGTTTAGACTGAATGAATAAATCCTAAGGGAGCATCCAGCCAATTTGTGTTGGTAGTTGCTACAGACAAATGTTTATTTGCAAAGACTGCAAACATGGATTAGAGAATGGCTAAGAGACCATGGGTGTAAACATAATCAAAGCAACAGACGTGAAGTCTGGGCAAGAGGAAGGATTGTCACTTTGGTCACGCCTAAACCTTCTCAAATGTAGTCAATGACCCACTTTCTTCCTTGCCCCATTTTTCATCTACTTTCCTCTACCATTGAAAAGCAAGTCCTTAAAGAAAGGAAAGCATAAAACTGGCATGTGACCAACGAACAGAATGTATGAGACTTGTGGATGCTCCTACCTACAACTCTTTATGGTGGCCTGTTTTGCCTATAGTCACTGCTAGTAGCATACAATAAGTATTCCTTTTCACAACCTTTACCAAGACAAGAGTTTCGGAAATACTATGTCATTGACATTACAACTCCACACTGAACATTGACGTTCAAGATACTGTAAAATGTGTAATGCAAGTTTCTCACCTGCCACACACCCACGATGGCATTGGCTATAAGAATGAGTAAGATTACAAAAGGCTCCACAAAGGCTGTGATTGTTTCTTCTCCGTCCTCGAACAAGGCCAAGACCTAAAGGTAAACAAGACAAAGAGATGATCCATTATTGACATGATTCCACATAGAACGTAGCACAGGAGTACGTAACATCATTCCCCCTGGTTACTTACTACGCTTACAACTATGCATTGAAGCGATCATAATGTTAAGAAGACTATGTCCTGAAGTATGTTGTGAAATAAGGTTCTACTAAATGCCATGGAGGAAGCATGGCTGTTAGCCAGAGCTGTGAAAAACAGACAAACTCCATCCATGCTAGGTAGTAGTGTATGCATTCTGATACGACTGATTAACTTAGCAGTGATAGAAATGCATGGAAATGTACATTTTGTTGAGTGAGCTCCATTTTTTACATAATTGACAACAAGATGATTATACAAAAAGTTACATCAGAAGATTTACAGCAGGATATCAGTGCAAGAGTTAACACATTTAATCAAAATGGATACAACACATTTATTTAGACGTTAAACCTTTTTTTAAAGCTTTGAGCTCATTTAACACCAAAACCGGGCACATTTTTCCTAGTTCAAAAGCAACACAGGATTCAACACAATTGAATTTTTGCATTGTAATTTCAGAAAATGTCCATAATATAGCTGCAGTAATAGTGTTTCACAGTATTACTTACCCGCCAGTGTTGTGATTGGCTGCAATATTAGCCTATGGATTTCTCCTGCCAGATATACTGTGTATATATATATATATATATATATATATCGTTTTTACAGTTGTTTGAACCTATTGGACCAGAACCGATTTCCAGTTTTGGTCCACCAGCTTCAAACAGCTGTAAAAACAATATTTGTTCTTATTCAAAATATATATTTCACAGTGATTTAGATGGTACAATGATTCCCTACACTGTTCAGTGCTTGTTGTCACAAACTGAACAGTGTAGAATTTTTTGCAACCAGGAAATGAGCGATTTCCACTAGATAACACAGCCACAAAGTCAGAACATTTTGACAACAGGTGTCGCTCTGGCGGGAGAACTAAATAGGCAAATCACAGCCAATCACAACACTGGTGGGTAAGTAATACTGTGAAACACTATCATTCCACTATTTGTTCCAGATATATTATGGGCATTTTCTGAAATTACAATGCAGAATTCTAACAAATCCTACCTCATTGTAATCTAGTACCGTGATTTTATTTTGAGCGATTATTTAACTAGAGTTTGCTGTACTGAGCAATACATAGTCAACTCTTTATAACGCACATTGTTGAATTAAAGTTTCAAATTAAATCACTTATGATTTCAATCATTTATGGTCCATTTTGCACATAACACACTTAAATCGAACACCGAAAATACAGTAAGACTACAGCTTATAACAGATTGTTTTGATGTGTTATGCTATATGTCATTTGTGTCAGCACATAACAGTACATTTGGACAAATTAATCAATGGCCCTCAATAGCCATCAGTATCATGCATAGTATGCATGTCAAATATGAGCAGTTGAAACCAACAGACAGCCACCTTACCACCTCAAACAAACCAGTTACGAGGACTACTGCTGCAGTAATCAGTCACAACCAACATATTTCACTTAACATAGCCATTCTCCTTCTCGGCACTCTTCCTCTCTCACAAACCGGAGATTAAAAAAAAGCTATCTTCTGGGAGCAAGACTCATTTGCATAATGTCCATCTTATCTGCTGAGAATAAGAGCACACGACACGTTTCACAAATTCACTTTAACGGGACAAAGCCGCATAACACAGGCCGCATCATGAACACCCTGCTGCAAGTTCTGCTGCACCCGTTTGTTATTTCTTTAGCCTACTACTCCCCAATCATTGGATCTGACTTAATAACTGACCACCGACCAAAAGCATGGGAGTGAGGGGCATGGGAGAAGGCGTGGTGCATTGGTCTGGGGAATGCCCTCCCACTGAAGGTCAGAGCCCAAATGTGGTCCTGAGTGGTGCGCTGTCCCCCTGTCAGACAGCAGCCATCAACACCACCATATCGCAAGGCTGAGCACTGCACACTACATACCAGCTCCTCTAGCAGACCGACACACCACACACACCAGGATTATAGATTCCAGCTCTTGAAACCTCCATACTGGCCTCAAAAGGACCCCATCTCCTCAAGTCAAGGTAAATAGTATCTGACACGACATTGAAATCATTTCCATATTTCCACTGCAAAAACATCCATCTGTCCACTACCTAAGAACATGAATCGTAAACGCTGATGTAGCAGTACAATGATAATACTGCAGAACTATGGAGATTAGATCATTGTATGGTGTCAGTTACATTTTCATCAAACCATTTAGCTCGTGAATAGGCTTCTTACTCCAAATAACGAGGCAAATGTCCAAACATGAGGAGAAGGGCAAATGACCAGCGAGAACACCGATAGGAGAGGTAGTGATTACACTGCAAGAGTAAAAGACTAATCAAATGTCTTGTTAGACACATGGCGATAGCAACTCGAGTCAAGCAACAGCTGTCGTCACCATTCCTCAGATGTGTAGCTAGCCTTCGCAGCTATTTGGCTGCCTGATCTGTGAATGTAACCTAAGCCTCGGCATTCAAACAGAAGATATTTGCACTTGCTGTCCACACCTCTCATGCCACTATGCCAAACATACACTTTCCCTTTCCATTCCAGACAGCCCACTCCTATTGATGTGCTTTCATCAGCAACTCCGGACAGCAAGCAGATGATTTAAGAGTTTGTTTACATGACAACTTAACACAGCACGTCGGGGGGGGGGGGATTGTCACCTCTTCGTAATTAACCAAAGGTTTGTGATCAAAGTAACATGCTTCAAATACTCATATACAGTGCATTCGAAAAGTATTCAGACCTCTTGACTTTCCACATTTTGTTACGTTACAGCCTTATTCTAAAATGGATTAAAAAATAATCATCCTCAGCAATCTACACACAATACCAAAGCGAACAGGTTATACATTTTTGCAAATGTATAAAAAATACAGAAATACCTTATTTACATAAGTATTCAGACCCTTTGCTATGAGACTCGAAATTGAGCTCAGATGCATCCTGTTTCCATTGATCATCCTTGAGATGTTTCTACAACTTGATTGGAGTCCACCTGTGGTACATTCAATTGATTGGACATGATTTGGAAAGGCACACACCTGTCTATATAAGGTCCCACAGTTGACAGTGCGTGTCAGAGCAAAAACCAAGCCATGAGGTTGAAGGAATTGTCCTTAGAGCTCCAAGACAGGATTGTGTCGAGGCACAGATCTGGGGAAGGGTACCAAAAAATGTCTGCAGCATTGAAGGTCCCCAAGAACACAGTGGCCTCCATCATTCTTAAATGGAAGAAGTTTGGAACCACCAAGACTCTTCCTAGAGCTGGCCACCTGGCCAAACTAAGCAATCGTGGGAGAAGGTCCTTGGTCAGGGAGGTGACCAAGAACCCGATGGTCACTCTGACAGAGCGCCAGAGTTCCTCTGTGGAGATGGAAGAACCTTCCAGAAGGACAACCATCTCTGCAGCACTCCACCAATCAGGCCTTTATGGTAGAGTGGCCAGACGGAAGCCACTCCTCAGTAAAAGGCACATGACAGCCTGCTTGGAGTTGCCAAAAGGCACCTAAAGACTCTCAGACCATGAGAAACAAGATTCTCTGGTCTGATGAAACCAAGATTGAACTGTTTGGCCTGAATGCCAAGCATCACGTCTGGAGGAAACCTGGCACCATCCCTACGGTGAAGCGTGGTGGCAGCATCACACTGTGGGGATGTTTTTCAGCGGCAGGGACTGGGAGACTAGTCAGGATCGAGGCAAAGATGAACAGAGCAAAGTACTGAGAGATCCATACTAAAAACCTGCTCCAGAGCGCTCAGGACCTCAGACTGGGCCGAACGTTCACCTTCAACATGACAACGACCCTAAGCACACAGCCAAGACAAAGCAGGAGTGGCTTTGGGACAAGTCTCTGAATGTCCTCGAGTGGCCCAGCCAGAGCCCGGACTTGAACCCGATCGAACATCTCTGGAGAGACCTGAAAATAGCTGTGCAGCAACGCTCCCCATCCAACCTGACAGAGCTTGAGAGGATCTGCAGAGAAGAATGGGAGAAACTCCCCAAATACAGGTGTCCCAAGCGTGTAGCGTCATACCCAAGAAGACTTGAGGCTGTAATCGCTGCCAAAGGTGGTTCAACAAAGTACTGAGTAAAGGGTCTGAATACTTATGTAAATGTGATATTTCCGGCCTTTATAAAATATAAATTAGTAGACATTTCTAAAAACTTGTTTTTGCTTTGTCATTATGGGGTATTGTGTGTAGATTGATGAAAAAACTAAACAATTTAATCAATGTTAGAATAAGGCTGTAACCTAACAAAATGTGGAAAAAGTCAAGGGGTCTGAAAACTTTCCTAAGGCACTGTATATGTATAATAATGGCTCATTGATATCTAGGGCTAGCCTATTAAAAGGGGTAAACAGTCCCATGACAAGCATTGCCAAAGTTATTGTGTTCTAAACCTCATCTCAAAAACAAAGAGTCCAGGCGATATACTTACAAAAGATATACAAGCTGCCAGCAGAAGAATTCGTACGAGTAAATCTTCAAATTGTTCAATGACAAGCTCCCATAGAGACTTCCCTGTGGAATGAAAGCGATGTAAAAATACATGAAATCAAGAAGAATTTGTAGCACCTAGTTTGTTGTAAAAATTCAACCTATTTTAATTATGGGTTATTACCTTCTTCAGCAGGTAACTCTGGAGATGGGCCAATCCAAAGTGCATACAGGGAAAAGAGAACACACTATTACATTAGTAATGTTTTAATAGCTAACGCTGTTAATTTTGACAATCAAACATGATATGGCACTGCAATTTGTTGCTCTCCACCCCATTTGACTCCCAATGACTCCCTGTGACTCCCACTAAACCCTATATGTCCTGGTTTAGATTGTGCAAAGCTAAAACTTTGCTATTGGCAACTTGAAAAACAGGGATTTGATTGAATTGCATTCACTGAGTGAAACCGAAGTCTTGTTTGGCTGAGTCATTAACAGTAGTAACTCGTAGTTGGTAAGCATATTGCCCAATCAATGTTTGAATTCATGTGGTGACACATCAGGTATGGAGGACTAAAAGTGCCACAATTAAATAAATAAATACACCATTAAATAATTACTTAAATGTGTCATTAATTAATTAAAATTAGAATTAAATACATAAATGTGTAATTAAATGTATCATTAATTAATTCAAATACCGATTCATTTTATGTAAAATACATATATAATTATTTCACTATTTACATTTACATTTCATGGTCCTGCGTTGGAGTGATTCATGAATTACTTAAAACTGTCAAACTGACCCATCAAAAGTTGGTAGGCGGAACCTAACGCCTGATTGGTTACCCTCTGCATCAAGCCAAGACAAATCAATTCCGGATAATGGATTGATGCAGAGCTACTGAACACATTCCAATACACTGGGTGGCGCTATTCACCTCTACGTTGGTTTAGTTACACGGTTAAACAGTACTTTCATTGCAACGGCTAAAAATCAAGAAGACTCGGTCCTGCTAGCCCCAATGTTGAGACGCTGTGTGAGGTGCAGGACAAAATGTCTAAAAGTTGCCCGGAGCTGCTGAGAGAAGCAGCGAATTTGATTGAGGAAGCTCTGAGCAGAAGTCCAACGGCTCCCGCGGCACCGGTGACTCCGGCAGCTCAGTCATAGCAGATACCGGCCGCTCAATCACGTACACCTGTCCAAGGTAAGCTAAGTAATTTCATGTTAGCCAGGTGTGCTACTATTTAATGATTCGGGACACACGTGTAGGTTAAATTAGATCGACTCGAACATGTATTTGCATGCGGTATTATGATGCTTCGTGCGTGACACGTTTATTGTTAATGGGGGGGGGGAAGCATAAACCTAGCTAGTTCGCTAATCGGCTAAATGGTGTTAGCTGGCTTGAGCATCCCAAGATAGAAGTAGAGGCTGTTTTAGCTGACTGGTGACCATTGAGCTGTTACGTTTTTCTGTGTTGCAGCGGAGGTAGCAAGGCTCTTTGCGCCATATAACATTGGAGCCAGAAGGAATATGACGAGACGACCAGCACAAGTCCAAGTTAGCCGAAGAAGCTACACACACACTGTCTGTTGTTTGGCTGACCACAATGCGGATAAAACTCCAAGCGTACTGTTTAAAGCTGAACTTCTTACTTCAGGACTTGGAGAGCAAAAAGTAACATTTTCAGGTCAGTGCCAAACTAGGCATTTACCAAAAGTAAAAAAAAAGTTTGTACTGTCTGTGGCTTGTTGAAATTATTTGCATTTCTTTTTATAGTGACTCAAACTTAATTGGTGTTCATAGTGTCAATAATAGTTATCACAGGCTTATTTGCTTAATTTAAGGTGAGGTGAGTTATGATTTTGTTTTGTTTTTTTCTCCAGGGAATGACCACGATCCCATGGTTATAACAAATAAACTGATGGAAGTGTTTCCGAAGCTCCAACAAGGGGGAGGCTTTGAATTTCTAAAACTTGTAGGATCTACTCGCAGTCGAAATCTTGCGTTGCTTCAGTGTCCCAGCACTGGATACACCCTTGCCTATCTGAAAGATCCATCGACGATGATTGGACAGGCTACAATCAACATACGTCCACTTCAACAGGATCTACCCTTAGATTGTGTACATACATTTACAGAGACTTAGTTTAATACATAATCAAAACAAAGATTACTGGTGACTTTTAATCATTAATTAAAAGCCATTTGTTGTTGTTGTTAGGAGAGCTCACGTCCTGCCTCTGGTCCAGTCATCCCCTGCATCACTTGTCAGAAGGAAGTTCCCTTTTCAGAGATGAAGCTGCACAGATTGAGCTGCAATGGGTATGTACTTCTTAAAGCAATGCAAGGGTAGCATAATTTATTTTCTTTGGGAATATGTCTCTCTTATTGTTGTGCACACAAATAAGCGAGTATGACCATCATTTCAATTGTGTTAACTTCAAGGACACCCATGCAGGAATCAGAAAGAGAACAAGAGGGAGGCCAAAGTGAAGAAAATGATAGTGAGACAGCCCTAGTCAGTGACAGTGTTCCAGTGAGGCCTGAAACATCAGCTGAGAGTGCAGTAGTACCGGCAGTGATTGTCAACGAGGAGTTGGATCGCAAAGAAACAGACAGTGGTTTGTGTCATCACAATAGTGTTGCTATAAGATTGTGTGTAACTGAAAAGTTAATAGAAAGATAACACCTGTAGGATATAATTAGATAAGATAATACAGTTACAGACAATTAATAACATGCAACTGGGTTTTTCTATTTTTCTAATATTTAGTTGTAGTTGTTTAGTAGTGCTGTTTTTATGTCAACTCAGCGTTGTGACAGGTTCTGAAGATGTTGGGTCTCACGTTTTGTCAGTGAAATGAACAGAATTTTCCTCCTGTTCTGTAGAGTGAGAGGATATCTGTATATGCAGGTAACATGCCAACTCACAATATGTCTCTCTGTAATAGATAACTTTATTGTTGTTGTTTGTTTAGAATGGAAGCTTATTAAAGAACCCACTCAAGCTGCCAAAGTTTTCAAAGAGAATCTGCTAAGGGAACATGCAACTGGGAAACCACTTAGAATGAAGATGGATGTAAGGGACTCTGAAGAGGACAGGGAACGGGAGCTTCTCTTATTCTATAAACAGCAGCAAGAATGGGCATGTCCACTTCATTGTACTCTGGTTGGTAAGTAATATAACATTTATAATATAAATACATCAGTACAGTTTATACCACTCAAGTAGCTTATATGTAATTGTTAAATGGGAGAATGGAATGCACAAAATTATATAATTGATAAAAATGTTATATGTATGTATGTGAATATTGTGCACAATATACTCTTGTTATCTGGAATAATCAATATTAAGGATGCTATTCTAGAATTACAGCCAATAGAAGTTTTTCTCCCTTTCTTGTTAAATGTTACCAAATCCAGTTACCTGTATTAGGCCGCCACTTTTTTTCCAGTGTTATTATCAGTATTTTATTTCAGGTGATGTTGCTATCGGAGAGGGAGTGATGCGGTACTTTATGACAACAATCATATCCAAACTCCAGTTTGGATTCAGTCTAGATCTTGGTAAGTATCTTACTAATTTTTTGAAGGTTAATCCATCTATAAATTGCAGAAATGTCTGTCTGTAGCGCATGTCTCTCAGTTAGTCTGATGGATTTCAAACTTGACAGGTGTCTTGCTCTGGTCACGAGTAAGTGCAGTGCCAAGTTTGACGACGTTTGGATAAACGCAAAAGATAGCGTTACATATATAGGTAAAAGAAGCACACATTGGCTTTTGCCGCTCTTGCTGCTTGCCATTCTCACACTGCATGCAACGCTGACTGAGCACCTGTTTGTGTCGTGACTCACTCTACACCGCCTCTCTCTATGCGCGCGCACACACACACACGCGTACACGTACGTTCTGGTGGTTGATGAACGCGGATATGTGCTGTTTAGCGGAGGGCCGGTGGGCAATGTTTTGTGTCAGGTAAGTCTGTAGTAGGGTATACAGGGGAATTGAATTTGAAGTGGTTTGGGGTCCTTCTGTAAGTCATTTTGGAGTAGGCTACAATTTGGTTTAAGTGAATTCTACAAGCAGCAATACCACAGGCCAAGTAATCGCCACTAGTATGATGTAATCTATCTATCTATCTATCTATCTATCTATCTATCTATCTATCTATCTATCTATCTATCTATCTATCATACATTTTTATTTAATGTATTTAAGAGGTTAATTGTTGTGACTTTATTCCCTGCTCTCTTGGTACTTTACAGGAGGAATGGGCCAAACACTGCTATTTGAGGGTGAACCTGACCATCTTGTTCCAGCAGCATCAGAGGCACTTATTGAAAGCAACCTCTTCCGGGTTGCAGGAAGGATGTTGGGCCACACCTTTCTGCATGATGGTCCCCATGTCACAGGACTAAGTCCTGCTGTAATTCATGTACTGTTCAATGGGGACCCTGAAATGGCTACCGTTGTTACAGAAGACTGCCCTGATCTGCACATCAGGAGCATCATAGAACTGGTATGTAACCTAAAAGAAACTTTGCCATGTAAAAAATATTGCTTGGGCAGATATAATAACTTGTATGGTCTTAATTCTAGCTTGAACATGAAGATCTTACACCGGAACAGAAGGACACAGTTTCAGATCTTTCCATGTCTTGGGATCTTCCGGCAGTCACCAAAACAAATCGGAGATGGCTACATAACAAACTTCTACTCCATGCAGTGAGTTCCTGCTGGTTAAGTGACAGAATTCATCGCTGTACTTGTTGAAATTATAGAATGTGTTGTGAACCCTGGCTTGTTATGTTAACACGAGAGTTTAAGTACTAGAGTTTTAATGGATTTTTATAAAGCACTTTATTGTGTTTATTAACATTTTTCCTACTGTGCCAACTTTTGTCAAATTTGGGTTAAGGATTTGGGCTGTAATATCGGTCGGTCTGTCTCTTAGGTCGTTGGGAGGACCATGCGCCAAATTAAACAGTTGAGAAAGGGACTGAAAGATGTGATGGTATGGCCCCTGCTGACATCTAGGCCGGATGTTGTACCACTTCTTTTCCCCAAAATGGCTGAAATGCAGTTCACACCCCAGGTAAGTCAGTAATTTAGTTATATTTGTGACTTAACTTGATGAATTTACGTGTATTTTCAATGACTGAGATGGATATTTTTCAATTTTCTAAGATTTTGATCTGCATAGTCCTTCACCA